CTTCGATTGACCATGTATTTTTCTACTACAGCAAAAAAAAAAAAAAAAAAAAGTAATTTGTTCTTTACTGTTTCTGTCAAACTCCAATTTGTTCAGAAATATTCAGCTGAATCTAACTGACTCCAGAGTAGGTTATCTGTATGATGTATCATCCTCCTAACTATTAGTTTCTACACATCGATTCAGTGGTGAAACTATGAAGATGTAATTGGGATATTAAGAATAACTGGTTTAAAATAAATCAAAACAACAAAGCCAAGGAAATACTGTCACAGAAAAGCTAGTTTTATCAGCTTCCAGTTAAAGACAGAAGATCAAACCCCATCAAAATTGTTTTATAAAAATTATTTTAAAAGATATAAAAGCACTTACTCAGATACATGAAGAATATTCTCTTTCCCTTCTTCAACAGAAATGTTGACATTGTCTTTCACGTGTTCTACTGCCAGCAAAGCACCTGAAAGTATGAAAAGATTTCTCTTTATAAACACTAGTATTTAAAACTTGAATCATAAAGCAATAAGAATGACTCAACAAACCAATATTAAGTACTGCAAAGGGTAAGCTTTTTTCCCTAGTCTGTAAACAGAAAGTGCTAGATTCTTCTGATCCTAGAGAAAAAACAAATCAGAAACCATTCACTGGCACAGTCCAACTGCTTTTGAAGATGCTCAGCTTTTGGTTAGGGTCTCTGAAATTAATCTTCTCCCTCAGGAGACAAGAGGAAATTAGCACCTTGTATAAAAGCTATTGTTAATAGTATTAAAGTGATTACTATGTGGCAGGCACTGTGCAGGACGCTTTGCAGTCATTACAATTTTTCATCTTTGTAGTCATAAGAAGTAGACACTTTTATCTCCATTTTACAGGAGGAGAAACTGAGGTTTGGTGGGGTTCTGGTCCAAAGGATTTGACTAATATGTAGTGGCCAGGATTTGAACGTCAGTCTAGAGCAGCGCAGAATTCAAAATCTGAAACACAGTACTGCCTCTCAACACATATTAAAGTTTACTAAATTGATTCATTAATGTTTTGTCCCTTAATTCTGGCACCCAATTCTGTGGGGAAGACATCATCCTCCTAAGGAAACTGCGTAATGCCAATCAGGGACTGGCCACCATCCCACAAGTAGTAAGTAGAAGCCAGGATTAGACCCAGGTCTCAAGGAACCAACAATGCCTTTGCTCTTAACCTTGAGTCCACACTGTCTAGTGCTTCCCAGCCCAACAATCAAACCCATTTCTTTTAGACTTCATTGATTTCTGTGAGGTCGGCCCATAATTACTGGAACCAGTATGCTAAAACGCAAATATTTTTAAAATGTTTAAAGTTACTATTAAGTTGTGGTTTTTGTTACAATACACTCAGAACATCACCAAAGTTGAAAATGCAACGCATAATTCACCAGCTCAAAGTGGCGCATTGTGTCGAAGCATTTGGGCTTCTTGAACATTAAAAAAGTATCCGTGTGTTTATACTACCCATATGTTTAATTAAACACGGGATCAATGAAGTTAATTACCTCATGTAACTTTTCCAAAGCCATAAAAAGGTGGAAATTCTAAGCTATCTATCCACAATAACCTTGGCCACGTTGAAAATGTAATTCCAAACTGAACTTGACGCGGAACAAGAAGATGAGAGTTCCCACCTCTCACTGACATTTTCTACATCTATAGGGCGAGGAGTAAGGCAACCCCGTCAGTCCGCAGTGCTCAGGTGTTCCCGCAATTACCCGGTCACCTTCGATTAAAAATAAACGCAACCTCGGTTGCAAGTTTTAATGCTACTACAATCCTCTGCCTTGGTCCCTTTGAAACCAAGGGAAAATAAAGAGAAATCAAGGTAAGTGGACTGTAGATCTTTTCTGAAAACAGGGAAGAAAGGAGGAACGATAAGTAGACCTAAGAGATAAGTTCTACACTAGAGGGAGATAATGGGATTTTAAGTTTTAAAGTGTTATTTCTACCAGCAGCTGTCTCCCAAGGAAACGATTTCAAAAAGGGTCCGAAGCTGAGCCTAGTGTTGCCTGCTGTCAGGCTCACACTGCGCCTCCTTCCACACCCGAAAACACTGTCTTCAAGAGCCAGGGGATGGGAGTCGAGGGGCGCGGAGCCCACCCCGAGGAAAGTCGGAGGACTGAGGCAGGTCTAACGTCCGTGGCCGTCACGGCCACTGCGCTAAGCCAGGGCGCGGCGACTTCCCGCCCCGCACCCTTCCCGGCTGATGCAACCCACACGAGTCAGCGGCCTCGGCCCCTTACCCAGAGGAGGGTCTCCTGAATTCACGGTCAGACACAGTGTCGCCATCCCCGCCCGCCGCTGCACCTGCTAGAGCGCCTGCCTGGCTGCCAGAACTAACCCCAATCCGCACACAAGTAAAAGCTACAACGTGTGCGCTCCCCTGACGCCGCCACAGCCTCCTCCCCGCCCCTGCGCCGCGGCCGTCGCGTCTCGCGCACACCAGTTACGTCATCGCCGCGCGTCGCCTGCGCCTCTCAACCCGCCCCTCGGCGTCGCCGGATTAAAGGGCCTGCGTGGCCTGCCTCGTCGCCGCGGAGAAGATGTCCAAGCATTCGGCACTTAGGACATTTGATAAGGCGAAGAAACACCAAGGTCACGTGAAGCTCCAAATGACACACGCAAATAGTGTTATTTATTGTCGTGGGCTCCGTGTGTGTAAACAGACCGAATCCTGGAAGCAACACCGAGTCGACAGCCGTGGTTACCCTGGGGGTGCGGGAAGCCTGTCTCTCGGTTCCTCCTTTTTTTCCAAAAGGAGAATGTAGGTACTTTTCAGGAGTTTTCTTCGCACGTGACAATAATGATTAAAAGAAAGGAGTTATTGGACTGGGTAAAAAAAAGTGATAGGATTAAGAAGTACAGATTGGCAGTTCAAAATAGTCACAGGGATGTAAAGTACAGCATAGTATAGTCAATAATATAACTGTAAGGTGCCAGGTGGGTACTGGAAATAGGAGGAACACCATAAAATACATGATTGTTTAACCACTGTGTTGTACACCTGAAACTAATACAAAATAACATTAAATGTAATCTGTAATCGAACAAAAGTTTAAAATGTTTAAAATTTTAAAAACTTAAAAGCTTTATTGATAAAAGGCGTTACTATTAAAAGCCACTGCCCTGATTTGTCTTGCCGTTGTTTGCCCCAACTGCCTGAGCGGGCCTTTTACAAGATCTGATTCTTGATCTTTAATCCTCAATGACAGTGTCTTTGTGTCTGTGCTCCCCATGTGCGCTGCAGGCATATTCCCAGGGCTGGTAATCAAGCTCAAGGGGCCAGGGACTGAAAAAAATCAACTCAACCTCATCACCACCTGCACTTTCTCTTAGCCTGCTAGAGTTACTCATACCTGGACCTTAAGTAGAGAGTGCTGCATAAATACGGGGCTTAGCCGGTTTCCGAGTGGGGAGCTGCATCTACACCTGCATCAGAGCAAAACCCCCCCCCCCGCCCCCGGCCCCTACCTTCCTACCAGAATCTCCAGGGCTGGAGTACATAACTTCATTTTATGACGTTCTCCGGGTAATGCTGTGCACACCAAACTCTGCCTTTCTACCTTCCTTTGTTCTGTGTGATTTCTCTTCTGCACACTCTGCTAATACTTAAGATTCTTGTTTGCTGAAAAACCTTATCTTGGATATCATACTGAGTGTTTTCTACTATATATAATGCACTAGGGATAGAGAGAATCCTGGAATCATTTATTGGACAAGTGAATAACCAGATAACATGTTTGAGAACACTTTCAGTGATGAGGAGTTTAATACTGCTTAAGGTGAACCCCTCTGCTTCTAAATACCTGTTACTATGCACCTCAGTCTGCTTTTCTGTACCCCTGTCCACTTTCCTCTGAGGACGTTCAGAACTGGTCCAGGCACCTCCACCTGGCACTCTCATACATCAGACTGTCACTATGTTTCCCATGCCTTTGCTCCCTAGGCCAGTTGTCTCCAGTCCTTTCAACAAACCTTCAAATGGTAGTTTTAATCTAGTCCAGCTGCCCTTTTCCAAACACACTATTAGTCAATGTGCCCTTTAATGTGATACTCAAAGCTGAACAAAATGTTCCCCAGTTGTGTCATCAGAGTACTTACATTGCCCATTATAATGCTATTAATGCACATTAGCGCTTTACAGCCACAGTGAACAGTTGACTCACGTTAAGAGTGTAAATAACAAATCTCCAGAGTTCCCCATTCTCGTTACCTAAGGTGAGACATTACACGTATTACTTTACCCTTGTCTTGATCCATACGGGAAAACATTTCATAGAGCCAATTTTCTCATTCTAAATATCATTGTCACTTTTTAACCTCTACAATCATTTACTTGCATCTCAATCACTCAGTGCATCCCAGTCGCCCATCACTGTTGACTTTGAGAGCATGGAATCAAGCAAATAGGTGTCATCAATAAAAATGACTTTTTATTAGAGTGTGGAGCTGTGGCACACACGGAAACCTGCTTTCAGGAAGGCAAGGTATACTGGTGAGTCCTGGTGTTGCTGTCACATTGGATGCTTTTATTCCAAGAGTGTTCTTTCTTTTATTTGGGTCGCATTTTCTAGGTAACTTTTTCTATTTGGTTATTTATCTCTTATGTGTCATCTCTTTTATTGTTTAGGGTTTCAGTATAATGTCAAATAGGAACCATGAAAATATTCTGCAGAGTACGTATGTGATCTGAGCTGATACTGGAGAAGGAAAAAGCTGTAACATTAAGAGGTTTATATGCTACTATAAGGAACTTGGATTTTATCCTGAAGGCAGTTGGGTTTAGGAATGATTAATTTCAGCCGCTTGCTTAATCCAGCACTGGATAGTTAAATGGATACTAGACTTATAAGGGGTGATCACTTTGTAAGTTACATAAATGTCTAATCACACCTGAAACTAATATAAAATTGTATGTCAACTGTAATTTAATGTTTTAAGAAAATTCAAACAAAAATAAATAAAAGCACTGGGCAGAGACCAGCTAGAATGAAATAATTTATTATAAAGAAGCTTTTTCCATAAATCTGTTTCATCAACATACATAATGACATTTCAGTGTATTCAAAACTTGAAAACTTTAAAAATTACTTGAAAACAAGGATGTGATTAATAACTTGTGCTTCTGTATCCTAAAGAAATCTGGTTTAAAAAAAAAATCTGGTTTATACAATAGGAATGTTGATTAAACAATTGACTGGGACAGTCAGTTGGAACTAAACCTTTGTTTCATTTCTTCAAATAAAAGGAGGGAAAGAAATGTGTCAGACTTTATAGATTACCCGGACATCAAAATCAGTCTGGTTAATTAATCACAACATTTTTAAGATCTATATTCTACTAAGCACCTGAAGATAAATTAGTGATCAACAGGGAATAGATGGGGAGCTCTAATGCCATCCACTTAGTTTTAAACTGTATTATTTTGAGAACCAAGTCATTCTCCTGGCTAAGTAAATGGGATGTTCCCTTGAAGAATGAGTGCAATTTTTTAGGTTGCCCGAGGTTTATTGATAATATCATACCACAGGAAAAAGATTCAAATGGCTCCATGTGGTGTTTTGAAATTTATCCCAACTACAGGTTGGGCCGACTGCCAAAAGTCCAAGGGCTTCAGCATCTCCTTAGTGTCGGGACCAACTGCAGTGATTTCTGGATATGGGGCTGAGACCTCAGGAACATCTCCGCGCATTTCCAGTTCCTGCAGCTGTCCTTCTCCAGCTGAGTAAATGCGACGTTCCTCTAGGGAACAAGTGCGTTTCTAACAGACTCGGGAACTCGACTTGCATAGTAGTCGTGGTTCCTCAGAGTGGCCAGGACCCCGGCGGAGTTCATGTGCTTCACTTCCTTGTTATACCAAAGGGCGTTCCCATGGATATCGGTTAACTTGCCTGCAGAAAAAAAACATCAAATCAATGTGAATGGCTGGTTCTACAATTATATTTCATTGTTTTAAGTGCCTCTTGCTTCCCTATACAATAATATCCAATTCTGGATAAAATAAGGGAAGTGATGGGTGTTAATTTACTTGAAATTTAAGACTACAGAAAAATTTTAACTAGAGGGTAGAGCATTACTTTTTAAAGAATTTTTTTGAGAGAGAGAAAGGAAGGGGGTGCAGAGAAAGACACACACACACACTGATTTGTTGTTCCACTTATTTAAATATTCATTGGTTGCTTCCTCTATGTGCCCTGACCAGGGATCAAACCCACAACCTTGGCTTATCAGGACAACACTCTTAACTCACTGAGCTACCCAGCCATGGCCCATTTTTTCTTCTGATTAAAATAATATCATTTGGCATTTTCAATTTATATTTCTCAGTGTCAATTCACTTCTCTTTTCCTGAGTTGATTACTTTTCCTATTGGTTATACTTCATCGCCACAGTTTCCATTTTCAAGAGTATTTTCTTTAGTCTACCGTTTAATAGTAACATGTTATTTGGAAGAGTTTAAGTGGAGTATGTTCATAAACCGTAACTGTTATATTACAGTTTCATTTGCCATTGTAAAGAGAATGGGCTGTGATGACTTAAACCTCCTGGTCAAGTAGCATGTGAATGAGACACTGGCGCATCATGTGCTGGGGGACGAGCAGAACAAAGCAAATCAAGGTGTGACTGGGTACTTACACTTGAAACGGTAAAAATCACTTTACTACATACATATTTGTAATATATTTTCATTCAGATTTAAAAAATTCTAACTCTATGGCCTTTAGCACTAGTTCAGGGAGATTTACCAACCTTGGCTTAAAAGAAATTAGGTGGTGTGATGATAATAATAATAGATTACTTTTGAAGGAAAAAATCCTACATGCATTAAAGCCACAAATTAATAATAATATTAATTAATTAATTAATAATTAAATTAACTGTATGCAGATCAAGGTCCAAAAACAGAAACTCTAAGTAAAGAAAAAAGAATTGGCTGACAATCTACTCTCTCACATATGAGATGTGGGGGCTGGACTGGACACTCCCTAACTTTCTAGCTTCTATACCCTAAGAGTCTAGTTAGAGTAGTGTTACTGAAATACAGTCTTAGCATAAAATGAACACTGTATGAAATTTGTAATCCTCTCAATTAAAACAGACTAACCTCCCACGGCATGTAAAATAACTTCCGGAGCACAAGTATCCCACTTCTTACATCCAGGACTTGCAAAAACATAAGCAGAGGCTTTGCCTTCAATCAGCTGAATAATCTGTAAAGATAATGAATGAGGTGTAAATAAGAGAAAACTGCTTGTTTCTATTAAATCTATTTCAATTCCTCTGTTAGACTCCACTTAGGTCAAAGCCTTTAGCAGGTTTGCATTACAGAGTATTATGAAGAGACATGCAGAAAACACAATAATATCAGAAGGGGGAAAGTGGTCAATAAACTCACTACAACAAGGCTATCTGAACAGTCTTCATATTCTAAGTTAGATAAAATAGTTTATCTTTTCCCTCTGGCTGTAAAAGCAAAATATATTTACCATAGAAAAATTAAAGTGGTTTTAACCGTGCGAACAACTGACCACTATTACAGAAAGGATGGAGAAGTATCACGGAGCACAGTAACGTGGAAATTGTAGCAAGTCCTAGCAGACGTGCGACGCTGCCTGGTCAGTCTAACAAGTGGTTAGCCGCCCATCTTTGGGGTCGCATCTATTATTATTTGCATTACCAAATATGAATTTTTAGACAGTCATCTTAATAATTCTTGTCACATTCCTATAGAACTGAGGCCACTGATAGAAACTGCATGACTCAAAATAGTAACTTGCTATATCAAACTTGGATTTGTTCCTTGATTTTCCTTCCTGTTACACTGTGCTACTGCAAAGGTCAGATTTCAAACATCGGCACTAGGAGGAGGAGGAAAATGTCAGCAAACACAATGTAACCAATTATTCCTGTGAGTGGCGATCAGGAACACCTTCCAAGGACCACACCTTGCTGTAGCTTTTGAGTAAAGGCTTTTCTTCCATGAAACAAGTGTGTATTATTTCATTATGTGCCGGGCACTATGCCAGGGGTATTTGTGAGGGGAGCCGGGCTGCAGCCTCCATTAGATTCGGAGGGGTCCTTGGTGTGAAAAAGTTAACAGACGCCCAACACAGTCTTTTCACAAGAGGAAGCAGGGAGTGGTACATGATGGGGACTGAGAAGAATGGTGCCCCTGGGAACAAGAGGGAATGGCGTTCTGTGGTTACAAGGATAGGGGCAAAGAGGAATCATATTTCAGTGAGTACTAGGAGTATGTTTGCACTTTGAAATGTTTCAGATTTTTTTCAAAATACTATTATTTTTAAATTCCCATTTCATTCTCTTCTCAGTAAATGCTTTTAGAAAATTTAAAAGTAGTCGATTATTGCTTCCAAAAGGTAGGAGGAAAATGAATTCCATCCAGTTCAATAAACATTACTTGTCTTCACTGTGCCAGGCACCCAAGTGTGAAATGCACATCTGATCCGTGCACTTCAGTATCAGAAAAGTCTGGGTGTGACGTGGTGGGGGTGGCAGGGGATGAGGCTGAGGGGTGCTCGGGAGTCAGGACACAGAGGAATTTGCATTCTATTCTCATAGGCTTAGACTTTATTTTAAGATTTTTATTTGTTTTTAGAAGGGAAGGGAAGGAGAAAGAGAGGGACAGAAACATCAGTGTGTGGTTGCTTCTCACATGGCCTCCACTGGGGACCTGGCCTGCAACCCAGGCATGTGCCCTGACTGGGAATCAAACCTGTGACCCTCTGGTTCATAGGTCTGCACTCAATCCACTAAGCTATACCAGCCAGGTGTTTTCATAGGCTAAGACTTTAAACGATTGTCAAGGGAAGTCATCCAAGGATTTGGGCAGGACAGTGACATATGCATTTCTGATTGTTCTGGTGGCACTGTGGAGACCACAGTTAACCAGGGAGACTGCTCTAGAAGCGGGGAGAATCAGATCTGCAGCCAAGACCAGGCCGACAGGACTGAGGAAAGGAGGGTCTGGGATGACTTGCAGGCGACAGCTGGAACAGCTGGGACAATGGTGGCACCACCAACCAGAAAGGAAATGGGGAGGAGCACATCAGGGGGGCAGGGAGAAGAAGATGAGCTCCACTCCACAGGCTGAGTTTGAGAGGTGGAAGTGTGTCATCACCCTTCAACTGGATGGGACCCAGGGGCAATCGAATGAGAAGAGGTCGAGGTTAGGAACATAGATCACATTGTGCTCCATGCCAAAATTTTCTCAGGAGGACAGAAGCCTAGACAAAACCCTGGGGAAATACGCAGGAAGGAAGGGGCAGGCCCACCCTTCAAGTCTGCAGGACAAAGGTCTGGGAGCAAGAGGGTCCCTGAGAAAATAGGGGCTGGCGGGAGGCGCGGGATCTGATCCTAATGACATACAACGTATTTTCACTGAAATAACTTTGGTAAAAAGACACTTGAACCTTCGCATTCAAAAAATTCAAATGTTGCTGAAATGTGCTTTGAATGGCAAATCACAATTTTTAATCTCTCCTGCCAAACTCTTATTTGACATTCTTTAAAAGCTCAGCATTTCTTACAGCAATGCCACAGCATCTCAGAGTGGGAGGCGGGTGGTTTCCTTACCTTATTTCCAGCGCCGCCCACGCGCAGCACGTGGTCAGGGCTCATGGCGGCGACACACTCTGTGACCAGCTTGTTGCTGTGGGACCTGGTGGTGGTGACAATGTGCTTCCCGGCAGGCACTTCTTTCAGCTGAAACCCAAAGGCACCTAGACCTAAAATGCCCCAGATGGTCCTTCCCAGCACAGCGTCTGGTCCTGCCTAAGTGAACGGGGGAGACAAGAGCAAAGCTTGTGGTTACCGGGAGAAACATGTTAGCCATAAGTGGGATGCTCAGTTGTCTCGGCAAATGCATGATAACGTATCATAAAGTACAGAACAACACCATCAACAATTTTCCCTAGAGAATCAACGAATTATTCCTGTTGTCAAGGGTACTGAAGGGGAACTTTTGGTGATTCCCCGAAGTCTTCAGGGAAGGAAACAGCACACGCTAGTTCCTGCTGCTCTCTGAGCCGTGGAATAAGCTCATTACTGTATACAAAATACCTGTTTGCAAAAGGTACCTAAGGAAATGAAACACCATGTGTTGACTATACTCCTGAGTATCTGAGAAACAACAGGATGTGGGAATAGTAATGGTGACGATGTGTTTTGTTGCTGTGGAGACAGAACAGAACAACTGAATAGGCTGATACTGAAGAGCAGCCATGGATAATGGGGGTCAAGGTCAAAGATTTTATTGGCCATTGTGGTAGTAAAATGACAATGAGAATGCAATCTTAGAATCTGTATTTTCTCAAAGAATTTTCAACCAAAATTGCTATAATTATGCACCTCATGTAGAAAAACATAACCTGTGTTTTATGGAAAGTAAATCTAATGCATAAAATAATTCACACAAAGTCACCAAATACCACTATTTAACCTGAGACATATATTACAGACATACAGGCATGTATGTCTGTACATTACTGAATGCTTAACATGCACCGGGCACCACACTAAGTGCATACATGTATTATCTCATTTAATCTCCAACCCCATTAAGTAGGAACCCTTATTTCACAGATGAGAAGAGAGACTGGAATTCTTGAGTAACCTGACCGAGGACCCTAGGGAGATCCTGAGCAAACCTGGGCTCATCATGTTCAAAGCCAATGTTCCTCGTCATCAGACTAGCCTGACTAGCCTGCCTCATTTACTTGCCACATGCTTTCACACACCACTGAGTCCGTCCCACAGCAGGGACTGGGGTCGTCACAGTGAAGCAGGCCGTGCCGTGGGCTGGATTCCTGGGGAAGCAGACGCTGAGACAGGCAGATGTTTCCTGAAGAGCGCCCTTGAGCCCCACACGTGTTGGCAGGAGGGAAGGTGGCACTGGCAGGCAAACGGAGCTGTGACGCACAGCCACCAACGGCTTCCGCTGACCCTGTGGGGAGCTCTGAAGCTAGAAGGGCCTGCAGTGGGTCCCTAGTTGGGATGAAATGCCAGGCCTTTATACACCTGTAACGATCAGCTATCCCTGGAAAGGGACTGACTTGGGAAGGTGCATGTCACTGGGGAGGCAGCTCTGTACAGGGCAGGCAATCCCTTAAACACTGGCAGCTGGAGGCTGTCTGCCGATACCATTCCCTCCAAATGGGGCAACGAAGGCCCCAAAGGGCAAGCCCTGGGTGCTCAGTGTACGTGTGTGTGCTCCCTCTATTCTGTTCCCTCCTGAGTCCATACTACAGGAGGGGCTGAAACTGGGAACGCACACGTGGGCTGCGTGTGTGCTCACCAGGCTCCCGACTGATCGATGAGCCTCATTTCGTGCTCTCAAGAAGCCTACTTACTCTGCTTTTCAGTTACCCTGAAAAAGAAAGGAAAGCAATACCAACAGTGGACACGGGTATTCTGGTCCTGAAAAAGTCACATAAATGAACATGGAGGCCAAGAGTAGGGACCAGGGAACCTGTGATCTGGTGGGGTGGTGCCAGGCAATCCCCTGAGGCAGCCAGCTGGCTTCCTCCGTGCTCCGGACCTCGATCTCCCTCACTGGCTCTCTCCTTCAAAGGCTCCACACAGCTTTCAGGGGGTAATGAGAACAACAGTCTCATCTTACTGATGAGTTAGCTCGGTCTCCTAGTGGTTAAGCAGCCAGCTCCAATGTAATGAGAGACAGACCGCATGTCTTGGCACTAAGCCACACTGTCTCCTTTGAGTGGCCCACCAGCTTCAGTGTCTCGAGAGAGCAACACAGAATAATGCACAGGAGCTTGGACCTGCTGTGGACAAACCGGGTGACCTTGCGCAAGTTCAGCTTTGGTTTCCTTCCTTTAAAACAGGGGAAAGGTGCCTAAGAGGATGACGGTGAGGATTAAATGAGATAGTGCATGTGAACCTTGAGTCTGGCACTGCACAGTAAGCTCTACATAAATTTTAGCCACTATGGTGATGACGACGATTTGAAATTGAATATTCAGCCTTGAATACTACCAACCAAGCTGAGCAACTTTCCACTTGTTGCCACATATTTTAAGGCATAAGCAAGAGAGAGGAGGAAGAAAGAGGGTAAAGCAAGTGTACAGAAAGGAACATGGGGGGGGGGACAGGTGACGAAGGGGAACGACAGGAGACGGAGAACTGGTACAGGGGCTTGACAATGACTAGCTGGTACCACGCACGGGGTTCCTGCCTCTTTGCTACTGAGCAGTGGAGCCCAAACCCTAGCTGTTTTTCTCACCTGCACTTCGTGCCTGTGTTCCCTTAACTTCTGCTTTTCATTGTTCTGTGAAAAATGAATACAATTTTCTGATTTCAGAAGTGGTAGAAATTATTAACGACTTCTAAGCACTCATACCCTTTCTTGATGAAAAGCATCATGCATTACAGTGTTATCTATGAACTACATGTCTCTGTAACCTAACAGTATGAACTCATTTTAAAGTTTACATAACAGCCCCAAACTTCTGTCTGCCTGTAACACTATACAAACATTTAAATCATATTAAAAGAATTCACAGATAGTTAATATAAGAAACTTTCCCAATAATGCATAACTAATTTTGCTTAAATAATACTCAGAAGCACATGATCATAAAGTTATTATCATACAAAAGCAAAATAAAACAAATTTATCTTAGAAGAGATTAATCCTGCTCTTAACTGAAATTGGAAATTCAGAAATAACAGTCCCCCGGCTGGTGTAGCTCAGTGGATTGAGTGCGGGCCTGTGAACCAAAGGATCGTGGTTTGATTCCCAGTCAGGGCACATGCCTGGGTTGCAGGCCAGTTCCCAGCAGGGGACACATGAGAGGCAACCATACACTGATATTCCTCTCCCTCTCTCCTTCCCTTCCCTTCTAAAGATAAATAAATAAAATCTTTAAAAAAAAGGAAATAACAGTCCCCACTCTGGTTATTTCTCCAAAGTTCTATTGAGGTCACACTAATGTAAAATACCTTAAGTATTTCTCTCAATAATTCCCTTTAAAGTTTAATGTGATTTAATGACAGATTCCTGCTTTAAAATGACATTAAGCTCTTGTTTCTAAGGAAGACAACTGGTTGGGAGTATAGTAGAAAGTCAAAGTAGAACAGAAAGAGAAATAAGAGAACAGAGTGCAATAACACACGTAGTTCTGCTCTCTGCTGACTATGCAGTATCAGGCTCTGTGCAGTGTTACCTGGAGGACAACATGGCTAGCATCTTTCTTGACTGAAATGGTTCATTTCTTCACTGTGCTTGAAGAACCACCTGTAAATCAGGTGTCTCAATGACCAGACTAATCAAAAACCAATGAGTAATCCCCAAACTTCTGCATTTGAATTGTAAGACATACATAAAAAAGTACATGTAACACACTCAGTGTATTACATACACATCCTTGGGATCGATGCCCCCAGAAGTGCTGACTCTACAGGTCTCAGGTGGGAGTGAGAATCAGTATTTTGAAAAGATGAATGCATGTGTGACCAAGGTGGAAAACACTAGAACAGATTACATCAGGAGTCGCCTAACACTGCGATTATTTATCTAATCATTTATGTTTGTGCCAACCCCTCCATCTCCCTGCCAGAATGGGCTGCCATTTCTAGGTACCACCACCTCCTTGTTGGCCGCCACAGCCAAGCTCCCCACGGGCATGTGAGGAACCAGGAGAGCACAGCCAGGTATAGAGTGAGGCCTCCATCCTCATTCCTTAGTGGCCAGAGATGGCATTCCTGACACCCGGACCCCCCTTGGCCTGCTCAAGTGACCTCACGCCCAGATGTCTGGCTTCCCACACCAGAAGTGACTCAAGAGGTAAAGAAATGTGAGTGGGTGCCACGGAGGTTTCGAGATGCTGGAACATGGCTTAGCCGTTGCAACACCAGGGATCAGAAGGCCGAATCGAAAGATAACACAGAGGAAAACCCAGCAGACTCCAAGGAGTCCCCACTAACAGGAGACAAGGCCTCAGACAGCACGGCCAGGCGGAGGGACCCACACAGGAGCCCTGCAAACACTGTCCTCTGTGCCAAGTCCTCAGCAGCCTTTGTCAGGAATTGTTCAGTTCCTCGCCCTCTGCACGGAAGCTCCTGTTCAAACTCCTGCAAAGCCATCGTCTCTTCTGCCTCAGGAGGTGGGGTTGGGTTTTCTTCCCGTCTCCTCATCTGGCTACCTCTCGAAATAAACTCTTTCCTTGTTGCATTGAAAAAGAATTGTGTCAGTTACAGAGATACCTGGTAGTTGTAATACGGCTGGTTAATAACGCCTGCGATGGCTTTCCCTTCATAAGCAATTCCAATGAGAACAGTAACATTGTCAAGAAGACCTATAAAGGAGGAATAAGAATTATTACATGACTTTTTCATGTTATGACTCATCATCACCACATGAATTGCTCCAAGTTATTTTTGCAGTAAAGGTAAGGAATTTGCAATGATTTATCCATGATCAATTCAACTTCCGGCAAAATGTGCCAATTTTAAGAGAGAATCATTGCAAATCATGTTCTCAAGCACACGATTTGAAAACTGATGAAATGAACTGGCCATAAGTCCACAGCCATTACCATCACATCCCTCTGTGTCTGACACCACCCGCCCCACTCGCGCCTGCTCGGTCACTCTCCACTCCACCATCACTCTCTGCACTTGCACTTTAACCCTCTCAAGGACGGGCTCTCAAAGTGCGGTCCAGGCACCTTCAAGCAGCACTAGATGCAGCTGGTGTCGTTTTTATAATGCAGGTTCCCAGGCTCCTCCGCAAAGCCAGGGAGTCCGACTCCCAGGAGGTGGGGGGAGTGGGGCCCTAGACAAGGTGTGTGGGTGCCCTGTGTTCACTGAAGCTGTGTGGAGCTTTGCCATTTCTCAACACAGGTGTTTTCCAGGCACATACACATGCACACACGTGCACACACACTCTGCATGACCCAATCATTTCCTACATGTCTCACGCAAGGACACAGAAAGAGATTTCTCTAGTAATGTGAGACATTTTTCAAGCCATGAAGCTGAGAACCAACATAAACAAAACACATGTAGATTTTTATTTCGTACGTAAAACTCGAAGCTTATATACTCTGCTCCTAATACCTAAAATTTCTGGCTCTGAGCCTGGTCTTTCTCACTTTAATGATGCCCATTTTATTTTAATTTGCTGCTTTCTTGTTTTTCTCATATCCCATAACTTCAGAAGAGAGAAATATCGCACTGTTTGCAAACTCATTTTCAAAGGTGAGGCCACAAAGAGAGAAAGCAGGTCACAGATGGGGGGGCCAGTGAGCAGGAAGGGGGCGGGGACGGGGGCAGAGGGACGAGAGCAGTGCAGCTGTGCTTCTTGTCGGGGTTCTGCCCCAACACAGCTGGGGCTCGGCCTGGTAACACTGGTTTAACGTTAGTTACTGTCACGCAGGTGACATCACACTGTGGAGCTGGTAGGTGGCATGTGGGGAGGAACTGCAGGTGGACGAGTTGTCCCTCTCGGTTTTGATAATCCCTGACATGAAACAGCAGTCACGCAGGATGTGCACAAATGCAGCTTTAGGGCCCAGGCACAGAACGCACCACTGGCTTTTCAGAGAACACACTGAGTGTTTACAGTCAACGTCACATACTGGGCCCACAGCTCCCAATACAAATACAAGGGACACACCAACCTTCAGTGTACTCCTTGGTACCATCCAGGGGATCAACCCAGACCACAAGCTGAAAAAAAAGGAAATATCCAAATGAAGCATACAATACATAAAAAACAGACTTAAATAGATTAACTAAAACTACTCTTTCACTTTTGAAATTATATTATGGATGGCGTCAGCCAATATCATCGGTTTTGTGACAGTAAAGAAAACAAACAAAAAACGTCATTGTTTTATAATTGCGGGAAAAGTCCTCCTAAATTGGAGAAAGTCTGATTTAAGAATCATAAAAATGAACTGCTGAAGTGATAAAAGTTTATCGTCAGCTGAATGCTAACCACAATGCCACGAACACACTGGGGTCTGGATGGTGACACGGGGAAAGCGCCCCCAAAATGTCTTGAACCACGTGTGGCTGTTACTGACTCTGTACATAAACGCTGACTTAAGGTGAGGTCACTGTTTACACATGGCAAATAAAAACAGTTTGTGCAACTGCCAGCAGACTGTAAAAGAAGTCCTTTCTACTGAGGACTTATGACCTGATTCAGGACAGATGGCCATGAACCACTAGATTGTAATACTTAACGTGAACTTGTCGGAAAAGGCATATACTCTGGAAGAACGACACCCCTCGTTTCCTTTGTATCCTTCATACCCCAGAGTGAAGAGCCTTTTCCCACAGGAAGTGTTCAATGAATGTGTTCAACAGGTTATAATCAGAAAGTTAAAGAAGTATGATAGTGATCTGAGGTCACAGACTTAAGCAACTGGAAAAAGCGAGTCGATTTTCACGGCCTTCCCAAAAACATAAGGGAGCGATCTGCTTCGTCTCCGTCCAGCCCCAACTGCCTGTGAAATGTTTTATTACTAACTCTGCTAAATAAGGAATCAGGTTTTCTCCCTAGAAGGGCTGTTAGTCATAGTTCTGGAGTGGAGACGGCACCAACAGCAGGAGACGCTGAACTCTGAGTTAACGGGCCGCACCCTCCACGTGCTTGCCTGACACTCGATGGCGGCCCTGAAAGTGTCTGCGTTCCCGGCTGCCTCTGTTTCCTAAGTGTCAACTTTTCGTCGTCATAGGCCAATTTCTATTTCCTTTACTATGGTGAAAAAAACAAAAACAAACCCCAAACAAACAGAGATTAAGAGAGACTTAGGGAGACACGCAGGCCGTACGTCTTCCTCTTTGATGCTGCTGTACTGCGACGGGCAGGGCTGCCTGAGTATTTCTTCCCACTGACCGTCCTCAATCAGCTCTTGGTCCACGTCCTCACACGGCAGGTCCTACAGCAGAGAACACGGTTGCTGGTGCCGTTTACCGAGCACCTTGCATCACGAACAGAGGCACGCGGCGTCGCGGTTTTCACCGGCCCTGCCGCGTATGTGTAGAGTTTTAGGGCACACCGAATAGAACTGCAGCCAGCACCAGATCCGGCGCATCAAAGCTGACTACAGAGTCCCAACTCGACTATCCTGAACAGGTTAGAAAGAAGAGGATTTTTAAGTATTCCAAACTTTTCAAAATAAGTGGTTCTGACATGAGATAACTTCTCTCTCAACTGCATGAGATGCCAATTCCTTCACCTTCACAGGATGACCATCTTTGAATTCCTGTGTAAGGACGCCTAATTAAAAAATAAAAACAGACTCAATACCCATTTTATTCTAAGGTTCTAGAATTCTGCCCGCCTTTTAGCTTGTTATGTTGCATATTATCACAGTAACCACATCTTGGATGGTCAAGAATTGAGACACCTGACCTAGAAATGGACCACAATATTTCGTAATCAGACATTTCCTTCAAGTCTGAAGAATACAGTTATTTTTGCTTTAAAACAGTGGATGTAAGGCTTGACATCATAATAGTGGCATGTAGATCATTCAAGCAGCAGTTACACATCCATGCGGGGAACAGGCATCACAAAAACACTGTGAGGGTCTCTGACAAGCCTCACCTCCTCCCCTATGATGGTCAGTTTGGGGAATTTCCGGGCCAGTGACGAGCAGATGCTCAGCTGTGCCAGCCGGTCCGCTCTGGTCTGCAGGTCCGTGGCACAAGTCTGCCGGAGAAGGGAATGTTAGCACAGCCAGTAAGAAACACCGGCCCCGATGCCTGAGGCGTGAGTGTGCATGTCATTCGAACTGCACTGTCTGCTTCTAGACTCGTGGAACTGAACACCATTCAAGTCCACCACTTTCTTGGCTTGGCTTTTCTCATGGAAGAGCCATGAGAAAAGCCAAGTGTAAATCTCATGGATTTACACTGAAAAGTCCAGAAAGGAGATTTTATACTATGAGAACATTTTCTTCACAGTTCAGAAAGTGCTTTCGTAAGATTTCTGGATCACTCTTTTGCTTAAACAGCTTAAGAGATAGGAAATGCATAACTTATTCAAGGCAGTCAAAGCTAAAAAACTGTATCTGTAGTTATCTGAAAGGTATTCCTTCTACGGATTCTTCTATAACTCTCACTCACTAATCCTAACTTTAATAATTCAAGGCAGTTCCCTGGGGTACAGAATAAATTCCCACTTCTGAAATATAAAAACAAACAACCTTAACATTCAATATATAGCTTGCCTATGGCACGCACTCAATCCATGTATGAGGTAGTCATTCATGCTAGTGAAAGCCAGTGGAAAATCTTGGAATCAACAGCCATAACCTCCTTCATTAGTTGCTTTCAAAGAATTGTGACATGTTATGATTTACATACGCCTAGTTAGGTAATTTACAGACTATACTAACTAACATAGTGGACGTTTAGTGGATTACGAGATAAAGCACGATTATGAAAATCCACTCTTATGACACCCTGAAGGTTGCTGCTCGTCTCAATGCCAAGTGCTATTCTCCTAGAGTGCAGCACCACGCAGACAGAGCGCCAACCTCCAGAATGAATACTTGGGGTTTCCAGCACCTTCTCCACGATGCCCAGGTCTCCCTCAGCCATGACGCATCTGACTATTGTTCCTGCCTTTTGAGCAATAGAGTACGCCGAGGCTACCAACCGCATCAGCAGGGTGGGGCCGGAAGCCATGATAAGTCCTGAAAGGAAACGGAGGGAAAGGTTTCGTTACTTTCCAAGCCAACTACTGCTTTCATTTACTTGAATGCAACTCAACATGTATTTCTCATGTGCTACTTCGGACTGCCCCAATGAACAGTACAGATTCCTGAAGGAGACTTGGAAAAGCCTCTGTCTCAGTATTCCCTCTCTCAACAAATTCTTTCATTTTATTTGTCTGCAGATGGGACACTTTGAAGCGTGGGGGAAACTGCCTACGCCCATAAATAACGTGAAGAAGTTTTATGCACAAAATGTGAAAGGTGCAGAGACTGTGGAAGGTGCTGCAGGGGCTGGAAATAGACAACATCTGCCTTGAAGAGCTCATATTTTGGTGGCTTGGGGGTAAAATATCGAAACCGAAAGTCTGTAACATAAACCTGCTAAGTGCCGAGAGAGGTCTGAATAGCACAGGGGCTGTGGGTCTATATGTGGAGTAATTAAAAAAGGGAGGGACTGCATGTGATCACAAGTAATGCATGGAAAATCAATGAGTGTTTCCTTAGAGATTAAATAAAATTGAATCAGATTATTTGCTACCACCCTCATCAGCAGCCCAACAGAGAGAAGAGGCAGGATAACTAAATGGAGGGAGGATCCATCAAGGAGAAAACTAACGAGTATCAGAGTAGTTCCCAGCCCTAGCAAAACAAATATAAATGGAGCAGCCTCTAGGATCAAATACGTTCATCTCTGAAAACACAAATTCAAACTGTGCCATTTCAGTGACTGTGCGAATGCCGGGACACACCCCCCGATTCCCTTTCGAACTGAAGGATCTATTTTCTCAGCTGCCGAGTGTTCCCAGGGCCTGGCCTTTAGCTGCTACCTTTTTAAGGGGGTATGATTTCTGCTGCAAAGGGCCACTTTACCTGAAACTGGTCAACAAAGGGACAGAAAGGCCGCCCTCTTCTCCAGCTGGGCTGCTGACGGGCCATCCTAGCTTCCCAATACCCAGTGCGGTCAGCTGAGGCCTTAGGGGGACTCACCACGGCCCGAGGTCTCCCCTCCCCTGCACATTCCTACCTCCTTCCCTTCCCTCCCACAAGTGAGCCCAGGAACACTGCACTTGATTTCTGTTTCAGAGCACTTGTGGGGAATCGACCCAGGGCAGAAAGTCTCCCCACTCCACGCCAATCAAGCCAGCGCTGTCTCAGTCCAGAAAGGAACACGACATACACAGTAGAGGCCTCCATTCAGCAGTCTTCCCCATTCTACCACCTGTTTGTGACTGCGTGTTTGATGTGCTTTTAGCGCCTTCGCATCCCTTTACTATCATCCACATTCCAGTCACAGGGATCACGAGCATCCATGAGACAATAAACAAGTATCTGAAACCCTCCAGCAGGAAGACACAATTGAAAGCAAAAGGCAAACTGAAAGGTAATGATCGCCACTCACTCCGCGACCAACAGCCATCTGGAATTAGCATGAAAATGAAGTGGGTTCCAATGTATTTGAATTGTTTATCTTATTATATCAGAATCGAGCTATATTCATTTTCTTGATGTACTAGGTGTCACATGTGGAAAAATGGGGTATGATAATTACTATTTCAAAAACACCTCAAACAGAAAACAAGGCCTCACCTCTACTCCCTTCTGTCCATGACCAGCCATATACCTGGTTTATTCTGCACTGGAAAAAGCAGTCTTCAGGCAACGATTCTGTGCTATCCACGTGTCTTAACCACCGTGGCTATTGTAGTGTGTGGCTGTGCAGCCATGCACACTGGCCCCACCTTACATAAGACAGCACCAATGAACGGAGGATCAGTTTCCCTCACTGTATGTTGTTGTTCTATTTACAGCTATCACTTACCTTTGAGCTGGTTGAGCAATCGCTACAACTGTGTCAGGTTTCCTACACGACTAAACCACTTCCCTTTACGTTTGCCAACAGTACATGCTCTAGAACAAAAGCTTTTAGGCTTTGTCTTTCTACTACATCCTTCATAGAACGTATACTATATTGATGAACCACCATTTACAGTTAACATCAGTTTTATGTGAACGTAAAAAATTAAGTTTTGATGCAAAGCACATAATGATTTATAGAGATCCTATAAGTCATTTTGAGTTGGCAAATAGGAAAATTTTTCTGCCGTTTTCCTTGAAGTATTTCTTCAGTCCCAGCTGAATCAGTGACGAAATATTACTGCCACCTAGCCCTACGCCTTTTCTTACACATTTTAAACAAGTGAATACAATGTTGACTCTGTATAAAGAAAATGTAGTTAATTATGTTATTGAAATGCAAAATCTGTACAAAATAAAGTTCCTATTGGCCTTTTCGGGACTCTTCCCCAGACCCCAAATGAGAATTACCTGTTGCTGGTACAGGTGGACACAGAACAAGGCCAAAAGCTATCTGCAAGTTAACTTCTTTACAGCCCTTCAGATTAAACTCACTGTGCTTCCTTCTCTACCATTTTGACACCTCTGGGTCCTAAAACACTACCTTTTGCTTAACTGGTTCAAAGGTAAATGATACCTGGGAAGTGCAGGCACACCACCATACAGTGAGGGAAACCGATCTGCCTTCTGCAAGCTTTTCTCAAACCACAGCACAGTAGTTAAAGGCAGGCACTGGATCCAATTGCCTCCGTCATGGCCCCAGCGCATACTAGCTGTGTGATCTTAGGAAAGCCGCTTAAGTTCTCTGTGCCTCAATCTGTCAAATGGAGCCCCACCACAGTCCCTACTGCACAGCATTGTAATTATTAAACGAGAGGCGCACAGAAAGCACTTGCGGCAGCCTCTGACCCAAGGTAAGCACTGAGTGACACTGGCTCAAACATTCCCGTAGCTTTTGCCACGTTATTTTGACCTTGAGGCTGTATCGTGATAACCAATATGATGCTGAATCACAGCAGAGCTTCTTTTAAATCATATTCTGGGCTTGGGGCTTAGAGTCCATATGAAAAAAGGTTGGATAACACTTCTGGCAATCACCCTAACTTCCCATTTTTTGAGAAATCTTTACAGCCACCAACATGGCTCATTCAGAATAAAAACAAAAGAAATCCTTTCCTTTTTTTTTTTCTTAGCCTGGGAGAGGTATCTTGAATTCAGTATAAATGTGGTGAGCTTATGTGAATTAATGAGTTTAAGATCGAGATACTGAGATTAGTTATCTTTGGAACCTGACTAAATGATGCCAAAGTTCAAGGTCATATGGAAATATAAAATTGTGAGCATAACAGAGCAAATTCTGAAAAAAGACCAATCAGACGCTCTCTTTACCAGTTACCAAAATATGACATAAAATTATAGTAATTAAAACAGTTTAGCTTGGGCTGGTGTGGCTCAGTGGATTGAGTGCCAGCCTGCAAACTGAAAGATTGCCAGTTCGATTCCCAGTCAGGGCCCATGCCTGGGTTGCAGACCAGGTTCCCAGTTGGGAATGTGCGAGAGACAGCTACCAATGGATGTCTCTCTCCCACAATTATGTTTCTCTTCCTCTGTTTCTCTCCCCCCCCCCCGTCCCCTCTCTCTAAAAGTAAATAAATAAAATCTTAAAACAAAATAAAACATTTTACTCCTGTGGAGAATTAGTGACAAATCAATGGACTCAAATAAATTCCAGAGATATATCCCAACACAATAAAGCTGGTATTTCAAATCATGGGGGAAGTTAATTATGCCTAAATGGTGGGGAAATTGATAATTTAAAAAATGTTGGGTTACTTCTGCATTCTTCATATTAATATAAATTTCAGATCAATGCATGATTTTAAAAGTAAAGAATGAAACTATAAAAGTACAGTAATAAAACTTGGGCTAAATTTTTTTTGGTTTGGTAAAGGAACTTATAAACATGACAAAAACCAAGACTCCATAAAAAGAAATACTGATACACTTGATTAAAAAAGAAAATTTAAACATTTATATAGTCAAAGTACCATAAACAATGTGAAAAGATGATTGACAAAAACGAGGGAAAAAATGTTATGTCACATATTAGACACAAGCTCATTTTTGTTACGTAAAAGGGTTTTTGTATACCCAGAGGTAAAGGATGAATAACCAAAAAGAAAAATTAGCAAAACACAGGAACAGGTAATTTCACTAGAAATTGTATTTACCAGCCATCGCTAGAAAAAGCAAAACGATGGCTGGTAAATACATGAAATGTTCAACTTCACTAATTATGAAAGGAATGCAAACTAAAGCCACAAGAAATGATTGTTCATTTGCGAGATTGGCGCAGATAAGAAAGTGTGCCCAGATCTGGCTACACTGTGAGGGCGCATCGTCCTGAGCAGTTACAAAGGATGTAAAGTGGTGAAACCTCTTGGGAAGGTTAAAAAATCGTATTAAAAGCAAAATGCACACGTTTGAACTAGCAAATATTATGTATATTTTCAGGGAAACGTAAATCAATCAATCAAACCTATAAATATTCAGAAAAGACATGAAGAATGTCTGCTGTTTTAATGAAATTTAATTTTAGAAGTAAGACAGTCCCCAAATTTTGGTGCAATAAACCCACAGTCCAGGTTTGGTTTGTTCTTAATATTTACACAAGGTAGAACCATAAAGACCTTGGAGCACGAAAATAAAATCACAGGTACACAATCAAAATGTCCACACTCACGAATCCAGGTCCGAAACTGGAGTATCTGGAGACGCAATCAGATTCACGGTAACCCGTTTGGAACACAAAAATCCCTTGAATCTCTGCACACCTGTGCAAAGGGGTGGTGTTAGGGACCAAGGGACGACTCGGATCTGTCCAGAATCTGCCCTTGCCTTGTCCTGCAGGAGAGAAACTTACAGTAAAAAGCCAGGAACAAAGCTACGAGGAAAACGCACCTAGAATAAGCCCCAAAAAAGCGTAATTAAGCACCAGGTCCTCCGTGGCGTCCCGTACCGCTTTGTACCGGCCACTAGGACGTCTGTCGACTTAAGGCCCACCTTCTTCAGCTACTGCGCGTGCGGCAAATTTGGCGCCGGCGCATAGCAGCTGCGTCACCCGTCCCCGTCCGACTCCAGACCCACCGAAAACTCCAGTTCTCCGAGTTTTCTTTGAGCTCTCGGTCGGCTCCTGTTACCTGCAAGCAAAGTGGAGGTGTGTCTTCGCAAAAGCAACCATCCTATTCTTTAAAGGGGTCTGAGGCCTTTTGCGTTTGCCTGCTGATGAAGTCTTGGGGGTCTCTTCCTGGCTAGGTGTACCATATTAATGATTTTGGGGGGGCTTGATGCACGGCCTAAACTAAAAACCAGCAAAAACAAAAACTGTCTTTTTATACTCGCGGAGGCATCCACCTGTTTTTAAGGAGCACGCTTAGTGCTGCTTTAGTTATGGGTGCGTGTTGGGGACAGGCGTGCAAAATAACAGCAGAGCGAATAACCAACGATTTTTTTTCAATATTAAAGTGCAAGGCACTGCGATTAGAACATAACCAACGTAAAGTAAGATAGCAGAGCTAATAAACATAGCAGTTATAACAGTAAATGTAAATTGGTTAAACTCCTTCATTTAAACACAAATTCTGCGATTAGAAAACCAAATCCCTTGCGGGTATACTTCATTATATTGCACGTCGCTTTATTGCCCTTCAGAAGTGTTGTGTTTTTTATCAATTGAAGGTAAGCTCAAACTGCAAATTTGGATTTCTCTTTTGCGTGAAATTGGACCATACCAGGACTAGGACGGGGACTTGCTCCATAAAATTAAGCCTCCCCCTTTGACCTAGGGAAACACACTTTCAGTTTCCTCTGGAGGCTGCCTTTCCCAGGTTGGCAAACTCTTCACCTAAATAAAGTCTCTCCTTTTACTGCACCCGAGATTGTGGACTCCTGTCGGCATTGGCTTGGTGGCATGTAGCAAGCTTTTGTTGACACAATAAAGGTACTACTCTATTTTTAAACGTTGTAAAAATAAGTAGCTTATAACTATATTCTCATTGTTAAAAATAAAATGCAAACAATACAATGTGTCCAGGCCTTTTCTTAGAGCAGGAGTCCCGAGACTGCAGTCTTGCTTTGTGTCTCTGGACAATGTGGAGCGTAATACACCCTGTAGTTTTGAAGTTTAAAGACTTATGAAAACTCTAAGCAAGCGCAGAATCCTTATACATTTTTACATGTTTTCCCCACTGTTTTACGCGTGTTCCAGTTTCATGCAATTCAACAGCACTTTGTTTTGTTTTGTTTTGTTTAGAGACATGCCTTTACTGGGCTCTTCAGGCCTTTCAGGTTTTCACAAAAAGAATTTATTATTGCATTTAAAAAAAAGCCCCATTGGTTTGGGGAGAAAGTAGTTAGCAAGTGATTTTGTTTCTGTGTGCTCTCTGTAACTCTCAAGCTTTTCTAATTAGAAACAAACAATTTCCGTTTTAAAACACTCACCAGAGAGCAATATCGATAAATGGCTACCATTCCATGGGGTTCTCAAATTGAGAAGGCTTTCACCTACACATTCTCATTTGGTTTTCATAATAACTCAGGGAGTTAAGACCATTTATTGCACCATAGCAAGTATGGCGGGGATGAATTAGTTTAAGGTGGAACACAATGACTACAAGTGCAACAGAGGGAAAGAGAACGGCATGCCTCAGTTTATTGTGCATCATGGTGTTGCAGTTTTTATGATCTGAAGGCAAGACTATCCACCCCTCAAAAGATTATGACTCTCTCTATTGTAAAACTTGCTTTATTACAGAGATCTGGAACCGAACCCGCAATCCCCCAGGTATGTCTGTAGAGTGTAGGGGAGGCAGTGACTGTGCAGAACAGGCACCGGAGGCCAGCTGCCTGGATTTGAATTCCAGCTGCACTTCTTGGGTCTTGGGAAAAGCACTTACGTCCAGGGGCTTCAGTCTCCTTACCTGTAAAATAGTAATACTCATAGTACCTACCTCGCCCCACCAGGTAGTTTCTGCCTGTTGTGTCTTCATGGGGTTTAAAGATTAAATGAGTTGATACAGGTAAAGAGCTGGGGACAGTGCCAGGTGACAGGCTGCCATCGATGGAGTGCTTACTATTTGCCCCTTGCCTTCTTACTTTGTGGTGTCTTTCTCCATATAACATTTTGGTTTCATTTCTCTTTCGATTCATGTATACCAGATCTTCTAAATGTTGTGTTTTATCATTAGGAAGGCCATTTCCAAGAGGTAACAACTGTGAACTACAAGGACCTGGACAACCAGATAACAGAATAGGAGTGGGAAGTAACAGGCATAGAGGGAATCTGAAAAATAGGTGGATTTACAGTATTGGTGTGACCTTTGAACTCACTAAAGCAGCGCCGCACCCTAAGGCAGCCGTCAGCCCCGTGTGGTTGTTGACCACTGACTTGGCCAGTCACTAGCACGGATTGAGATGTGCAGTAGGTGTACAATAGGTACCAAATCTCACAGACAGCGTGCAAAGAGACAGAATGCAAAGTATCTTATTTATAATTTATATAAATTACATGTTGAAGTGATACTATCTCGTATGTACTCGGTTTAGTTATATATATATGTGTGTGTGTATATGTATTTGTGTATATATATATATATTTGTGTATATATATATATGTATATATATATATATATATAAAAGAGGCAGAGCTGTGATTGACCCAGGAGCCCAGCGGCTTCCACACCTGGCCCCGCCCCTCGGGTCCAGCCAGCCCCCAGCGGCTGCAGCCAAGACCCGGAACTGTCCGATGTCCGGGACTCGGGAGGTCGAGCTCCAGGCTTTTCCTTGCCCCGCGCGCGTGCGCACTCCCACTTTGCTGGAGGAGTTTTTTTTTCCTGCGGTCCCCTTTTCTTCGAGCCCGGGTGGGGGCCAAAGACCCGGCGATCCAGGGGAGGCTGGGGTCGACCCGCCATGCGTTGGGGGCTGAGCCCTCGCGGCCCCGGCCCAGCGGCCCTGGCCGCCGCCCGGAGTCTCTGGGGACCGCCCTGCCTTCCCTGTCGCCCCGGGTGGCGGGGGACAGCAAGGCGGCTTTTGGTGCGATCAGTCACCGGGGCCAGTAATGAGCTGCAGAACTCGAGTAATGGCAGGTATCGGGAGACGGTGCTACTGCCCCAGACCAACTTCCCCATGAAACTGCTGGGCCGCCAGCAACCCGACTTGGAGCTGGAGATCCAGCAGGTGCGGCCCCGCCTCTGCGCCGCACTCGGGAGGGAGGCCGGACCCAGCCGGGTGTAGGGGAGTCGAGATGTCCCCGGAGCCACGCTGGGCGGGATTGGATAGGGCCGCGGGCTCCAGGCCCCTTTGCGGGGGGGAGGGGGGGGCGGTGTTGTGACCAGATGAGTGGAAACCAGCCCCTTGCCACAGGTTTTACTCTCTGAAAACTTAAGTGAAGAATCCTGGAGGTAAGTCCCTAAGTGCTAGCGGGTTCAGGAGCGGAACAATAAAGGGGAAAGTAAGATGCTCAGATAGCACGGGGTAAATTTAAGTCCCATTTTTAGCTTAGGCAAAACAGGTCGAATAGGGGATACTTTTCCAGTGCCTTGTGAAAAGTAAATTAACATGTATACATCTCAGTAAACTTTTGTTTATGAGGACAAGTGGAAGCTCACCTTCGTGGTGTTAGTCCGTCCCTAGCTGGAATTATGACTCGTTTGCAGGACTCCCTTTCCTAGACTATGCGTGTGCCTACGGTATTAGACTGGGTTTTCTAAGGGCGGGGATTCACTTGTCAATTTCTCTAATTCTAGAGTTTTAAAATCCCTGACACCCAGGATATATGGGTTAAGTAAATATGCCGACCTTAAATATGATGGTCATCTGAGTTCTAGACTCATCAACCTGTGCCGGCCATCTGAATTTTTAAACGTGTTTTATCCCGTGCCACTTGTATGCCAGGAACTGGGGCAGTTTCCAATGTTCTCTCCTTGCATCTTCACACCAAACGGATACTAACGTTTGTTCAAAAGCAGAAACAGGCCAAGGTCACATAGCAGATTGCACTGAGGGCTGTTTCCCATTTAGAGAGTAGCAAGTGTTTCGATTAAAGGGTAGCAAGTGGTCAGGTCTGAGTGGTGGGGCTGCTGAGAGCCTGTCCAAGAATTTAATGGTTCTGAACCTCTGTATGGTCCTGGGTGCTGTTCAGAGCTTAGATTTGATCCGAAGTCTATGGGGGAGACTACTGAAAGGTTCTCAAAAAGAGTACTCAGCTGTCTGAGGGGAGCGGTTTGGGAGGCTGGATGAAAGAGGTGAAGGGATTAAGCAAGAAAAAACAAACCAAAAACCCTTGAAAATAAAAGCAAAAACCCCTGATAGACACAGACAACAGTGTGGTGATTGCCAGAGGGACTGGGAGGTAAAAGAGGAAGAACTGGGGGATACTTGGTGATGGAGGGAGGCTTGACTTGGGGTTTTGAACACCTGATAAAATGTACAGGTGATATATTACGGAGTTGTACACTTGAAACCTCTATAATCTTACTAACAATATCACCCCAATAAATTCAATGAAAATTTAAAAAAATACTCATGTACATTTCAGAAATGTCACCATATGCGTTTACCGTTCAGTACTCCTAAAGGAGATAAGAAACGTCCGTTGGCTGTTACTTATGGTGAGATTCAGGAGTATGTATTTATACGATGTTCAGACATTCTCCCCCTTTTTAAACAGAAATGTGGATTTTCAGAACTGTATTCATGGCAAAGAGAAAGGAAAGTAAAGACAGAATTTTGTCTTCATGATGGACCTCCTTATGCAAATGGTGACCCTCACATGGGACATGCTTTAAATAAGGTAATATAATGAAGTTTATAAGTCTTGAAGGAAAAATCTTTATTACGTATACTTGATGAAAGAGTATTCTAATACTAGGACAACTGTGTAAGCTTGCATTGACACATAAGTGAAGGACTTAGTAGAAAGCAGCAATAAATCATTTCAGTACTGTATGAAAAATAACATCACTGGCACTTGCTTTGAGTTTGTTATTTTACATGACTAAATTTCATTTTATGCAGTAAGTGATTACTGAGCACCTACCATGTGCCAGGTGTTGTTTTAGATTGGTAATGTTTGTGAACAAAGGAAAGATAAGTCTTGACCTTTTGCAGCTTATACTTTAGCCAGGGAAGACATAATCAGATAAATAAAATATGTTACAGTTGCTACAGACTATTTGTTTCTTCTCCCAAATTTGTATATTGAAACCTAATCCCTAATGGGATGATATTTGGATGATGGGGCTTTTGGGGGGTGATTAGGTCATCAGTGGGATTAGTGCCCTTGGCAGACCCCAGAGAGGTCCCTTGTCCCCTTATGTTGTATGAAGTCATGAGAAGACAGTGGACTGTGAACCCAATAGCAGGCCTCACAAGATGCCTGATCTGCCAGAGCCTTGATGTTGGACTCCCCTGACTTAAACTATGAGAAATGAATTTGTGCTGTGTAAGCCACCCAGTCTATGCTGTTACCTTATAGCAGCCCAAACTGTGAAGACAATAGTGGTAAATGCTATAGAGGAAAATAAAGCAGGAAAGAACAATTGGGGGGCGGGGTCAGTTGTACAAACTAGAATATTATGAACTTGGTTCAGATGGGATGTCTCCCTCACTGACAAGGCAGCATTTGTGTAAAGTCCCCAGCAAGGCAGTGGGCAGTCGGGGCTCACTGGGGTAAGAGGTGTCAGGTGCAAAGACCCGGAGGTGGGTTTCAGGAGGCCACTGTCGCTCATCTGAAGTGAAGGGAGGGGAGAGGATTGAATGATACAGTTTACATTCAGTATTATTTTGTGTGTTCCAGGGTTAGCATAGTGGTTGGACAATTAAAATTACTTTTTAAACAGGAAGGATAGGCTGCTTATTTGCATATGACAAGCAAATGAGGAATTTGACGCACAGAGTTTTCCACTTTGAAATCTTATATTCTTTCATTTCTTTTGGGAGGCTAAAGTATTTTAAAACTTCAAATATCAGTCTTATATGTATGTAGAACTCGAATTAGGACATTTACTAGGTTACTTTATATAAATCCTTTTAAAATTGGGCTTTCGCAGTGTTTTAAAATATTAATAATATAATATAAATTTGGCGGTACCTGCTTCACATATGAAAGATGATTAGTGTTTCTTTTGCAGATCTTGAAAGATATAGCCAATCGATACCATATGATGAGAGGTTCCAAAATACACTTTGTGCCGGGTTGGGACTGTCATGGGTTACCCATCGAAATTAAAGTACTGTCAGAACTTGGTGGAAAAGCTCAGAATCTTTCGGCGGTGGAAATTAGAGAGAAAGGTAAGGAATCTATTTCTGTTTGAAAATGGTATTTGTAAGCACTGGTTCCTTGGAAATGTCTGAATTTTATCAAGAGAACTGTTGTATTTTGTTTTGTTTTGTTTTTGTAGTTATAAAGAGATCTGTTGGAAACCACTTTCTGTCAGAGAAAAATTCAGATTTTTTAAATTGCCCTTTGTGAGAACTTATGGTCAGTGATTAAAAGAGATTTGTTAGCATTTCCAAGTATATATTTTTAACTCTTTAGTTGTTATATTTGGGAAGTTGTTATTTTGGTCAATGTTTTTATTTATTTTTTTGCCTAGGGCTGTTGACCTATTTCAGGTGATAAAACAAAAGTAAATTCTAAACTACAGATATAGTTTAAATTGATCTTTTACTGGGTTTTTCAGTAGATGGGGTCAGTAAGGAATCTTGTATTCGTGCATGTTAAACAATTATATATTAGGATGCCACTGTGATGATTGTTTAATTCCTTATGAAACTTATTGGTACTGACTACATGTACTGATTAATTTTTTTGCATGATGAAATATATTCTCTGATCTTTCTTTAAATGAGGAAATTTGAAGAATCATTTTTCCAGTGTATTTTTTTTTCTAAAAGCAAGGTCATTGTCTAAAATCTGGAAAATAGAGAAGATGCTAACAATTTTAACTTTTGAAATTCTGGTTAATTTTAAACTTTGAACACCTTGAACTTTCAAAATAACTTTCCTATTAAATAAGTTTTACCGTCTAAACTGTGTACAATACCTGCATTTAGAGAGATACATGCTAAACCACGTTTAAAGCTCTGAATTTACTGGTTTCTACTTTTTTTTCTGTTATTATTTTGTTTAGCTAGATCATTTGCTCAAGCAGCGATTGAAAAACAGAGATCGGCGTTTATTCGTTGGGGAGTAATGGCTGATTGGAACAACTGCTACTATACGTTCGATGGAAAATACGAGGCCAAGCAGTTGAGAATTTTCTACCAAATGTATGACAAGGTGATGAAGTATCTTTTTCTTTCACATGTGTTAGGTTGTATTACAAAATTCCAGCTTTCTATATCTGTCTTCTTTTTTTTTAACAGGGCCTGATTTATCGATCTTACAAACCTGTGTTTTGGTCTCCCTCATCAAGGTATTTATTTTTGTGGTTTTGCTCATTCATGGAAAAGGTTTGTGAGGCTTCCACATAGTCAGGTCTAATGTCCTTAAACCTTAGGACTGCGTTGGCTGAGGCGGAGCTGGAATACAATCCCGAACATGTCAGTCGCTCGATCTATGTCAAATTCCCACTCGTGAAACCTGCTCCCAAGTTGGCATCTCTTATAGGTACGATTTATTTGTTGCTCGAGTTGATTTAAGTTACGGAACTGTGGCCCTTGCTCACATACTTGCAATTTGATTTTCACAGATGGCTCAGCTCCTGTTAGTTGTCTAGTCTGGACCACGCAGCCTTGGACAATTCCGGCCAATCAGGCCATTTGTTATATGCCAGATGAAAAGTAGGTATAGTATTGCATTTTTCCTTGTTTTATCCACAAAAAGAGTCTGTTCCATCTTAAGCACTTTTTGTATTTTATCCTTATTACCCTTCTAAAAGTTAATGAGTTATAACTTAACTATGCTGCTATAGATTTTAAGGTCTTATTTCAGCCTTTTGGGAAAACAAATGTAAGGTTTGAAGTCCTTTGAAAATAGTCATCTTTTTGTTATTGGAGTTGGTTTTTCTGAAATGATATAAAACATTGTAAAAGTTACCCAGGGCCTATCTTTGCTCATTGTTAGTCATTTTACCCTAAAACTTTATTTCAGGTACGCCATTGTGAAATGTTCCACATCTGGAGAGCTGTACGTACTGGCAGCAGAAAAAGTAGCACCTGTGGCTTCTGCTTTGAAAACAACGTTTGAGGTTATTGCAACATTTTCAGGTGAAGATTTGTAGCTCTTCTGACCTCCATAATCATCAAAACTCAGGGTTGAGTTCAGTACTTTACGGAACATGCTCGTTCTGAATCAAAGCAGACCATGGTCTCTGCCTCTCTAGAATATATTTTACAGTGATTCCACAGAAGGAGAGTATGTATGAAACATGACAGGAGCATAGAAAAATACAAACACTGCCAAAGGCACAACAGATTAGAAAAAGTTTCTGGCAAATATCCAACATAAAATTGAACACATAATAGGTTGTAGATGGTACAGATATCTAGATTTAAATTGCTGGAATTCTTTTTATTCTAGGTAATCAAAAGAGCAAGGAAGGAAGTAACTAAGTTTATTTTTGGTATCTGATTTCACTAAGGAAAACGAATAGATTCTGAAAATCAGTTCAAAGGTGTTGCTTCAGACAAAAGCACCTTTAGTAGGCTACAGAGTGGGACTAGTTGTGAAATATAGCTATGGAAGTCTAGGGAAGTTTAGAATGACCTTGGATCCTTAGGGATGATATATCTGTGGGTTTCTTACATTAACAAAAAATTAGTTTTTACATGAATGAGATACCCCGAAATGGAAAGGTTGCCTAATAGGGAAGCCCTCTGAATGCCTCAGTTCAGATACAAGCCCATTAGAGGTTTAAACAGTGATTCTTCCTTGTGGTTTTCTTTGCCCATAGGTGTTGATTTGGAAAACGGTGCTTGTGCTCACCCCTTAATTCCTGACAAGGTCTCTCCTCTCTTACCTGCAAACCACGTGACCATGGCCAAAGGCACGGGGCTGGTACACACAGCCCCTGCTCACGGTATGGAAGACTACGGTGTGGCTTCCCAGCACAACCTGTCCATGGTACCAGTCCTCTTGTTTCCTTTTTAATTGCTGCTTCTGTAGAACTCAAGTGATGAAACTAGCTAACCCCTTTCTCTTTTGATAGTAAACACTCATTTTTGCTATCCTAATTGTGAAATGCGGAGATTTGTGCCATACACTAAAGCTTCACTAATTTGTACTAATTGAGAAAGATTTCCTAGACTTCACACAGAATCAGTGCAAAGTTAAAATTGAACAATGTATATTAAATGGGGGCAGCTTTTTCTTTCAAATACGAAGTTGCATAGACAGATTACTTTCAGTCCCTGAAAAATGGCAAGTGGGTTTTATTGAGCTTCACTAGTTGAAAAGAACATGTTTTTGTTTTGTTTTGTGTTTTAAATTAAACAGCCCTATCTAAATTTATTTCACACACATCAATTACCTAGGTAGTTTTGCATTGAAAGGCAAGTCTCAAAGTCATCACTGTGTGTGTACATTGCCATAGACCCCTAAATAATAGAGACCAAGTTCAAAATGATTTTTAGTATGTATTTTTGTTACTATACTGTAGGGCTCTGCTTTCATGAGATATCTTGCCTTTGACCATATAACTGTATAAATTTACATTTCCTAGTAACCGAGTATGTCTCCAAATTGTCAGTGTAGTGAAAGAGCTATTTTATACATATTGTCTTGCCAGATTACTGTCATAAGATAAAGTGTTTTCATACTTTCATTGTTCACAATGACGTTGTAGGATTGTTTAGTGGATGAAGATGGGGTTTTCACAGACGCCGCAGGCCCTGAACTTCAGAGGAAGGCTGTCCTTGAAGAGGGGACAGACGCAGGTGAGCAGTCTGTGTGTTGATGTCGTAAATCTGCATTTTCCAAAAAGTGGCCAGCAGTCACCTTGACTTCGGCTTGCATCTTATACTTTCAGTGTAACCAAAGCTAAAACTATCTTCTTTCGCCACGTGGTTTAAAACGGAGTTGGGGAGTGTTTCCTCCCTGGACTGGACGTTGCTCCGTGTGAGCAAATCCGGGCAGCGAGCAGGGGGTGCTGTTACGTCAGGGCCCCACAGGTGCACAGCAACGTCTCTGTTTTGTGGCAGGCAAGCGGCAGGCTTGGGGCCGGATGTTGACTGTGAGCCAGACACTTCCCAGTCCTTCGGTGACCTTTGTTAAGTCACTGGCCCATCCAGCACGGTTTATGTATTGTGATCTTGGGGGGTCCTCGCGTCTTAAGCTGCCTTGCTGCCTTTCCAGAATTCTGGGTCTAGGGACCAGATGCTATGAAACCTTCTTTTGCCCACACTAAAGACTGAGGCTAATTAGACCCGGTGTATTCATCTCCTGGGTCTGCTGTAACATGCGACCATAAAGTGAGGGGCTTTGAACAAGTGGAATCCCTCACAGTTATGGAGGCTAGAGGTCCAAGAGTCACGGGCCATGCTCCCTCCCGGAGCCCTGTGAAGAACCCTTCCTTGCTGCTTCCTAGTTTCTGGGGGCTCCTGGTAACCCCTGGATTTAAACCACTCTGTCTTCCTCCAGTCTCCTCCTCCCTTCTCATGCATCCTTCTCTGCTTTCGTGTGTCTGTGTACCCTCTCCTCTTGTGAGGACGCCAGCCATTGGGTTTAGGGCTCACTCGAATCCAGTGAGACTTCACCTTAACTTGAGTACACCTACCAAGACCCCATTTCCAAATAAGGTCACATTCACGTGTACTAGGAGTTAGGACTTGAGCATATCTGTTGTGGGGACAAAATTCAACTCACTCTGCCTGGCTTCTTCTGGAATACATGGGCACCATTCAACAGCCTAGGTATGAAAGATTGGGACTCTGAATGTCAAAGGTAGAATTCTAAGGGCATCTTGTTCATCTTTCCTTTGAAGTGAAGGGAATGGCATACCTTGGATTCTGATTAGGTTTTGTGGTCCCCGTGTTTTCTGCCAGGAGAATCCCAGGTCATGCCTCCGGTCTCTGGTGGGTGGCCCCTCTTCACGACACCTGTTGGTCCAGAATTAGAACTCCCAGGGAGTTTAGAGAGTTGCTAAGGTTTTTGTAGCACTTTGAAATGATGTCTCATGCAAACTTTTACTGATTTTTTTTAAGTTATAAAGATGCTTCAGGCTTCAAAGAATTTGTTGAAAGAGGAAAAACTAGTACACAGTTACCCCTACGACTGGAGGACTAAGAAGCCAGTGGTTATTCGTGCCAGCAAGCAGTGGTTTGTCGATATCACGGACCTTAAGACCACAGCCAAGGTAGGGAAGGCACCTTACCGTAAGGGCTGGGTTTTCACGTTCTCAGACAGAAAGGGCTGCATGGGAGTTGAGGGAGCATGTTGGGAGCAGAGGGAATCGCTGCTCTTGGATTCATAAAATCGTCGAATTTCAGATCTGGAAGGACCTGAGTTAGATTTCCATCCCTTCGTTACCCACATGAGGAGAACCAGGCTGAAAGGCGTCAGGGGCTGTGCCTGAATTTCCTGCCCACCATGGTAAAAGTAGCACAGAATTAGGACAGAAGGGAATTTGGCGAGTTGTGTACCCTCCCAGAACCTCGGTTTCTCGTCTACTTGCAGGCGAGAATAAGGCCTGCCACACGGAACAAGTGAAGGCAGGTTCCTGGATTCGCTAAAATGCTTATAAAGCCCTTTGCTCCCTTCAGATGGCAATTCGGTCCATTTGAAAAGTTGTTGCTTTGTGTTCATACTTTCAGCAGATGTTCTAAATATTAATATGTATTTGAGCTCTTTCGTTCAATCACGTGTGTGTGTGTCTCTCACACACAACTTGATTCTCCTGAATGAAAGAGCTCACATATGTATTTGTTAACCAGGTTGAACACCGGACATTTGAGTTTACAGCTTGCATCCCAGATGTGACTGTACTTGGTTGGTTCACCTGCTGGTGTGGCAGTCTGGGGCCCCTGGCGAAGCCATGTGAGCACTACATTTTCTGTGTTTTCAGTGGACCGTGTGACATGGACTCGGTTTTTTAATATACTTTCCTACAAAGCCCTCACTTGTCAATGTTACAATCTGTAACTTCCAGCTCTGTACAGATTTTGGTGGCAGAAGATCTCAGTCTGCTGCAATATATGGAAGCCAGGTTTTTAAAACTGATGTCTTTGTATGCAGTCGTTCTTTGTAGAAATAGAATAGAGTGCTATATCGATGTTTCTCTCACCTAAGTTCAATAATTACCAACCCAGGGCCGATTTTGTTTGTTCCCACATGCCCCTCCCAGTCACCTTATACTCCTTACCCCTTGGACTATTTCAAAGCACATTTCAGGCATTCTTTCTTCCATAAATATTTCAGCATCAGCATGTGAGTCTGAAAATGTACAGACTCTTTAAAACATCATTCCAGTTCCATTCTCACCACCCTAAAAAGTATTAGTTATTCTTCGATAAAATCAAATATCCACCAGTATTCCCATTTCTTGGGTTTTTAGACCAGGTAGTAATCAAATTGAGTTGTAAATACTGCCACTGCCAGTAGGGGGTGGTGCACATGGCTTTGGGGGGCAGTTCAGGTAAGTGAGGAAACTGAATGTGAAACTGAAAATATAAAGATGCTTTTATTTGTGCATAGAAAGATTTAAAAAATGAAGTTAATGTATTTTGGGCCTTTTGGAGCTTATTACCAAACACTTTTTCTACATAATTTATCTTTTGGTAATTGACAGAGGAAATGAAATCAAATGCTAGTAATTTGCAACTCTGGCAGGATGGAAGGAGGGAGCGTTCTCGAGACATAGTTAAGTCAAGAGGAAGTTATTTTGAGAAAGTGTTTTTATGTTTTTGAACCATACTCTCTGTAAATTAGGTCACTCTGTATAAATTGCTGTCCTTGTCAACTCATGACAGTAGCTTTATTTTAAGCCTTTTAAAAAATTGGTTGAATTCAAGTTTGAATTGATTTTAACTGTAGTTTAATGAAGTATATAGTACTTCTACTAAACCTGCTATTACTAGTTTTGATCTAGGGTCCGTGGAAATTGGGATAAACTTTTACCACATGTTCCAGAGGTCACGTCAGCTCTTGATGTTCTTTACTAGGACTTTGTGGCCTTGTTTTAACTTTGCCTCATTTGCTCTGAAATCTGTAGTGTTTTAGCTTAGGTTTTTTGTTTGTTTGTTTGTTTTTTTGACAGGGGGAGTCTTGGGGATTCACGTGAATGAGTAATAATATCTAAAGTAAAAAACTGAATTAGGATAAATAGTGACAGTTCTAGAAAATTTCTTCCACTTTCTCTCACTGGACTTGGTTTGTGAATCGATGGCAGGAACTGCTGAAAAAGGTGAAATTTATTCCCGGATCAGCACTGAGCGCCATGGTGGCCACGATGGACAGACGGCCGTACTGGTGTATATCCAGGCAGAGAGCGTGGGGGGTCCCGATCCCTGTCTTCCACCACAAGACGAAAGACGAATTCTTGATCAACAGGTAGAATGTCCTTAAATTACTCACTGTTCGGAAGTGAGTTGCATTTTCTCCAGAAATGGGAAAACAGTGAATTATTGAGAGCTCCTGATATATGTTGAATAAAATGTTCTAAAATAATGATTTTGGGGGAGGATGGAGTACAAATTTCAGAAAGAAAGACCCTTTCACACGACAGCACTTTTAACAGCTATGGTTTCTCACTGTTTCCATAGAGAAGCAGAGGCTCTGGCCTTTTTTTCCTATGAGAATTCGTTGTTCCCGTGTGCCCTGGCATCGTGCTGGAACAAGCGGTCAGGAATCCAAAGATGGGCAGTGTGTTTTGGGGGGATGCTGGTGTGTAATTTTCCTCTATGAAGTGGGGTCGCTCTCTGACTTGGTCTGCCCCCCCTTTCAGTGAACATGGCATCATGGAATTATTTCGGTGCTTTCCAATTTAAGAAAATATAATATAGTTAAAGGTACAAAATGACTTATTTTAGTGATTACATTCCCAATTTTTTTCTTTCATTTGGAAAGGTAACACAGGGACCAAGTAAACAATTCAGAGCAGAAACGCTTGTGCAGTGAACAGGTGTTTCCCAGTCCATGCACGAGACCCTGGGAGGCAGCGCGGGAGGCTGCCCACCCCCCCACCCCACCCCCCCCCCCCCCGGTGATGAGAGGGTGGCCTGGCTCAGTTTCCTTCTGGCAGATTCGGGAGGCTCGCAGTACTGTGGCCAGCGGAAGCAGGAAGGGGAATGTGAATCACTCCTTTGGGGGGTAGGTTTTACTTTTTTTTTTTTTTTTTGAGTAATTTGAATTTAATTTGGTTACTGGAATTTTTACTAAATGGTTCTGTGAGGTGAGTAAAACGTTGGAGCCCATTTCAGTAAATACATTCACGTTTCCTCTGAGTGTCAGGTGAGATTTCTGAGGGCACGGAGGCCATCGGGTGCCTGGGAGCTCAGGAGACTGTGGACACAGAGCTGAGTGTCCCTGCGTGGGGCGGGGGGGGGGTTTGTCCCATCTTCATGAAAAAGTTCTTTTCATTGTCAACACTAACAGTGTTTCTTTAGGTAGCACTTTTTTGAAAATGTGTATTTCAGTTTTTCAAAATGTTGTTTAAAGCGTTTTGGGGGGTTTGTTTTAACCACTCCCAGCCACGTTAGGTGTGAAAGCTTTTGTCAGTTTGAAGTAGGCACCGTACCACTTCTGCATGGCCACTGGGAGTTTGACACCCCAGCCATCATGGCCCAGCGCGGAACTGGAGGCTAGCCCTGGGGTAAACACAGGGCCACACAGCGGCCCCTTTGCTTCACTCCCAGAAGATGTGGCACTTGAGCGGGGCCTTACGCATTCGGCAGAAGGTGTGGGGACTTGCTGGGACCATCAGGAGCTAAGGAGCTGCAGGGCAGGAGCATCGCATGTATAGGAACCATAGTGGACGTCAGTGTTCATGGGGCATTTCAGGAGCAAACACGGGGAAGAGCGGGCTAGGGCAGACTGGAGTGAGCCTTGAGTGCGAGGTTAAGGAATTGAAACTTTTAACTAGGCATGAGGAGTGAGAGTGTGTTTTAGGAAAAGACACTAGATTCTAGAGGGCAGGAAGTCATTGAAAGGCTTTTTCCTATAATTTTATTACAGTTGTAATTTTATTAAAATTTGGACCTAAGATTCTTTGGCCTAATTTGTTTCTTATGTTTTTTTTTAAATTGAGAGCTTGATCAGATATAAACTGCTAATATCTTATTACCTCTATTAGGAATTAAAGTTAAGATAAGTGTATACAAGTGTTTACAATTCCACACTAGAGTGTTTTCTTTTAAGGAATGGTTATAAGCGACTGTCATTGTTTCTCATTCTTTTCTGTATTTACAGAACAGGTTTTTAAGGGAACTTCCACAAATTGATTGGGGTAGATCATATGAAGCAGGGCAGACTGGTTTATTGGATCATTATTCAATCATGCAGTAAAATGGTGCATCGATTGATTGGTCAGTAAGCTGAGTGAAATAAATGTGAGCTTCATCAGAAAAACTCAGAGCAAATATCCATTAGATAGCATTTATGTTTTATTTGTAGTCAGTACATTTACATGGTTGTGTTGCAGATTCTTTCCCTGTGTGGCTTGCACGGCCACAGTAGGTCTGTGACATGGAAGCAGTAGAGGCATACAGAACATTGGCCTACAGAAGTGACAGACACACTTAGCCACAGTCTGTCAATTCGTAGGTCATTTTCCTGTACCCCATCTGTTAGCCCACGACAGGACCCGACGCACAGAGGGCGGTGGGGGGGGGGGGACGGGAGGAAGGGGCAGACCACTGCAGATGCGTAGGTGGCAGGTCGAACGAGCAGGGGGACTCGTATGAGAGTCACAGTGACCATGATTTTCTGTCTTCTTGGATGTGCCTTATGTTGTAGCGAGTTGGAAACCATCAAAAGTAACAGCATCTCCACTGGAAATCGGTACCCAGTCCACATGGAGTTGCTGTTACACTTGATAACTCCATTGTGTCTATCACAAGACTCCTTCAGCTTTTCTTGATGAAAGTCCGTGCATAATCTCTGACGTATACTTATTTCACAGAAGAAAGCCTTCATGTATTCATACTCTAAATAAATTTACAGCAGGCCTATTGGAAACTCTCATGTTTAATTTTGGTTTGAATTAATGTTCTCATCGGTACTTTATATTCATATTTGTATTTTCTCAAATTATTCCATTTCTGTCTCTGACATCATTGGTCATTGTCTTAATCTGTAATCTAGTGCTGTTATAGTTTACGTAGAAATCTATTTCTAGTTAATAAAGACAAAATAAATGCATTTTAGCATAAAAAAAGATAAGATAGAGAAACGCTGGCTACCTAGAAAGGAAAAGAAATTGTTAAATTTCTTCCACCATTTCAGATGATTATAATTAACAGTATTAATGCTGTAGTTAATGAGCATTTAGGGAACTTAGCTCCCATTTCTGGAAATCATAAAGAACTGCCTAGAAATGGGCAGGGAATTTCTAGTTTAATTCAAGTGTAAACTTTAGCTACCTCAGATTTTTGCTCATGTTAATGATCTTTTGGTGAAAAATAAAGTATGGTGTTTAATAAATAAAGTCTCTCCCCAATTGTTTCCTGTTACCTTTCAAACATAAGTATAGCATTAAGTTAAAAATAGCTTCTTCCTTCTCACATTTCACTGTTGTTCTAGAATGAAATTTCATAAGTGTATATGAAACAGTTAGCCTCTTACCTCAGTCTGGCAACTCCCAGGAGAAGAAAGGGACGGAGTCCTCACATTTTGCCTCTGTGAAGACAAAATTCAGGGAGCAGTGGAGGACAGCAGCAGTGTCTTGGTCGCCAAGTGATTCCAGCGCTGCTCCATCTCCACTCACAGGCTAAATAAGCTTTCGGGCTGTTTGATATCAAAGTGCAGGGTGATTGGCTGGTGTTGTAGTTGCTCCTACCTCCGAGGGGTTTTCGCTGAGTAACCTAGGGACACGTCCTGCGTGTGTTTAGATAAAGCCCTTGAGCAAAGTACAAAGTTTTATGATGATGGGCTCATTGCTTAATGAGATACAGCAATGAAATGGAAGCGTATAGGTTATGTGCTGATAAGCAGTTTCACCCACTCTAGTCAGCAGCAGTTTACACGGGCCTCTGGGTTATAAGCCAACTGCATTAAGTACAGGATATTAACAGACTGGGGCTATTCTTAAATTTTCAAATATAGATTTTGACTTCTTCCTTGTACTTTTTTGAAGAATATTTAGTATCCCTAAGAAACACCTATAAAATGTTTTTTAAAAATTTAAAGCTTGATCTCAATTTTGTTATAAAAGTGTGCACGTCTAAGCATCCTAGGGAAATGAGAGGATTCTTGTCTTGCACAAAGACAATATACAGGGTAGCTGTTTACGAAGGAGCATGATAATATAAAAAAGAGATCACGTAGGTCAATTTCAGAAGAATGAATCCACAGCCATTAAAAACGGTAGTTTGGCAGTTGCTGGTTGCTTAGTTCCCTGTTGATGGAAATAGTATAAACTTAGCCCATCCAGCGCTTGGCTGTTTCCAGGTTTTTTCTGCAGAGCTTTAGTGAGTGTCTTTGGGGTGCTTGTGCAGGCAAGGCTGGTATTTCTTTTCCGAAACTATCTTTTCAGATTTAGTTTGAACATTAAATGTATTTTTATTTTGCAGTCCAGCAAACTTTGTTTGTAGATTGTGTGTGTGTGTCTATTTTGATTGCAAGTTTTTAAAACTCAGTGCCAGAATTTCTCAGGATCATTCAGACCACTGGAGTACAAATCAAGAGAAAGTTTTCACTTTGTGATTTCAATTCTGTCCACTTAAATTTTGATTTGTTTGGAATGGGAGAATGTTTTTGTCCTTGAAATTTGCATTCTTACATATCAGACATTTTGTTCAGTTTTTAATCCTCTGATTCCAGAATTGTCTAGAATTTGCTTTTGTTTTAAAAATAAATAAGTAGTATAGTTGTCTAAGATCTCAAAATATACACAAGAAAATGTAGGCATTCAAACACAAATTTTATTTTGACTAGAGGTGGCTGCATTCGAGATGACTTTGAGGTTCTAAAATGAATATGTACCCGCACATATTCTGGAGCTGGAAGAATCTGTAGTTGGAAGTTACTAAAATATTAGGCCTTTTCTTTTTTTATTTTTTATTTATTTATTTTTATTGATTATGCTGTTACAGTTGTTCTATTCCCCCTTTCATTCCCCTCCACCCTACCCCCCCATCCCCATCATTACCCCCCTTTAGTTTATGACCATGTGTCTCAAGTCCTTTAGATTCTATATTTCCCATGCTATTCTTGCCCCCCCTTCTATTTTCTATCTGTCTATGCTACTTATTTTCTGTACCGTCTCCCCCCTTCTCCTCCTCCCACTCCCCTGCTGCTAACCCTCCACCTGATCTTCATTTCTATGTTTCCACTCCTGATCTAGCTGTCCTTTTAGTTTGCTTTCGTTTTAGGTGTGGTTGTTAATAACTGTGAGTTTGTTGTCCTTTCACTGTTCATGTTTCTTTAACTTCTTTTTCTTCGATAAGTCCCTTTAACATTTCATAGAATAAGGGCTTGGTGATGATGAACTCCTTGAATTTGATCTTATCTGAGAAGCACTTTATCTGTCCTTCCATTCTAAATGAAAGTTTTGCTGGACAGAGCAATCTTGGTTGTAGGTCTCTGGATTTCATGACTTGGAATACCTCTTTCCAGCCCCTTCTTGCCTGTAAGGTCTCTTTTGAGAAATCTGCTGACAGTCTGCTGGGGACTCCTTTGTAGGTGACTGTCCCCTTAGCTCTTGCTGCTTCTAGGATTCTCTCCTTCATTTTAATTTTGGCTAATGTAATTATAATGTGCCTTGGTGTGTTCCTTCTTGGGTCCAACTTCTTTGGTACTCTCTGAGCTTCCTGGATTTCCTGGAAGTCTATTTCCTTTGCCAGATTGGGGAAATTCTCCTTTATTATTTGTTCAAATAAGTTTTCTTTTTTTTAAAGAGTAAAATGTTTTACACAGCTTTCCCCGGTGTTCACCGAAAGTGAAGCCCAGAGACAGAGTCTGGTGTGCCCCAGGAGCGTCTACTGAGTTGCAGGTGGGGCCTGGTCTTTGGACTCGGGTTGTGTCAACACAAACGTCTCCAGAGACTTCCTGGGGCCGCGCCCCCACCTCGGGCCCAGGGTTTCCTTGTGCCTGGCTGATAAGAGCCCTTCCGCCTTTGCTCAGCAAGCCCGAGAGACGGTGGTTGTCTTTCTAGACGTGTTTGCGAGGCTGACTGGACCATGATTTAGGAGACAAGCTGTCAAGTTCAAGGCCTGGCTTTAGCTGTGCCACCTGTATGGGCTCATGACTATGACGCAGGCACAGACAGAGCTGCTCAGTGTTTTTCTGAGAATCCAGTGAGGGTGTGCTGGAACAGGGCTCTAGAAAGTATAATGTGTGGAGTGCACACACATGTTTATTAGACTGATAATAACCTTGGTCCCCGACATTTCTACCTCATTTTCTAAATGAATGTGAAATTTGAACCATTTGCTTTACTTTTTAATCTGTGTGTTGCCAACACCGTCAGGACTGGTTTTCTATTTTATTTTACTCTTTACCTGAAATTGCAACTCATTTCTACAGTGTATCTGCTGTACTTTTATATGTATAAATGCACTTTGCTAGTATTTCTTTTTGTCAGGTTTATTCAGATTTTTTATTATAGTGTATTCATATTTTCCTAACTGATAAAATGTTCTGTGCAACCTGCATAAAATAATAATAAGTAACTAAATATCATCATGTAGTAATTAGATAGTTATTGCACAAAGTTTTTATGGTCTCATCACAAAAGTTAATCTTTACCGTTAAAAGTCCATCTAAAATGAGTGACCCTACAAGCTCTATGGGCTTGCGCCCATTTCAACACTCTTGTTATTTATAATTTCTTCACATCGGATGCTGGTAGCATTATGCTTTTCCATCTCTTAATAGCTCATTTTGCTTCATAGCAATATTTTGCTATTATAAGGTCTTTCAACATGTCAGTGTGTAGAATATATTTAATTTACATTACCCATTTGGTTTTGCTTCCTATAATTTTTCAAATAATCACTTCATTTATCAGCTAATACTCAGACCGGACAAGTTAAATGATTTGCCCTGCACAGTTATGATTAGTAGGCTGCAGATCCAGATTAAGAACTTAGAGCTTTGTCGTACCCACTCTTTCCATCTCATCCACTCTCGTGTCCCTAGCACTAATCCTCAGCTACTTGCATTGGTGGACTGTGGTAGAAAGGAGGATAGTAGAAAAGTTGGCTTTAGTATGTCTATTTTAATTAATTAATTATTATTATGGTATATGTGCTAGTAATTGGTTAACAAAATTAACTGTCTAAATTTACTTTTCAGAGAATTCATTGGAATAATAGCTAATGCTTATATAATTCTTACTAATGGGTACCAGACATTCTTTCAGGCATTTTCTATATAATCTTGATTAATGTCCAGAATAGCTGGCTTAATGATACTGTTTTGTCTGCATTTTACAAATGGTAGTGCGGAAACGTGAAGTGCCTTCGCCAGCGTCACATAAGTAGAAAGTGGTAGAGCCCGGGCACAGCGCCAGCCGGGTCCAGGGTCCAGGCTCCTGGCCATGAAATGCACTGCGGTTCAGCGGAAAGCTCTAGAGGAAGCTGTAAAGCCCATAAAGCCGTGATAAAAAATTAAAAGCCCATTGTTCCTATGAGAGAATTGAGTGTAAATTTCCCCCCAAGTTTAATTTTCAAATAATTTCTAACCCTGTATCTTCCCCAAGGTAGGGTCAGTTTCGTTATTCATCAGTGTGCATTTATTGGCTTTCTGTGGTGTGCTTGGCACTGTGCTCAGTTTTGCGTGGATGTGCGCATCCCGTTTGCAGTCGTTCTACGGGAAGGATATAGGGTCACTGAAATGTAAGTTCATTAGGGCAGGGATCTCACCCGCCTCATGAGCTGTTTTCTCCAGGGCCTAGGTCACTGTCAAAGGCAGTGGAGGTGCCCAGTAAGCGTTTTTGAATAAATGCATTTTATTACTCGCAACAGAGACTTCAAGAAGTTTTAGGCCTTGTGCGCGGCCATACGTATAAAAAGTGGCAGCGTCAGGATAAGAAAGAGCCTGGCGATCTGTTGTCGAAGGGCAGTTCCAGCGCGGCATTGCCCCTGCGGGCATGGGATTGGACTCAGTCCTGCGAGCTGCAAGCGGGGCACTGGAAGATTTTGGGGGGGATCATTGGTGTGATAAAAGCAGTTTTGGGAATGCATTTTTCTCAAAGGCGTACTGTGAAATCAAGGGGATGAGAAATGGGGAAAAGTCTAACCACTGCATCAAGCTACAGTAGAATTGAGGCCATGACGCTGGACTAATTCAGTATCAGTGAGGTGACTAGTTTGAGTAATACTTCGAAGGTGGAAGTGGCAGAGTGTGTTGCGCTATTTGGGGCAGAAATTGGGGGGGACAGTTACGAGGTTTTGAATCTAGGTACTTAAATAGAAAATGGCTGGATAGAAATAGGGCGATGAGTAACTGAAACAGAGATATTAGGAGAAGTCTTTTTTTCTTATAAGGGATACATATGCCTTAATTTTATTTCTTAGATACTATTAATATTGATATCATTTATGTTGAATTCGGATGACAGCAAAGTAATAGTTGAAGAGGGTACCACTGAAGTTTGGGTGGGGGAGACAGGAAAATCTGCTGCAGCTAGGAAGAGGAGTTAAAGTTACTCTTTTTCAATTTTAGAATGTTTGGCATTAATCACAATAGTTAAGCGAACTACTCTGTCCTGTTCCCCTCACACAGCCAAACCATTGAGCACATCACTCAGCTCGTGGAGCAGCATGGCAGTGACGTCTGGTGGACTCTGCCCCCGGAGCAGCTTCTCCCTAAGGAAGTCCTAGCTCAGGTGAGGTTCAGTGTGTGATTAATGTTCGCGATGCCATGTGTGTACTGCAGGACTTACCAACCGCAGAAGGGGTCCTTGGGAGCTAAAAATGTAGGTACATTATCACATAAAGTGACTGAGTTTATTCACTAGGAATGAGAACGCAGTGCCCTTTGAGAACAGGCATTTTCGTTTAGCTGAGAAGCTTAGTCCTTAACGTAGCCGTAGCGTGTGAGGGTTACTTATCTCATCGAGGGCCAAAGTTTTAACCGATGTGGTTACGTAGCTATAACTGTGAGAACAGGGCCTAATGTAGGGACAGCAGGACTTTGCAGGACCTGAATTAGAGGTGACCAATGGCACCGTACACCGAAAATCCAAACTGGGGGATAATTTCAAGAAAATAAAAACGAAAGCAAAAAATAAAAAAAAAGTTTGTGTTTCCGTTAATAAATGTGTAAATTAAGCGGCCATAGTCATTTTTATGTGCAGATGAGTCAGTGGTTACAAAATTGTGAAATATTTTGAAATGTTTTAAATTTATTTTAAAATGTGAGTTTAATGGTTCTAAGTGTTTCATCTCGTTTTGAGGTTTTGGGTATTTATTATCTACATTTGTTAGTACAGCAGGAATGCTCTTCCATTATCTTACTAGGCTGGTGGCGCCGACGCCTTGGAGTTTGTGCCAGGCCAGGATATTTTGGACATCTGGTTCGACAGTGGAACTTCATGGTCTTATGTCCTCCCAGGTAATCTTGAAGTACTAGTTTATGTACCAGTCAGGTGGCTTCGAGAATATATAAACATGGCATAGAAGAAATCTGTAACCCACAGTTCTTTTTGCTTTATTTGGAGGAGCTGCTCTAATGTAATTTTAGATCTGGAAGGAATCCCTGGAGATCATTTAACCTAAAGATTTGTACACTTTTTGTTTTCCAAGTGAAATTTCCAAATAAGATGGGTAGAAAAGGGAATTTTCTCCCTCCCTCCCACCCCCTGGCCCCCCTGCCAGCCCCAAGGTACCAGTTCTGTGAACAGAGCTTGGACATCACCGAAGTGGTCTGACCCCATCGTTTTTCAGAGGAGAGATTGAGACTCATTAGAGGCGAATGAGGTGATGGTCACAGAACCTCGGTCAGACTCGAGGGCTCAAGCACCCTGATTTTCAGTTCTCATTCTTCTCCACTACTGTGCTTTTCCACCACCCCCGCCCCGCCACCATACAAGCAACTGACTGATTTTATACGCATCATAGTTAGGTTGAGTCTGCAGAAGAAATGCCCTTGAGGATACTGAGTGGAAAGTTAAAGCGAAGCATGTGGCTGGTCATCACCCATCACCATGCGGGTCAAGTTGGGGACGAGGTGCCAGCGAAGCCACAGTCACTCGGACAGGGCCTGCACTGTTCCCGCGGGCCACCTTTGGCCCAAGAGATCCCTTTTTCTTTCTGGAGCAAGGGGGTGTGGGAAAAGTAGCTTGTGTGCACAGAGGCCATGGTTGGTGGGATTGAAAGGGACCATCCTCAAGTTTTAGCTAGCTGCGGGGTACTGGTCCCCTACCTCACTCGGGGGAGGAGAGCAGTATGGTTGCTGTAGGCAAATACATTCCTTCATTTAGGCCTTTCTTTCGGCTTAGGAAGTTTGAAAAGTAGAATGCAAGTAAATCCATGTTGACTTTATATTATAGCTAAAATATACAAAGGTAAGTTATATATGAATAAGATTTTTATAATTTTTATGTAGTAATTTTCAGAAGTATTCTTTCAAAAGTTTCACCATATTTAAGAGAAAATATTGCCAGTTTAGGTACTTTGTTTTCCTAAATTACATTGAAAATGTAGGCAAATAGCATTGCATAAGGTAGGTGCGTTACATAGCGTTGTCATATAAACAGGAAAAAGAGTTACCTGCTGCCACATTTGGGACAGCGTCCTGAGTTTCGGGAGCTGCCATTATGTGAAACTGCGCTTGCGTAGGATATTTCGGAGCTCATTAACCACCTCGGCCACAGTGGAGTTGCTGCTACTGGCATTGCTGCTTTTTAATTTCTGAAGTGGCTTTGTATTACCAAGTGCAGCGTTTACAAGTTGGAGCCACAGACGGGAGTGAAGAGCCAAAAGGGCCCTTAAGGGTCCCCCTGCCGCTGTCCTTGGTGCTGAGAGCAATCAGGCCTTCTCTGCATAGTTCACGGCGTTTTCAAATGACCATTTGTGGCAGAAATACTTATTAAAGGAAGTTAGTGGTAAGAGTGCAGTGGTCAGCAAACCTTCCTTCCCTTTCCTGCCACGTTTAGGTGATTAATCAAAGAAATAAAATTAATCTGTTATTTAAAGATGCATGTTGCATGCATAGGGGCTGTCAGAACGTAAACGACCTTTATAGATAATGCGTGAGCCCGATTTTAGGCTGTAGTTTCTGCTTTTCACTCAGATCTCATCTTCCTCCTCAAAAAAGTAAATATTCAACAAAAATTAGGTTAGTCAGCTAACCTCCCTGTTATTCCTTTGTGATAAAAAAAAGCCTCAAAAGATAGGCAGTAACAAGTGCGAATCAAGACACTAGGTGAATTCATAGTTTAAAAGTCATAAAGTAGAGGTGACTTGCCTTAAAAAAAAACAAAAATAAAAACAAGAAGTTACCTACTTTCTTGAGAAGGTTTATTGTACTTCTTTTTCTTTCTCAAATGGTTTGTATCAAGTCCAACATGAAATGATTTAATGTCTATGTCCATCTACTTCCTTGAAAGTATTTATTGAAAAATACAATCAACTTGATTTTGAGCTTAATTTTAGCTACCAGACTTCATCAGTGTCTACTATTATTTAATGAGATGAATTTGGTGATTATATAGCATACATATCCAGTTTTAATTTTTGCTAATTGATTTTCTAGTAGTGAAAGAGACTTGTCTTATGAATTTTAATGCCAGGTCAAGTACATGTTCCATTGTTCAAGTTCAGCAGAACTTAGGACATTGAAACTTGAAAATTTCTGAAAGGGAGCAGTATTTTTAAGTGGGTCACACATAGGTAATAATACATCATCCCTGTATTTCTAAAACATTCTTTAAACATTGAGCAAAGGCATTAATTATTGTGGTGATTTCTTTAAAAAAAAAGCTATGAACTACTTTTGTGCTTTAAATAGACTTTATTTTGGAAAGCAGTTTAAGGTACGTCACAAAGTAGAGTGACAAGCAGAGGTCCCTACCCTTTGTCCCCTCTCCCCGACAGCCTCCTGGTCAGCATCCCACATCACAGGGTCGGTCCATCTGTGACAGCTGCTGAACCTACCCTGACCCATCATAATCACCCAGAGCCCACAGTAGACACCGGGGTCACTTTCAGTGTTGTGCATGCTGGGGGTTTGAACAGATCTGTAGTGACAAGTGTCCTTCATCACAGCATCACAGAGCGTTCTCACTGCCCTAAAATCCTCTGTATTACGCCCTTCATCACAGCTACCTCCCGCCCCAGCCCCTGGCGCATGTGGCTCTTCTGTAGTTTGCCCATCTTTTGACTAGGCTGTTGTCAAATTAGAAATTAGTAACTTGCCCTTTATAAAGACACGTTGTCCTGATTTCATTTCTTGCTTAAGCACATGCCCTCCAGACTGTCTCGGTTCACAATCCGTATCTACTGTTGCTTATCTGTGTAACCTTGGACAAGCAATAAACCCTCTGAGGGCCCACGTTCCTTGGGTATAAAATGGGGAAGTGATGGTCCCTGCCCCACAGAGAGAACTCTGCAAATCCAGTGAGTTCACATACAAAGTTATCGGGTCCTCGGCAAGTATTTGTTAAATTGATAAAAACAGTAGTTTGTTCTCATGCAATATTTAACTGATGATATTGATATTGATAATTATGAATTGGACCCTCATTTAGATAGTATTGTAATTACCTGTGGTTTGGCAGTTCATACTCCAAGGTTTATTTTCTTTATGTTGATTGATAAATTGGCAGTGATCGTAACAGCTCCGGTGAATGCAGTCTACCCACTGGGTATAGCCTGGCGCATGAAATAATATAATTGCTTTTACCGTTTTTGTACTCGAATACATGTTCCTTTCTGTTTCCCTAGTTTAATTACATGTCTGCCTTTGTTAATATTTACTTTCGAGGTACGGACCAGACAGCAGATTTGTACTTGGAAGGAAAAGACCAGCTGGGTGGTTGGTTTCAGTCCTCCTTGTTAACGAGCGTGGCAGCGAGGAAAAAGGCCCCTTTTAAGTGAGTATCGTACCGGAGCCACCCTGGTCAGCCCACCGTGAGCACGTCCACTGGGCACTGGCCAGTGCAGGGGCCCTGGGCTGAGTAGTGTGTACGGGCCTTCACCGCCTTCTATCAGCCTACAGTCTCATGGGAGTTTGAAGTGAAAGGGGGGCGGGGAGAAGAGGTCACCACACAGAGAAGAAGGCTTGTCCCGAGACAGGTCATAACCCTGAGAGGAGGAAGTCAGCACTGACAGCTGAAGTGGGGAACCTGAGGAGAGCCAGACCCCCAGACCTGGCAGGACTTGGCTCAGAGGGATGCCAGCGAGGGCTTTTGGGGTTCACTGAAGACAGCCTGTGGGCCCAGCTGCCTTGTACCCTGAAGGTGCGAGGGAACCGAAACATCCCTTTAGTGAATTTTGTTACATTTGGGGCTCTTGCTCGTGGGCAATTGCTTTTCCTTATGCACATATGTGGATAGAGGCTCTAATCTGGAAGATTCTTAAAAGAGCTCAAGATTTTTACTGTCTTACAATGAAAGCTCATTCCAGAACAATATAAATGTTTGTTTCTTGTATGACGTGCTTTTATAAGCCAACAAAACAGTAGTTGCGTTTCTCTTGAATTGTCATTTTGAAGATAATTTGAGGTGATAATCTGCTTTTTTAAAGACATAACATTTTCCTGGTTAGTTTTGATCATCAAAACCAGCATATAATAGATGTTCAGGAAATACTTCAGTGATTGCAAACATCGATAATTTTTTTCTGTTTATAAGTAGAAAGCTGCTAAAATTAGACTTTCGAGAAAAGCTCTCATACATAATCAGTCAAGCAAAATCCTATTTTTGCATCAAACCAAGACACCCCCTTTAAGCCACCTGTGGAAAGACGGCAATGACGGTGTTTCCATATTCGCTGATTTGCCTTCGCAGGACAGTGGTCGTTCACGGATTCACCCTTGGAGAGAAGGGAGAAAAGATGTCCAAGTCCCTTGGGAATGTTGTCGACCCCGACACTATTGTCAACGGAGGTCAAGTAGGTGGTTCTCGAAAGCTGTTTGTTTTGGTCTTGAGACTCTTTAAGTTGGCGGCCGAAACCCTTAATATATAATTACCTCTATGTTTTAAAAAAAACAGATATCTTTTATACGAATAGCATGTGCCTTACCATGTCTTACATTTGACTCTTACATAATGCTTGATTTTTGGAATAAGGGAAGGGCTGGGGTTGTGGGTGGCCCTTGTGACACATTTCAGGTCTGAATCTGTAGGTCCTGCACCAAAAAAAGGAGGGGTGCTTTTTCACTTGAGCTTTAAACTCTCATTTTACATTTGAGTGGAAATGGTATGAGAAAAAAAGAGATTGCAACTTCTAAATGCACGTTTCATCATTCTTGGAAATTATATACTTTAAAGCATGTCCTTAATGAACGTCAGATCTGGGGTTGCTGATAATGTGGGTTATTTTGAAGCTGTTTTGAGCAACGACGCCACTTATCCGTTACTCCCTTGGTATTTTACCGCCCTCCTCATGTCCAGTGACCATCTCTCTGTGTACGGAGGTGCTGGGGGCGTTGAAGGGAAGAGCAGCAGCCTCCCCGCCGCCCCAGACGTCAGAGCACTGCTGTGTGTCTGAGCAGCAGCTGTGAGAGACATGCAGGCGTGACCAGGGAGGAGGAGCTGGGTGTCGCGTGGGGTGGCAGCCTAGGCTTTTTCTTCCGTGTCGTTTTCTTAGATGCAGCCTGAACTCTGAGGTTGTAGCCCCTATTTCATTGCAACGCAAGCGTTTTTTGATGCTCATGTTGTGCTCACACACGTTTGAGGGGGACTACGTGAAAGATTCGTTCACCTCATTGGCACTGAAAGCCATTCATCTATGTGTGTGTTTGGGTTTTTTTTCCTTCATCGAAAAGGATCCCAGCAAAGAGCCTCCTTACGGTGCGGACGTCCTTCGCTGGTGGGTGGCCGAGTCCAACGTCTTCACTGAAGTGACCGTCAGTTCATCCGCACTCAGCGCGGCCAGAGATGATGTTAGCAAGGTCAGTCCCTGTCCTTCCTGTTTCTCGGTGAGAAGTTCACTGAGCCACCGATTTTAAAGAAGGGGCGCATTTCGTTTGACACTACAAAACTGAATGAAAGTGAGTTCTACACGTGTGAGCGTTTAAAAATATCCCATATTCTATGTTTAAAAGTCAGTAGAAGTAATAACTTTATATACTTTTAAATATTTTTTTAAATAAAGAGCATATGTGAAATTGTACACATTCTGTAGAAGCTGCATTTTGAAAGTCCACCCATGTTTGCTAATGGACACTTTAATATTGTAAACAAAAAAGAATCTGCCAAGACCATGCGACTGGTATGATTGAATTCACACAGAACCGCACTCCCCCCTGCTACGGTGTGTTTACACAAGGCCCTGATCAGCAGAGCAGTTTATTTCTTCATTAACCGAACTCTTGTCTAGACATGAACTTTAGAGAAATGATTCCCCCTCACGTAAAAAACCCATGGTCGTGACATGAGCCAGGTAAAAGGCTCAAAGATTTTGTGCCCTTCCCTACTACCCCTGTAACATCTCCTAGAGTTTTAGGGGAAAGAAGGAAAGTCTTGAGGTACCATCAGCTCCTCGCATTCACTTGGAAAGGCCTCACGTCAAACGGAGAATGATGACCTGCCAGGTGCAAAGCAGTCAGGTCCCTTCCCAGGGCACCAAGGCTGAGGGTAAGACGCAGTGCTCTTCCGAGTCAGGGAGCTGCTCTCGCAAAATCCTGGGCACGAAATCGACCACCAGCATTAGTGCATTAATAGTGCTTCCCAGAGACCGAGTTCTTCGGTGATTCGGGCCCATGGCCTCAGCTTCAGGTGCACCAGCTGAAAAGCATTCTGCAATCGAATGCTGTACCACTGAGCTATACCCCTGCGCTGAAAAGCGTTCTGAACCAGATTCATTCCGTGGATGAAAATCAAACACGCCCCATACGTCGGCACTCACTTTCACAAGGAGGGTTTGAAGCAGTATTTATGTTACGTATCAGTAATTACAGACAAATGCAGATACGTAAGGAATGTCTACTGCACTGTCGATTATTTTTTTAGAAAGTTAACTTTAGATCCTGTTCTGTATCTGCGAGGACTGGAGAGAATAACACTGTGTAACTAAGCGTTTACTATGTGAAATACTGGCTTTGTGTGCTTTACAGATTTCTTATGTTTTATGGTTTATGTTATTATATTTGACAATTTTATATGCTTTTTATGTGCTCAGCAACCTCCCACATTTATTTCATTTATCCTTTGCACCTACACAGGTGAGCAAACTGGGCTGCTGAAAGGCGGCTGCCCTACAGTTAGAAAGAAACGGAAAGGAAGTTCTTTACGTGTAAAGTCCAGGGGTTGTTTCTGCACATGGGCCGTTGAAATGAATTGCATTTTGTTTCCTTGTTTCACATTCGTCGGCTCCGTTAGGGATGTTATTTTAAAAGTATCCCATTAAGAAAATAACATGAGTTGGATAAAACCTAATTGTAGAGAAATAAAGTAACTGTTCAGAAGAACTTACCACCTCGTAAATTGTTTTTGACTGCCTGTTTTTGTTTTTGTTTTTCCTTTCCCAATAGCTTAGGAATACACTCCGCTTTCTTTTGGGAAATGTGGCTGATTTTAACCCAGAGACAGATTCCATCCCCATTAACAAAATGTACGTCATAGACCAGTACCTGCTGCACTTACTGCAGGACTTAGCAGGCAAGGTAAGTGGGAAGCAACCCTATTGGGAAGGGAGAGACCAGCACCGGTCGAAATGTGATGTGCACCCAGGTGGAACAGCCTTACTAGAAGGTTAGGGACAAACTTAACCACACAGCCCTGAAAAGAGTTCTGCTTGATAAATTCCCCATGTTCCAAGGTTGACCTGAGGTTTAAAGTCTCATAATTTCTTTCCCAGTTTCTCGGAAGATGAGAGAATTACCTCGTGGAAACAATAGGCCCAGACTTTTCAGACCACATTTTCACTCCAGATCAGCTCTATTATCGAGTATTTTTCCAGCCTGGAAGGAATAGAGTTGTACTTTACTTACCTGCAGATATACCCCTCAAAGTCTGGAAATAACTGAAATGAGTATTTCTCTGTCTTGTAAGATATCTTATCGCTTACATATAAACACAGATCACTTCTGCTACTCAGGAATTGGAAGTGTGGTTGCTTCCACATACCCGTAAGTCAAGAGGCAGGCGTGTCGATTTTTGGCCAATTTTACTTTCCAGGCATAAACGAGGCAACAGTGGTGACCTACAGTCTTTGCTGCTTTTAAATGTGTGGTGTCATCACGCAAAACGATCCTTTCCTTTGATGCACGTCCTCCTGTAGTTTCCAGAGCAGAACGTTCTGTGTTTTCTCAAGGCAGTCAAACTTGAACCAGAAGTCAAGTTTGGGAAACGTGCTCCCCACACCACCCCCGCCCTGGCCCAAGAGCTTTGCCTATCACCTGTTTCGTATTTGTCTGCCTTTGACTCATATTTTCAGAAGGAACATGTTTGCTAATGACGACTTGCCTTCCCATTCCCTTATCCCAGCCTCCAAACGTGTTTGGCTTTGTTCCCCAGGTAACCGACTCATACAAGCAGTACGATTTTGGAAAAGTTGTCCGTCTGTTGCGAGCCTTTTACACCAGAGAACTTTCTCACTTTTACTTCAGCGTAATCAAAGATAGGTATGTGTGGCTGAATAGTGAAACCCTTGACAAGCATTTCCTGAGTGTCCGTTCTGCTCAGGAGACGTTGGGCATCCAGCTGTGAGCCAGGTGGGCAGCCAGGCAGCTGCTGGCGTGGATTCTAGAGTGAAGGCTGATTGCTTTGACCCCGCCTCTTCCTAGCTCTGCGATCTGGGGCAGCTCATCCTCCAGGCTGTTTCTTTACCCGTAAAGTGGTAAAGCTAATCCCGCCCCAGTGTGGTTATGAGAAGGAAAAGGGTATCAGTGATGTGCCCTGCGCTGTGTTCGATGAAGTGCCCAGTAGTAGCTGCTAACGAGACATGAACAGAGTACTGTTTGGGGAGTTTGTAAGGCTTGAGGGGGAGGCAGATTTAAAGGTCCACTAACTTGGCTGTCCTTTGATCCAGTGGTCTGGACTCCATTACCTGGAAGGTGGAAAATACAATGGAGGGTCTATGATAGAGTATTTTACTTAATTTGAAGACAATTAGACCCATTCAGTTAGCCACTGTAAGAATAAGCGCGACCCGAGACAGGGCCTGCCCTGACCATCAGAACACAGTGATGTCAGCCGCTGAGGGAGTTGTTCTCGTTCAGGCTTTACTGCGAAAACGCAAGTGACCCCAAACGACGCTCCTGTCAGACCGCGCTGGCTGAAATTTTGGATGTCATGGTTCGTTCTGTTGCACCCATTCTTCCACACTTGGCTGAAGAGGTATTTCAGCACATACCTTATGCTAAAGGTAAGAATGCTGGTTTTTCCCTAAATGGGAAGGTGACAGTGAGGGTGCAACTACTAATTGTATGCTCTTCACATAAGGGACACTTACCCATCTGCAGGGAATGGGTTATGGGGATGCACCGCAGTCCCCTCCACACCTGTTTGTAGAGGGTTGATTTCAGGGGGCCTCGGGTGCTTCCTGAGATGCTAGCTAGCAACTGAGCCAGATTGAGAAAGCACTTTTTCTTAAATATTATAGGTGTCAGAAATACATTAAATTTTATTAAAACAAAGTTTAGTGCTTTTTAGTAGTTTTATTAAGTTTTTTCCTCTAATTGTACTGAACTTATAGAAAACCAGAAACTATAGAAGTTTAGAAAGAGGAGGAAGGGTCACTTCTTAGCATCACTTTCAAAGGCTCACACGCGTGTTTGGAAGAAGCATTTAGGGCGGCTCCGTGATATTTCATCCCGTGATTACGTGAAATGGCGATTCTTCCTTCCCAGGCACAGTGAATATTTAATGGTTAGAGCTTTGTACTGGGTTTGGAATGCACGTAGATTACTGGGTTTTTTTGCTTTTAAGAACCCAGGAGTGTTTTTCGTACCGGGTGGATCACCACAAGTTCCATCTGGAAGAAGCCTGGGCTGGAGGAGGCCATAGAGAGTGCGTGCGCCATGAGAGACGCGTTCCTAGGGAGCATCCCCGGCAGAAACGCCGCGGAGTACGAGGTCACCGTCGTCATCGAGCCCGGGCTGCTCTTCGAGATAATAGAGGTCGGCAGTCATTCGTGCCTTTTGAAGGGGTGTTTGTATCAACAGTCTCGTTGGAAATTTGTTTAAAAATCTTCGTGTTGGGACAGGGAAGGTATAATTAAGTTCTAATTGAAGTTCAAGGCCTTGGAGCTGTTTGTATGACACCTAAGTCCAGAAGAGCAGTATCAGGATACATAAAAACTGGGAGTTTTGTGTTAAGGGTGTAGTTTTCTGGGAATTTTGTCTCTCTGGACCAGACTCGAAACAAATCCAAAATACAATTTCTGCTTCTTTTCTCGAATGCTGGAAAAATTCATTTGCCCCAGCAGATAATCATGTGATCTCAAAGTATTCACTGTTTTTTTTCTACAGTTCCATCAAATGTTTCTTCTTGGAATTTAGAGGTTGATTGGCCAGATGGGTTTAGAGCTTAACATTACTGATTCAAGATTTTTCTTTAATTTTAATGCTTATAAAGAATTGGCCATGAACATATTTTACATTTTACTGGTACCATTTTCTACCCAAAAATGACCATCTTATTTGGTGGGTAAACTCTATTTAAATTTTTATAATTGATCAAAATTGGAGGCTTGAAATAGCTAGTAGATATGAGACTGTTAATCAGACAAGAGAATTTTGGTAATATGTGAACATTTTCACATTTGCACTTGGGAAGTTCCAGCCCCTTCATTTGATGAGCCAGGACGTGGCACCACGGGGCAGGGGGGCCTGCGACCTGGCTGAGGCCAAGCAGCCCAGCACCAGGTTCCCCTGTGACCTCACAAGCTCTGAGCAACAAGCTGGAAAGAATGCAGCTTGTATCGGAAAAAACACTTTCTTAAAAATGGAATACATTTTCCTTAGGAGTCACACTAAGTAGCTGTCAAATGGAGCCCTGGTTCGAACAGTCACAAATTGCATGATTTGTTAAAACCAAATCAATCTCTTTGAGACTGCTTTCTCACGAGTTTTTTTTTTTAAGGAATGTCTGTGTGAGCTCACACTCATTTTAAAGATCAGAATTACAATGAAAAATGTGGACGTGTCTGTCAAACACCCCAGCTCGGTGTCCTTCAGACACGCCCATGCCTTGCTCAGATGCTGTCCTCGAGAGGTGGCATCTCAGCCCCTCGCTGAGAGGGGCGACCCAGGGCGTGTGCGGGCCTCGGAGCCAACAGCCCTGGGCTGGGCGGCCCCTGCACCGCGGCGTGGCCGAGAAAGTTGGGCAGGCTCACCTCTCTGCGTCTGGCTCTCCCTTTATAAAGGGGGGCGAGTGATAAACACCGTGCAGGTGTTTCGTAGCAATTAGAAATCACGAGTGTTTAGCATCCAGCAGAGGGAAGAGCTGCCAGAGAATGTTCTCAGTAAATACCATCGACTGGAAGTTCTCAGTTCAAACCTTGAGAACTAGGAAGAATTGATGTGCTCTAATATTATATCAGGAGGGAAAGGTACAAAGGGTTTCCCACTGGGTACGAGAATTTAGTGTTGACAACCTCAGTTTACGGGGAGAATCTAATTCGGGTGGTCACTTGCATGTGCTCACTGATTTCAGATGCTGCAAGCTGAGGAGACGTCCAGCACCTCCCAGCTGAGTGAGCTCATGATGGCTTCGCAGACCACTCTCCTCCCCCAGGAGCCACAGGTGATGCCCGCAGATGCCACCGAGCACACAGGGACCTTCCTCATCAACCTGGAAGGTACGCGGGGAGGAGGCGAGAGGGCAGGGCCTGGCTGGAGAGCTGAGTGAGGACGGCGGGTCCTCTCTGAGGGCAGCTTTCTGTGGAAACGGCTCTCAGAAGCGTCCCACCCAGTGACCTTGGGGACTCGGTGCCCAGGCTGGAGGACGGGGTTTCCTTCCTGTGCTGCCAGCCGCCCTCACTCCTGTTGGGCTTCCTTTTGTGGCCCCTCTCCTGGGACACCCACTGTCCTAGTACTGCCCAGGCCCGCCCTCCCGCCCCAGCTTTGACTCTGAAACCCCGAATTAAAATGGGATTTAGCTGCTCCGACAGAGGAGTCCCAGAGACGGGGTACGAACGCGTCCCTGCAGTGGCCTCTCGTGGGTGTCTCTGTCACCCTCACTCATTCTCACTGCTGGACCAGAGAGATGGGCACACAGAGGCCCCGGGGAAGGTGACGCTGCCCGTGTCCTTCAGAGCAGCTTCGCGTCCCAGCGGGAAGTGGCAGGCCTGGCCATGTGACCTCGTAGTAACAGTCCTGGCCTAACGAGCTCTTGGAAACGTGACTGTAACATCTGCCCAGTGACCAGAAAAGGATTCACTTTCTTTACCACGTGTCACCAGTCTGAGGTCTAAGAATGGAAACAGTGGAGAAAGTCTTGTTTCCTTGTGTACAAACCAAGATGTTTTAAGTGGAGGCACCGCCCTTGTCCTATAATTTGGCTCTTTTCAAACTTCGTAAGTTACGCTGCCTTTCCAGCTCCACTCATCAGAACTGCACTTGGATCCTGAGCTGCAAAGCCCACCCTGCAGAGCTGGGCGTAGCAGTCACTCTAGCAGTCAGTCGGGGAGAAATCGGTGCGTCTCTCGGGGCCTTAGCTTCCTCAGCTGTCCACTGTGCATGTAATGTGACATCGGTAATGTAGCCTTGCTCAGGCAGGCAGGAGAAAGTCTGAAGAAGCACCTGCAAATACATCTGTGTTTTTCATTCCCAGGTGGTGATATTCGTGAAGAGTCTTCATATAAAGTAATTGTTGCGCCAACCACCAAAGAAAAATGCCCTCGTTGTTGGAAGTACACGGCCAAGTCTTCAGATACTCTCTGTCCCCGGTGTGCAGAAGTTGTGGGTGGGACGTAGCGCCACTCTCTGGCGCCGACCGCGGCTCCAAGCAGACCCCGGCGGTGCTGACTCAGTTTGGGTGGACCGTGTATCACGCTGGGAGGAAACCCAGACTCGGGTCCGGAGTGGGCGAGTGAGTGGTGGGGCATGAGAGTCAGGAGGAATGCTAAGGGTTTTCTGTAACTAGGTGAACGTGATGTCCACATACATGTGCAGAAACATACATGCAGAAACACATATATACAGACGGACGCTGCTCCGTCCACGATGGGCCCATCAGCTGTGGCTGAGCAGAAAGTGTTTTATATTTCATAAGCCCTTCTGACACACTATTTAAGTTCTGTAATATCTAAGAATAAAGGCATTTTGGAAACTCACTGGTGCTGTTGGTGCGGCCATGAAAGTGTGGTTCTGGAACAACACATTGCGGAGACGACCCGGGAAACCACATTCCGCCTCCCCGTGCACACTAATCTGTTATTCCCTAGGGAAAAACCAGTAACTATATGTACTTACATTTATGAATGTTAAGGGAACAAGGTGAAAGCTGAAAATTTATTTCACTAATATACATAAATTCACAACAATGAACAGACACAGAAAACAGCAGTATATACAGAATTTCACTACTTACAGTACATTACATTAGATAATAGAGGGTTTTATAAACAACTTGGTATTGGGTTAAAATCTTTCTAGGGAGAGCTACTTCTCGGCAGAAATCAAACTTTTGTAAGCCCAATGAATCCATCCCTGCTGGGTGAGAGAGGGCTTTCCCTGTTGCTATCAGTATTTAAAAGTGTTTGTCTCTTAAAAATTAAATGAATCACAGCAACTTCTAACTGTTACAATCCATGTAAGTGTAGTGTTAGTAAATCTGAGATTTCTGTGATTTTAAATTGCAATTAATCATATTTTCTTAAAGAATGCAATTTAAATGTAACAATGTTTACCGTGACCTAAGATGAATTTTTATAACTGAGGGGAAATAAGTCTTTTCTCTGTTTATTTCTCCTTTTGTGAAGGTGGGAAGGGTCTGGAAGCCTGACACTGCTCCTGTGTCCACACCGATGCTGACTCTCGGGGCCCACGTCTAAACCCCACCTGCAGTGTCATTACGATTACGGAACACTTGCCTTCGTTCCGCATTAGCCAGTGGGGTGCGAGGGGTGCCCCAGGCCTCTTCGCTGCTCATGAGCAACGGGTGTGGGGGTGTGGATCTGGGGGATCGCCCCTGGTTCCTGGCCGCCCAGCGGCAACTGCAGCTCAGTGTAACGGGCTCTTTAAGAACGAGGCACTGGACATCAAACCTGACTCCCACACGTGGGCCCTTCCTTGTGACAGGGTGCAGGCAGGCAGCCCCTGGGGATGGAGACAGCTCCAGACCGCCCAGGAAGGCGCCCGGGAAGGCGAGTGGCGCACTGGGCTGGGCCACCACTGTTCCGCCGATGGTCTTGCCTTCGGTGTGTAAAAACTCAGCGTCTGGCGTGCAGTGAGGCTCGGTCTGCCTGCACAGAGCTGCTTATTTGCCTTTCTTCTCTTGGATTTCTAGGTTTATTTTTAAAGCCCTTGATGGAATAGTAGATTACTTAGCTGTTTCTTAACCCTACGACTCACAATTCCAACTTAAAATTCTATGAGTGGTAAATTTTAGGATTACCCATCTACTCAATGGAGACTCGGTGACTAGTCGCAATTCTCTGCCCTATTTCCACTTACTGCCCACAACCCTCAGATCTGATTGTGTGTGAAACCAGTTTTGTTACCTTAAACGTGGATTAGGTACCCCTCGCAAAATGACATGGAATCAAAGTAGGATTTAATCTTTAAAGATGCCTATACTAACATGAAAAAAAATGCCTATACTTCCACATTTTTGAACCACCTTTCAAAATTTATAATTACTTTCAGAATATGTAAAAAAAAATCACAGACAGAAGCAGCCTTTTAGCATGTCTATGACGAGTGACTATCTGACACCAGATCCGTTCACAGGAAACCACACGCGCGTCTCTGGTGGGGGGGCACCAGGCTCGAGGCGGGGGCCCAGCGGCTGGCCCTGTCGTGTGCACCTCCATCAGACGCATGGGCCTGCACCCCAAAGACCCAGGGCGTCCTGTGTGTTTACTTTGTGCTAAATTAAACAGTAACTCAGTTTTCGACAGGGAAGTCCTTATTTGGATGTGACCTTTTAGCTAAAAAGACTTTACATTGGGATCTCCTCGTCTCTCCCTTTCTGTCTACTCAACTTGGTACAACTGCTGGAGTCGGCTTCCCACGAGGGGTGCAGAACCCGCCCTCCGCGTCCCAACGACAAACACCGCGACCCCAGACGGGCGTCAGTGACTGCACTGTACGGCTGCATGCCCGAGATGGACCGCAGTGCACACTCGGCATCTGTGCAGCTCACAGCACTTGGTCCACTTTTGGTCAGGTCGGCTTCCATCAGATCGCCCCTGCCACGGCTCCAGGCACTGTGGGGTGTAAAGCAGCTGCAGTCTGCCCGCTCCCCCCGGCTGTGAGGTAGGTCTGCTCCAGCTGTAGCGTCACTAGCGTCTTCTGTGCTGCTCCTGAGAGCAGAGACGCAACATTATCAAGTCTCAGGAGCAGACGTTTCAAAACACTTGTAGGAAAAATAAAGTCAGACTTAAATTTTTAGCATCTTTGCTCCCTTTTTTAAAATGTAAGTTTTACAAGATAATACATTTTTACAATTAATTACCTGATGTGGATACAGCTTGGAACCTTGGCAAAAAAACAAATCTTACCTTGTGTTATAACTGATTTTGGAGCGTTGCCCGCATCTCAGACTCACAATTTTGGCAAGTACAGACAGGTATTTTGGTACTAGATCGAGGGTTCTATTACATGTCCCTTCTGATGACTGATGATCTTGAACACATTCCTTCACAAGGTCACTGTCCTCTGACGGCAGCCAAATACCCTCTGGGGAAGGAACCCGCCAGCTTCCAGGCTCCGGGGGGTGGCCGGCAGGGGAGGCAGCGGCAGGGAAGCCTCTTCCTACCACTTGGGACGGGGCAGTGGGATGCTTGTCTAACTGCACTGCTGGGACTGGGTTTACAGGACCGCACTGCAATTCCCTTAGAACAATAACATCTGAGTAGGAAACGTAGACTCATAATAAGAACATAATCCGTAAACCATAACCAATTTTAAATAGCAAAATTCAACAATAAAGCTACTTAAGTGTCTGAATTAGAAATGAACAGTAAAACATCTGTATGAGTAGTTAATAGTATAACTGATATCTGTTTATATTTTCCCAAAGGAGTGGAATTTAACCAGGACTGTACTTTTTAAAAGTTATATATATATATATTTCTTTAAATTCATTTTACAAAAGGAAAAAAGAGACACCCCCCTCCACGAAGCCCGGCTGGCGCCGTGTAGAATAACCATGCACTGAGCGCTGTGCCAGGTGCACGGGGGGGCCGGGTCATACACGAGGCCCCGAGGGGGGGGAGGGCATGGCTTCCACAGCCTCGAAGAGGTGTAAGGCCAAACTGTACTGCCCGTGGTTTTCGGGCAGAAGCTCGATGACTCTGTGCACTAGTCTGGCTGTTGTTGCAATGGGCACTTCTGTGTTTTGAAGATCCTGGGGGTCCTACAAGCAGGACACAAAAATGACCCATCAGTTACTTGCACCAAAAGAATAACTGTTACTAACAAAAATGCTTTTCTTCAGAGCGAAGCAAATGAAACCAATAAGAAGCGCCCTCCTCCACTGCCTTTGACTGTGCACCGAGGGAAACATGCAGCGCCCTCCGGGGCCACGCACGCCACCACACTCACCATCGCCTTCAGCCACGTGCAGAGTGTGGGCGGCAGCCTGGCCAGCAGCTCCATGCCCTCCCGTGTCTGGGCGTGGAGCAGTGCGTGCGCCAGCCTCTGGCCCGTCACCATCAGCAGCTGGGAGGCCATGACCTCTTTGTCCTGAACCTGCAGGAGGGCCTGCGGGGAGGAAGTGGACCACTGTAGAGTGGGAACTCAGAGGCTGACAGACCCTAGGAAAGGCACCGCCGCGGAGGGTCTGGTTCAGCTCTGACCCGGGGCCGCGCGCACAGCTGAGCCCTGAACTGCGTGACTCCAAGTGCTTCCACCTGGATTTTTCCAGTGAATGCTGGAAGTATATTTTCTCCTAAGGTTTTAATAACATTCTTTTCTCTAGCTTACTGTACTATGAGAGTACAGCATATAACACAAGTAATACACAAAAGGTGTTAATCAACTGTTACCAATAAGGCTCCCGATCAACACTAGGTGAGTAGTGGTTAAGTTCTGGGGAGTCAAAAGTTACACAGAGATTTTCAACTGCATGGGGTCAGCTCCTCCAACCCTCATGGTGTTCAGGGGTCAACTGCACGACCAACACAGCATCCGAGTCAAACAGCATTTAAATTCCAAGCTTCTGCCATCACCTAATTGTTCAATTCTGCATGAGCACGTCTGTCATTTTCAAGCTTTTGTCTGTTTTGTTGACTCCCAGGCCCCTCTGCGGAGAACAGGCAGGCACGCTGGAGCCTTACTAAACATCGAACCGGACATTTCACATTTTAGCATTCCTCTATTTTTTGCCTAGAGGTTCTAACAAGGAAAAGCAAACGGCTTTACAGGCTCCTGACTCGCGCCATCAAGTTCATTACAATGAGACGCAGCTGCTCTCCCGAGGGCGGTGGTTACCTCTTCTCCCAAGTGGTCGGCTCCATAGTTGTAGAGTTCCCCCACGTAGTGCCTCCTCACGATGTCCTCGCTGACCTGAAGGTGGTGGGCCAAGTCCGCAGCCAGAGCTGGCCAGTCTTGGTCTTTCCCAAAAGGAGTGGCTGGCGCCTCCTCTGAGGTCCCCTTGTCCTTTGCACCCGAGTGCTGAGCCTGGACAGCCCCACTGACAACTTTCAGCAGGAACTTGAAAGGGGAGAGGGAGATGCAGCAACGTGGCCACGTTAGTGTGTCCCCTTCCACTGTGTCTACACTGCTGGCTCCCCTGCCAGAGGGGCCTTTCCGATACAAATGTGTAAGTGTTCAAACGAACACGTAATTTACAGGTAAAGTAGCTCTCAAGGATACTCCAGAATGGTCATCCTTTGAAGGCCAGCTAGATTTTTACTTAACTACTTTTTTTCCAAGAAACAAAACCTAGTAACTAATTTACCTGCTGTCGTATAGAAATAAAGTTTGGATCCATTTCTCCACTAGGCAGTAACTGTATTGAAGTTAGGTCTTTGAAAAATGCATTTTTCCCCTAAAGAGGAAGAAGAGATCAAAGAAACATGAATATGGATTATTACTGGGGGGAGGAGAGAGATTAAAAACCACTTCAGAATATCTCATGGCTCATTTTTTCCCCTCCTTGAACAAGAGCATTTTAGGATTTTATTTAGCCATTACAGAGTTTGGTGGGCAGCCTTTAAGGGGGTCCCCAGGGAGCCCTTCCTCTCCTGTGTGGGCCGGTGACTTCCTGCTAACAAAGAATTAGGCAGAGGTGATATAGCAAGTCACTTTCAAGATCAGGTCACAGAAGGACAGCGGCCTCTGCCCTGTGCGCTCACTCACACTTCCCTCCTGTACCTGGAGAGGAGTGGGGCACCCTGACCCCCACCCTCACTCCAGACTCAGAAGAGACACCCAGGTTCTCAACCCACAAAAATGGGTACAAACTCTTGTTTCAGCCCCTCAGTTCAGTTTCGGGATAATTTGTTACACAGTAAAAGATAACTAATATATAGTGTGTGCTCAATCCTTTTTAAAATACCAAACTGTTTAAAACCACCTTGTCTGAGACTAAATGTGTGTCCGAGGAGCCAAAGCAGAGTGTCTGGAAATAGGGCTGAAGTCCCTGGGAAGCAGATGGGAGGCGGAACACGCAGCACCACGTCTGCGCCGGAAGCCCCGGCTGGTCCCAGGTCCGCCCCGGCACCCAGGGGCTCCGACAGGGGCAGGGAGCCCCGCAGTGAGACAGCTGTCCTGTGCACACCTGCTAAGCGCCCTGCTCCCGAGGGGCCCTGGACCCCTCCGGTACTTGCCTTGCTGTCAAAAAGCGACAGCGGCTTCACAGCCTTCAGAGCGAACCTCATCACCGCGTACAAGATGGAGCAGAGGACGGAGTGATGCTCCACCAGTGGGTAGTGGATGTGCTTCTGCTCCAGGGCCAGCTCCACGATCGAGACTGGGCCCTCGGCAGCGAGCCAAGCGTCCTCGGTGTCCAGGACAGGCGCCTGCATCTCGTCCTTGCTCACATCTGCCTGCGCACGTGAGAATGGAGAGCTGGTTGGCATCAGAGGACTCATGGCTTGCAGACACCTTATGTAGTAATGAGCCTACAGGTAGCAAAGGGCAAACCTCTACTTGTCCCCACCCCCCCATTACAATTTAAAAACATCAAATTCTAATAAGAAACATCACTATTTCTAGGTTTAGGTCAAAACTTTAAAATGAATAAATGAGAATGTATCTGTAGGTCTCAAGTCCAGTGATTTCTCAAAATACGGAACAGCGCAGAGCGCCGAGAAGCAGCACACCCCACGGACCTCCATCAGCGTCTGCAGGAGATCCAGGCAGGAGCCGAGGAAAGAGGTCAGTGCCGTGTCGCTCATGCCCACATCCTGTTTGCAGAAAGGAACATCTTCAGTCCGCGGCCAAGCTCTACCGTTACTATGGGGGCGGGGGGACAAAAATCCTGACTCTCTACATGGGACAGAAAAGCAAGAATTTGGCAGTTGAGGCATTAGCATATTTTAATGCCTTTTTTCAGATTTAACTGGCTTTAAAATGAAGCTTTAAAAACACATGGTACTTTTAAAACTTTTAAAAATCAGTGCCCCAGGAGCCCCGGAAAGACATGGTGTCACCATTCACCACAGGCTGCGGCACGCCACTGCTGCTCACTGTCCCAGAACTCGCAGGGAACAGGCCGTCGAGGCCACATAATCGTGGTCCAACGTGAAAAGTTCTGAGAAAACCGCCTGGTCTGGTCTTAGAGTGTCTTTTAGGGACCAAACTGAGCCCTCTGAACAGAACTCGAACCCTCTAAACACCAGATGCTGCTCTGGGCAGGAGATCAAGCCTACTGACCCCCCTTTTAAAGGGCCTGTCCAAGGGGCCGCTGTGTTCACCTGCAACCTTCTCTAAACCCACAACCAATGAAGCCCTCACACCCCTAAGTGATTTGGCCTGAGTGTGTGTGACGGGCACATGCATAAACTACGGCGGTAAGGACACTCTTGGGCACACACCAGAGGTCTCCAACCACAGAGACTTTTCAAGACTGAGGGTCTGTAACAGCGGGGTCTGTATGTCCCAGTATTAATACATTTGTAATGAGACTATGTTGAGGTTTGGAGCAGAAGCCAGTTCCGTGCACTGGAATGTTATTTCAGACTCTCCACTCGGGCCATCACAGCAAGGCAGATCAAGTTCCCTACCCATGCTTTTACGTTGGCTGGCCCATATGCGTTTCTCATTTGAAGGGCAGAAAAAATACAGAGTGACGGCACCGCGCCACCCCCCGCCCACGTCCGAGTTGAGGACGTCTGGTGAGAACCCAGCTGAGACGCACCATCTGACCATCTGCAAAGATAAATGCAAACCGGCCACAGTTCCTGGCAGTTTCCCCAATACAGAATTCTCTTTGCATTCTTCTTATCTTCTGATGCGTTATATGGTAAAAGGCAAAGTTCACCCCTGTGGTTAATGAGGTTCTAGTTCAAGTGCAGGATTAACAGCTATGCCCAGATAAGGAGATTCACTTACCCTTCGGCATAGCCTGTCCTTTGGTGCTTTTCCAACCTAAGGCAAACAGAAAGGGAATGGTGTATTTATGTAATAATTTAAACTAAAAGGCATCACGATGGTACAGGAAGTAAAAAGCAACAAAATTCTAAGGATACAAATACACCTAAAAATAAATATAGCACCTAACCATAACATAAGGCAAATAATTTTGTGGTGGAATGTAAAAACATATTATGAAAAAAAATCAGCCTGGGCTCACACACAATCCTTCTCAAAAATAAATATTTTTGAACTACTAACATAGAAAACTCAAAACTCTGGTTCTTCCTTTCCATAATCGAACAACTGGGCTGCCTTAAAATTCAAAACCAAACTTAAGGCTTTACGGCTACAAACAAAGAGCAGCAAAGCATTCTGCCAGTCGGTAAAGACGCACAGTGACTGTAACAGGCTGGAGAGAAGGGACGATCTGAAGTGCGAGCTGCACTTGCAGCTCAAAGGTCCGCCGGTTGCCTTGACTTTGATACATAATAGGGCCGCACTGCTGGCTGCACGAGATGGTCAGTGGCAGGCAAATGTCCTGCCCCTCAGGAGCGTTACCTGACAGGACGGTTCACAGGAGATGGTGACAAAGGACCCCTGCCTCACTACCTCTTACTGAGGTGGCTCCCACCCCGGGCACAAGGCCTGAGGCCAGCTCCTGCCCCACCAGCTCATTTACACGCTCACATGTTCGGTCCCTCCCCAAACCTACTTACGCAGGGAGCACAGACTGTAAATGTAATTTAACTCAGCTGAGTAAATGTGAATGAATGGCGAAAGGGGAAGCTGTTCATATGAACATTATTATGTTGAATGCTTTATAAAGATTTATGGAGAGTAGCCAACGCCTAGGTCTCCTGGATGAAATATAGGAAACAACTATAATGATTAGGGGATAAATTATAAAAATCTAAAGATTATGCACTCAGATGACACCACAACTTTGAAAAAAGAGGATGGAGCCCTGGCTAGTGTGGCTCAGTGAACTGAGTGCCAGCTTTTGAACTAAGTGGTAGCAGGTTCAATTCCCAATCGGGGCATATGCCTGGGTTGTGGGCCAGGTCCCCAGTAGGGAGCACGTGAGAGGCAACCACACACTGTTGGGAGAGAAAGGGAAGTTTCTCTCCCTTTCTTTGTCCCTCCATTCCTCACTCTCTGAAAGTAAGTGAATGAAATCTTTGAAAAGAAAAACAGAAACAGGGTGGAGAAGTCACAGGCAATGTACTGCGGGTGAGGAAACCAACCCCTTTCGGAGAAAAGATCAGCCTTGCATCCCAAGCTCAGTGAGTAAGAGTACACTTGTAGGGTTTAATTTAAAACAAAGTGCCAATCCTCGCCGGGACCAGCCTCCGGTCCCAGTCTCATGGGGGAACAGGCCTTCGCAGTGGCGGGCTCTCCGTCGGGGGTCCGGGCTCCTGCTCAAGTCGGCGGAAAGCCAGCCGTGGGACCTACATTTCACTGAGCAGGAGTCAAATGTGTCAAAAAAAAAAAAGGCAAAACAGACGAGCAAGGCCCAGTGTACACAACCTTTCTAATATCAATTAAGGGAAGCAAATCAAAAGCCAGCACGTGAACTGTAAAGTTACCTTATCCATCAGGTATGTGGCCGCAGAGAACCTCTTGACCAGGAACGTGTTCCACATCATCAGAGCGACACCTAGAGCAGGAGGAGGACAAGGCGGAGACGGGAGGCTCGCGTGCTCTCTCTTCCACCGCGCGGAGCAAATTACTGTCCTCCCTAAGCTTATAAAACTCTATGGCTGTTTGCTTAGTACTGTTTATCAAATTAATAAAAACCTTTACTCTGTAACAAAAAACAGAACTGGTCTGCCCAACAGGACGTCCAAATGGCCAATAATCATAGGAAAAGACTCACATCATTATGAAAGGTAAATTAAAATGACAAATACATTACGCAACTCAGAGAAAGGCTAAATTTTAAAAAGTGACAATACCAAGTGCTGACGAGGATTTGCAAGCAACTGGAGAGCATGCTCCTGCAGTGCGGATGGGATAACAAACGGGTAAAACCACTTGGAAGACCTGCGGCATGAACTAAAGCTCATCACGCTCCTACCACACGCCCCAGCAGTTCCACGGCTGGGGTGGGTACAAAAATACGAGTAAGAGCGTGCAGGCCGGCTTCGCTCACGACAGCCTAATACTGGAAACAAACCCAAGGCCCCTAACTGATTTATCTTGTACAGAACCATCCAGTAAAGTGGTAGGTAAAAAAAGGTACAAAAAAACAAAATACAAAAAATGTATTTTAAAAATGGGGTTTACACTTTCACATTTAATCAACTATGGTGTTTGAATGAAAACTTTGGAAGCAGTTGTGAACCAGGCAGCACACATGTGGTCTTTCCCCTGCAGCTGGCGTCACCCACCCAGCGGGCATCACACACCCAGCTGGTGTCACCCACACAGCTGGCTGCCCCGGCGTCCAGTGGCGGGGCCTGCAGGGGCCGTGGGGAGCTGGGAGCCAGTGTACAAACTGGGCACCTAGTCTGACCACGAGGAAGTACAGTACTGGCCAAAGTCAGCAGGTAACTTGGTTTGATAGGTAAGGATAGAACACTCCAGAGGACAGATTTCCCTAAAGAGTCACCCTCAAATCTTTTTTCCTTGGAAGAAAGTATAATCTAAAAAGATGAGTAAAATAATTTTCAAGTTCTCTTTATTTAAAATGAGACATTTTAGAATTTCTGCAATTTGACTTCATGCCACCTACAGGAAGGTGGTCCAGGAGAAGAAATAAACAGCTTTTCTGGAATTTATCACATGGACATAAAGGCGATGCTTCTTCCTACTCAGCCCCACACCAACGCTCAAAACTTAGGAAGACCACTCGCCCCCCCGGGGCTGAACTCCTCCCTTCATTCTTACAGGAAACTCGGCAAGCTGTTACACGCAACCAGTAACCTGTTACAATTTTTCCACATCTGTCACACATTCTTTTCAGGGAGACACCTGCAGCCCCCGTGGGGGACAGTCACATCTATCAACAGAAGCACAAGGTGATTTGGCTACCTCACTTTTTAATCAGGAATCAGCCCTGAGTGGCCTACCCTTATTCGCGTACCTGCCCATGAACTAAATATGGAATGAGTAAAGCATGGGCGCATAATAGTCCCCTTACTTACACCCAGGAAGAGCAGTTGGATTGGGGAAGGGTGGCGGAAAACACAGGTGACAATTACTGCCAACCCTCTCCCTTTGCTGGATGGCACTTTTCCAGCAGTGAAGAAAGCCAGTACTGTGTGTGTGTGTGTGTGTGTGTGTGGTAGGACCATCGATTGAAAACGGAAGATGATAGGAATTTAGAGATTCCTGCCTCTCTAGAGGTTTAGAGAATCAGTGCGGGTTTACCACCTGCTCACTTACCGTGCTGAACGTGCGCATTGCTGATGTGCTGCAAGTGCTCTATGGACCTCACAAAAAAACGTGCTTCCTTCCATAAGGGGAGAAGGAGAGAAACAAAGTATCACTTAGCAGGTGTTGCAAGTATGGAGACGGAGACTTCTTACATAAATTTCTGTATAAAGCTACATAAAAACATTGCAATAAGAACATGGAAATATTAGATAAGAAGTAATCTTTCATAAGATGACATCATGATCTCCCTTAAATTCATGTCACCTACAGAATGACTGATTTCAGAAACGTCCAGGTCATGTGTGCTGACATTTGAGTCAAAGTGGACTGTGACTTGTGCATCACAGCAGTGTTCTTTCCAATAAATACTTGAACTTCACACAGATATGAAAACAATGGATTTACTTCTTTGCAAATATCATTCATTCATTACTCAACAAATACTTGTTGAGCACCTACTATGTACCTGGCTGTCTGAGGCACGAGGAATAAAATGTGAACAAAACAGACCCAAATCCTTGCCCTGGGGTTACATTCCAGTGCAGGGGGCTGGACTGCAAACATCAGTAAATGACACAGGATGTCGGTGATAAGTGCCAAGGAGCAAACACTGAAGCAGTGAGGGGAAACCGGAAAACTGGAGGGGACGCCTGCAGTTCCACTCTTTCCAACCAATGAACGTAGTTCACAAGTTCAAACTCCGATCTAATAGGTAGAACTACCCAGAAATTCTCCAGACCTTTACAAAATAACTTGGTGCCTGTACAAAGACTGAACAAGCGTTCTGAGCCTCACAAAGCTGGGTGTGTACAATGGAACTGGGATGGGGCTGCATGGGGCAAGGACCTAAACAGCCAACAGGAAAACACCTGAGCGAGGAAGAACCGTGGCCGCTTATTCCATCTCACGTTACACAGTTGTGATAATGAACAGACAAGGACACCAGTCACCACGTCAGGCACTAGGCAAGCCTCCTCTAGAAACTGCTACAGCCTCCGAGACAGCTACTGTCAGGCCCTCATTTGCTTTCCAGGAAACACAGAGGACAAAGGGCTTCAGATGTTTCCCAGGGCCCTGCAGCTGCTCCCTGGCAGTGCCCGGGGCTGCACACAGCTGTGCCCGCCACACCACCCACCTCTGGTTTGTCACTGAGAACTCACAGCACAGGCCTTTCTCTTAAATGTCACTTTCTGGAACCTGGAAGGGAGTCCTTCAGATTTTTGAAATTGTGATACCCTCATTTAAGCCCTAACATGCTTTTTTCACGTAGGGAAGGTATCCCATTTAAGTGGCAGGCCTGTGATTCAGAGGCAGTGGCGTCAACTGAAGGAGGGGTTAGAGGACATCCAGAGGTCCCCTGTCCCCAAATCCCTTTTCGTTCCTAGTTTCACCAATCAGACCACACCTCTGTTTAAAGCACACTGTTTTACAATGTCTCCCTTGAATAAGGAAGTGACTGCATTGTAAAGACCTGTTCTGAGGAGGGAGGCATATCACCCTTAATGCACTCCCGTGAGCGAGTTCATCGGGGAGACCTCTCTTCAGAGGGGCAGCCGGCTTCGAGAACAGGAGAGGGAAGATTCCAACGCGAGGGGGAGGCTCAGCGCCTGCCGGAGCAGGAGGCCCTCGTGAAGGACAGTGTCAGCAAGGAGGGACGGCCAGTGTGTGTGTGTTTTGTCTGACTGCATCCTGGCCTCAAACCGGAAGGGTCAGCGCCATCGTGGGAAGCGGGGACACAGGCTCAGGGACCCAGGGACGGCCCCACGCAGGCCCACACCACTTCCAGGCCGTGCAGGCGGGGGTGGGGAGCAGGCACCACCAGGAGCAGAACACGACCCCGGGGCCAACTCTGTGCACAGTCTGGCCTCCCTGGCTTTTCTCTGCGGTACTCTGGCTGTCACCATGACAATGACCGTACTAACGATGTTCTTTTAGGTGGGTGCTATCTCACGCAGGAATTCAAAAGGCAGTAAGAAATACACTCATCACAGCCCGGCTGGGACAGGAAACCACACTGGCCTTAGAACCCACCCAGGAACCTGGGCTCAGTCCTAGCCCAACAACGGCCCCCGCAGTGCGACCTCAGGCCAGGAACGTCGCTTCTCTGAGCCCTGATTCCACAGCAAGGACAAGGACGACCCTGCATGCTCAAGTTTACTGTGAGGGCAGTGAGGGACAGTGGACGAAAAGGCCCAGCACAGCTCGAGGAGACGCCCCCGGGGGGAAAGGCCCGCGTCCCCAATGAGCTACGTAACAGCAGCGTGCGTGTGAACACAGCAGGCACCCCCGCCCCGAGGCAGCACAGCACCTTACCTCCGGGTCCTTGTTCCACTGGACCACGCACTCCCAGCAGCAGTGCGCGTGCAGCGTGTCCGGCTCCAGGCTGCACGGGAACTGCTCGTAGGCCGCCCGCAGCAGGTCTGCAAGGCAGAGACGGCACCGCCGGAGTCCCACCTCGGGAGCCCCACCGGCCTCCTCCCCGGAGTTCCTGCCTCTCCCCGTGGAAGTGTTACCTGGTATGGCTCCCAAGTCCGCGTCCGCAGCTGACACCTCCAACAAGCCCCTGTGCGTACCCTCTTTGGCTTCATCCAGGTTTTCTGCATCTCTTTCTTTATTAGCCAGTTTCAACACTTCAGGGCTCAAATCCTGTCTAAATACCCACTTGGCCACACTGTCTGCAATGCCACCTACAGTTTGGAGACGAGAGAGAAAAGGAACACTGGCAGTGACCGCAGAAGAGAGCATCTCTGAGAACGAGACCTAAGTGCTGACATTCGGTTTGCAGCCTGAAAGTGACCCCCAAACCCAGGGGAGTCACAGCGTGTTACTACCTACCGCCCCCCGTGAGGGCCAGTGGGCTAGCTGCTGCCCAAGGGCATCTTCCGACTCGCCTGCAGTATCTGACACGCACAAATGCAGACACACATGCATCAGGGTACCACGTTCCTTCTACGTTCACAGCTCGACACAGACGAAGGACGAGCCCATCTCTAAAACACTTTCATTTAAATGTGAGTCAAAACAGATGGGCCGGCATATCTGCTTAGGCTTCTTCGGGCGATGTGTTACTTTTAACAGTCAACTACTTGCCTGTCTGGACTAGTTAGGGGAAAATGTAGCCCCACTTAATCAACAACACGGTGCCATATTCCACGTTGCAATCCACACAGCCTAAAAAATTGCAAATGCAAACAGGACCACGTTCCTAGTGGAGTCCTGTTTATTACCTAAAACAAATTATACACTTTCCGTAATCTCCCAGGTGTTTCTCTCTTTCTCCTCTTTTGATTCAAACGTACACGTTTCCACAGAAAGGAGGACTCGGGGAAGCCCCAGTGACCAGGAACATACGTGAGAGCCGTGTGCCGGGCGACTTAATATGTTACGTTTGGCTTCCAGGTCACCAGTGAATTCTCCATAGCCAAGGCCCTGGTGATGCCGCTCCCGCAAATATGGAAATGGTGTGCCCTCCCTTTCACCAAGTGGCAGCGTGGGCCGCAGTGAGTTTATAATGGAAAACTTCACATCTTACAAAGAGTGCAAAAACGAGTAAACTAGGTAAAAATCTACAGGTTCCTGGGTGTTTTAAACCCAGACAAACTGTCCGCGCAGCATCCCACGCCTGATGGAGCTGCTGGAGGGAAAGGGCTGCCATCAAGATCAGTCGGTACGAAACATGACCACGGTCCCGAGGGACAGAAGCCCAGGAGCCTGGTGACCAGGCCGGCAGGGACTCGTGCATCAGACAAGAGGGACGGAGCTCTGTGGACATGAGGGAGGAGAGGAGAAAAGCTGCAGCCCGTGGCTTGAGAGAGGTTCCCCGAAAGGAGGAGGCGGCCCTGGATCTGAGCAGGCTTCGGGATTCGGAGGTCCCGGAGAAGAAACGAGAATGAGGGTGGGAAAGCCGGGGAGGAGCGTGCACGGGCTCAGACCTGGGGGCGGGGATCTGCACAGAGATCTAGTGAGACTCGAGGAATGGAAAAGTGGGTAGGACTCAAAGTCAGCAGTGCTGGGAGAGCAAGCTCCGGAATCCACACTTAGTTCCAGCAATTTCTGGACTTCCCAGTCTCAGCTTCAGTCCCTGAGAGGCTTAGAAGTTATAGAGAGCCCCAGAGAACTTCACCTTACAGGCTATATTTACCAATATTTATGGTAAGAGAAATTGAAATGGAGACATTATAAAAAAGTTTCACATATTCACTTTAAATTAAAATAACAACCCCACTGCATGCTGCTGGTTTATGAAGACAACGGTCAGTCCCAGAGCCAACACGGCGTTTGGGGAGAAGGGCACTGCCACCTGCAAACCTCTCCGCGCCCAGCTCGGTCTGGAGCCTCCGACCGGCTCCTGCGCTCCGTCCCCTGGGCTCTGCTGTGCCGGGCGGGGTGTGTGGGTGGACGTGGCCTCACCAGACGCGAAGCTGGAAAGGGGGGCACTGTGGAGGCCCTCTGACTGTTGTAAGGCCACGGGATGTGGGTGGGGGCTTCTGAGCAGTGAACTGGCAGGAGCAGACTTCGAAAGGATTGAGAGGAAGTATGTGATGGGCTACTTATATATATTTAAAATCTGAGCGTATTTCTCTTTCCTCATTCTTTCAGTCATTTCTGTAAAAAAAGAAAACGAAAGCGCATCCCCCCAACGCAGGCGTACGGACACAGAGGCTCCAGCAGACTCCACGTTACCTCTGCCTCCTTCAAGGAGCTTCTTGACCGAGAGCCTGGGCAGCGGCTCGGGGGGCAGCGCCGACGCCCGGCAGGCGCGCGGGCTCGCCCTGCTGTGCAGCAGCGTCTGCAGCACGAGGCAGTCCTCCAGCTGCTTGAGCAGGAGCTTCCAGTACTCGGCGTCCAGGGAGAGGGCCTCCCAGGAGTCCGTGAGGGCCTCCGCGTCCGCACCCGCCGCTGTCTGGGAAAGCTGACAGAGAAGGCCCTGGTGAGAACCTGGCACAGCTTGACTCCCCGTGAACGTGAATGAGCTTTGAACTTGAAGGCTGATGGGTAGTCAGGGCACAGCACACAGATGTCGGTTCGCAAATATTGCTGCTTGTCTGGACGGAACATGAGGGTCGGGTGGATGGGAGACCCAGGGACAACAAGGATGGAGTCTGGGCGTCCCTAGCAGACCTGTGGTGACCCCTGAGTTGTCGGGGCCACAGTATCAGGAGACTGGTCTCTTTTTAGAACATGCCAACAGGAAAACTGTGTCTCACATTTCTCTCTGCATGGTCATAAACACTTCAAGCTAGTAAATAACATTAAACTGAGCCCACGAACTACGGACTGATGATGTGACTCCCCAGAGACCCGTTCCAGTGTCTCATCCAGTTTAATGCAGCACCCCCTTCAAAAAGTATTCCAGCTACCTCCCACTATACATGACGTCACACTTTTTTTTTAAAGAGCCTCTAAGAGATGAGGAAAAACCACAAAGCAAAGGGTCAACAGGACACCTTTCTTTGAGTCACTCAATGCCACATGGCCCAAACAATCTGTTTATAAAAGGGGGGTGTGTGAACACAACCATTACATTCTCAGAAACCAGAACAAACCTGAGAAATAAATGCAGCCTGTCCTTGACTTCTTTTAGATAAGAAAACTGAGGCCATAAAACTCATTTTTAAGGGACTCACCACCAATCCCCAGCCATTGGCAGAGAGCAGGGTCAAGTTCAGCACTTTTGCCCTGTGCCACGTGGTGACGGCTAAGTTCGAGTGTGCAAGTCGTCTAAACAAACAGATTAAGGGTACTACCCCTCCCCACCCCCAACCCTAAGAGAGGCAAATAAGAACCAGCAGACACACAGTTCACATCCCCGACACCACACAGGGGAAGACCACGCAGCCCCACAAAGGGAAGAGCAGCCCCTCTGCAGGCTGGGCGCACCCCCCACTCACCTTCCTCTCGGTCCCGCCGTTGGACATCTGCGCGGCGACAGAGTGCCCCACGTGCGCAGAGAGCAGTGCAGCCCCGTTGTTCTCGGACTGGATACAGGCCGTGCGCATCTGCTGCCACCAAGGGGACACCGACTGGGAGTCCCACGAGTCGTCAACGGCCACTGCCAAGTTCACAGGGAACCCTTAGTTTCTCAATCTGGGGCCCAATCTTTCAGACTCAAAATGGTGTTAAAACTCAGTTCCCCAGTGATGTACTCGTCACTTTCTGAATGAACTGGGAAAAAAATCCTCAGCCTATTTTAGCCAGAACGTGTATATTCCATTTACTTATTCTTCTCAGCACACTTTAAATCCATGTGGAATAGCTCATCATTGCAGAGAACTACTATTAAATGTTTCAACGTTGTCGATGATTGTTCTCATCAGAACAAAATTGAGAAAGATAATAACCTCCACCGGAGATTTGATTTACCTGAATTAAGCAAATGCATTATTCATTATTACATGATTTTGATGAGAGCATACCCGTTTTCACAAAGCACACTTGAAGTGCCTTAAGCGCTTTGTCTGGAAACATAAAAGAGCCTCCAGAGTGAAATGCTGGGCGGACCGTAGTCTCCTTCCTTAGGAGCCTTACCCCCCACCCTGGCTTCCGGGGTCCAGCGTCCTGGCATTTCACCTTTCATCCTGCTCAGGAGGGACAGCATCGCGTGAAGATAGCAGACAGACTGCGGCTTCTCCAGAACATCCTTTTCCTTGGAAAGCCAGACGCTCAGGAGCAGAGACTGCAATCAAAGTTAAACCCTTTCAGTCTCACAGGCTAACTCGCAGGCCAACTCACACAAATACGAGCCACGTTCCTAGGGCATCTCCTCGACGTCTGAGCGGCAGGCTGCAGTCTGAGGGCCTGCGGGCCAGGGGGGCCGCTCCCTGGCTTTGGACCTTGCCCCGTCTCACCCGTATAAGGCGGCGCTACAGCAAAAGAGAGACTAAGTCACATGTAGGTCTCTCAGAAAACTTGGTGGACACAGCACGTTTAGAAATCTTTGCAAATCTAAAAATGTATACAACCGACGTTGTAAGTGTCCAACTTCTTCAGGAACACAATTCCCATAAGATTACAATTTTCAGAGGACACACACCCTGCACCGCGAGTTTCCTCGGCCCGAGGGCTCGGCGAGAGCTGGGATCAGCTGCCAGTTCCTCTGACCGAGGTGACCACAGTGACCACACAGGGTTTTTTTAATAGTTTATCTTATTGTACACTCAATTTCTTACTTTAATTCTTGGGCTCTCCTTTTTTCCTTTTGAGAGAAGGCCCTCTTCCCTCCCCCTTCCCCACCGGTCAGTGTGTGTGAGGGCTGCGCCCGTGCGCACGTGGGGGCGGGGGGAGAACTGGTGACTCGGGAGGGTCCCCTCCTCGCCCGTTCCAGAACACGCAGACACCAGTACTGAGGCTCATCCGCAGATGGCCCTGTCGCCCACATGTCCCACGCCACAGAGACTGCGTTCCAGCGCGCAGTGCTAGTGTGGGAAGGCCTGACAACTCTGCGCTGCTCTAGGGAAAGCTCGTTTTGTTCTCTGGATCTTTCCTCATTCTAACGTTTTTACTGACGGTCCGATGCTAAATTTGTTTTAGGCCAACCATGGAACATGCTTGTTATAATCTACAGGGAGTGGGAAAAAGAAAATACTATTAATTAAACATGGGTACTCTAAATTTCTTTGACCATTTTTAGAAGGTTTTCATGTGTGTTCTATGATACACTATAGAGAATGGTTTTTAAAAAAAAGGATAGTTCCGGACGACATGAGCAAGGAAGGACAGCACCCAGCGACCAGAAACCTCACCAAGAGCAGCTGGGGGCTCAGTCCAGCCGACTCCAAAGTGCGGCACACGTCCTCCGAGGGGCTTCCGCCTTGCAGACACTTCCAAAAGAAGAAACTGCCTGGGAAACAAAGCCAAAATGCGTTACCCCAGGACCACGTGCCACGTGGACGCCCTTCCTGAACTGCACCCCAAGCCCCAAACGGCGGCACAGCAGAAGAGGAGAGGAACGGCCGCTCGGTTTGCCTGACTTAGGATAAAGCAGAAGAGCAACACTGTCTCGTGAGTGCACTTGTTAGAACAACGCGACTTTCAGGACACGCTGCCCGCCTGTCCAGAGCGTGACTGAGAATTATACACTCGGTTCTTTGCTTGATTTAAATTAAAGCGAGCGGCAGCCTTGACATGCTGCCAGCTCCTCCCAGGCTTTGTTCTGGAGGAGGAGGGACTCCGGGAGCGGCTCATCCCTCGACCTACCTAAGGCCACGTACTCCTCTTCACTTATCTTCTTCACGCTGACCACGTCCTTCTCACACTCTAAGTGCTCCAGGAATGTCTTCACAGGCCACACGCCGTCCTTCTCATCAGAAAATCGCACCACAGTCCTGGGGGTCTCTTGCTTGTATTTCTCTAACAACGCCTGGAGCTTAAGGAGTTCCTTTTCATCAAGCCTTAATAAGACAGCCAAATCCTTAAAAACAGGGGGAAAAATTCTGAATAGACCAGGTCTCTATGCAAATCTGCCACATACATCAACCCCAGCATCTGAAATGAACGCAAAACCATCAGCCAAAGACGGATTTTAATGAATGGGATTGCTATAATGTACTCTGCTTGAAACCGCACTCTCAAAATTATCTGCCTGTAACTTATTTTAAATAACCTCCAATAGGAGGTTATTTAAATAAAGTAAACCCAAGTTTCTTGAGATGAGACTTTTCAAAAATGTTCAAGTTTTAATAAGCATGTTACTGTGTCATCAGACAAAGGTTTAACAGGGTGTCACCTGCCACTCTTGAGCTTCTGAGGCCACTAAAGAACTAGCCGATGAGAAACTGCTCCTGCATGAAGCAGCGGCAGCACTGTGCCGACCACGCAAAGCAGGCCTCTCGGCATCTACACACAAACCCTCCACGGGGCTCCCAGCAACACAGACACTGGAAAGTCCGACACACAACCTGCCGCCCTTTCAAACTGCTTTCTCGTGCTGTGAGTGCAGGAGAAGGCCTGCATCTCCTGACACGGTTATCTTTTGAAGTTTGAAAAAGTGTACACACACACACTTTAAAGATCATAAATTGGACAGAGCTAGCAAAACTTCCTCCCCCCACAGTAAGGTGATGGAAGCTGCACCCTTCAACGAGGGCAGTTCCGCTCACTCACTGAAGGTTGTCATTTCGCAACCACGTAGTAAACTGTGACATGCGACTGAACGCATGCCAGCACTTCAACGCTATGCTGAATTTCTGTGCGAGCTCATATGAACTATGCCCCAGAAACAGCAAAAGCGGGTTCTTTCAGAGCTGAATTTTAGTTTCGTATGTGCAAAATTAGCCATTCAGTGTAGAAGCTAACCATGTGTTTTGTAAAGGTTCCAAACAAATCTATAGCAAATATGGTTGTACTTCTTAAAAAGTGCTTTAAGAAGAAAAAACAAATCTAAAAACTGATTTTTAAAAATTTGTAATTCTTTTATCTTTGCACATTAGGTTGGGACTATCAAATGAAAATGAGTTCCACAGGGGATTAACAAAGCCACACACTTAACTTTCTCTGGCAGGGTGTGGGGCAGACAGGTGGGTTCTTATGAAAACATCAGGTACTGCAGAATCTGCGAAATGTGTAGGCAAGCCTACAGACGTAACGATCAACTTGAACCTTCCTGTTGCTTGAAATAATTTCACATTATTTAGGAAGTAGACAGCAAAACAAAAGATCCGGAAAAAAAGGGCACTGTCATTTATCATGGCAGCCGTCACAGGTTATTATGAACAGACTATTACTAAGTAATAGGTAATATTATTGTTATTTTATAAGGTCCATCTGTAATCCTAAAGATAGACAAGATGTTAAAATGTGTAGGTTGTTCCCGTTACAGAAAGAAAATCTTATCCGATATTTATGCTGAAGAAATTTTTATTCATGGATATGTACTGAGGATAAAAGGCTTCCACTAACTTTCGGAGACACCAGGTAATTTTCTTAAGAGCATCACCAGCGACCTGGCACCTGGCGGCAGCGGCACCCCTTCCTTTAGATGAGCAGGAGACCCAGACACCCGGCTGGATCACAGAGTAACCTGAGGGGAAGAGGGCACAGTTCTCTCTATTCCCCATTGAAGACGCTTCAGTTCTTTGTGTGGAAAGTAAGGATTTTTATAAACAGCCCTCAGGAATGAAGAAGAGTGCACCTAATTAACGACAAGGGATTCTCGCTTCTTTATGTTTTACAGAGTAAAGGCACAGGATGTTCATTATAATTATTGTAAACACTTGCATGTAAGACAGAATCACTTAAAAGTGCATTTCTTATGCAGTACACCACAGAGAAGTATGTATGAGTTTGCTAACAACGACACAGAGAAAGTGCTCTACTCTGCTTGGCAGAATCTCGTTTTTTTTGTTCTTTAAAGGAAGTTAAAGTTTTGCTACTTCAGTAAACTGCTGTATTTTAACTGGCAAAGGTTGTCCAGAAGTTGTGTTATAAGAAGTAACCTTAAATGAAAAAATGAGTTGAGAAAAACTAGGTGCTTCTAGAATAGTGGAAATGGGAGAAAAATAAAATTTAATATTTTAGGATAAATCATATAAATTTAACAGCAAGGCTGAGCCAGCAAGGGGGGGTCTTGTAAAGAAAATACACCTTTATGCTTTATAGAAATTCTTAATTTTCTACATCATTACTACCAATTTAAAAATGGGAAATAAAGAGATTATTTTGCACAGTGAGTGACGGGGTTACTCACGTGATCAGAGAAGGGTGTGTCGGAGTGAAAATCCAGGGAATTTAACTCATGGACAGACTCATAAAGACGGAGCAACTTCAGTTTATTGGCACAAAACTGGAGCAATCCCTCGTCAACAGACTCAAGTTCTAGAAGGTAAAAGAAAAAAAATACATTAAAAGAGAGATATTTCGCAGATTCATAAAAGGCTTTTCTTCATTAAATCTCTGAATGTTATATAATTCCCTGTTCTATTTCATCAAATACTGGGATGTTTAAGCTATAACAGATTAATAAGGCAAAGATAATTTTTCTACCATAGCAAAACATATAAATTTTTTAATGAAGTAAGGTGCTCTAATAGTAGGGGTAAATAAATAAAGAAAAAAGAAAGGAGAAGTATCTTAGCCTAATACTGAAATTTAAGTAGGTGATCTGGAAACAGCTTTGAAAATGTTAACTAACAAGCAAACGAGAGACAGACTCATACACGGGAGCAGGCTGACAGCTGTCAGGGAGGTGGGGGACGCAGTGTGCGGGTGGAGGGACTGAGCCAAAAAGAAAACCCAGGGAAAAACTCCTGCACACGGTCAAGAGTGTGGCAACTGTCAGGGAGGGGTTGGGGGGAGGAGGGGAAGGGGAGTAATGGTGGTGGAGGGAGGCTTGACTCTGGGTGGTGCACAGATGACGTGCTATGGACTTGTGCACCTGAAACCTCTGTGACTGTGTTACCCAGTGTCATCCCAACAGATTCGGTAAAAAGGAGAAAATGGTCCCTTTGAGCCCCTAACTCTGGGCCGTGTATCCATTGGGCTCACACATCAAACAAAGGTGAAACTCAAGCTGCCTGGCCCGTTCGGCTGTGATGCTGGTCAAAGACACTATAATTCAGCCAGAAACTGTGCACAGTGACAGGTGTGTCCTCCAGAAAGTTTGGCAATGAGACCAAAGTAGAATTCCACTTAATATTCTCTATCAATGAAGGGTTTTTTTCCCTAAGATTAAGACTAAAAAAAGCACCATATAATACATTCCTATATAACCAATTAACTATTTATATATGATACAAATATTTACTCTTTAAAAAGGCAGACGATGAAGATCCCCCAAAACTCTTATTCAGTATATAGTGACCTAGAATGCTGTCGAAGTTGATACAGCCACAACAAAGCTTAGACTTCTAAATCCCCCCAAATTTTAGGACTCTCATTTATGGGTAGAACTTGAAAATAGTGATGATTTTCTAAAACTCCAACAACGGTGTTTGGTTTACTCCCAGCCCAGTGCAAGACAATTGTTGGTTTAATAAATGCTAGTATTTTGTTAAAGCTGGGGGGGGGGGGCTTTGTAAGTGTACTGTGTTTTTTAAAAGAGGAATTTTTATCAAGCTCGGTCCATTAAAGGAGGCCACTGTGTACCGAAAGTCAGTTTTATCCATGTGTTGAAAAAAGAACCTCAAGAGATAAACGCTTCAAGTCCCAAAAAGGCAGATCTTGATTTGTTTGGTAAGTCGCTTAAACCTAATTACTCTGAAGCTGGCTTTATATAATGAACACCACAGGCAAAAAGTCATGACCAGAGAAGTCAGTGCAATTTAATTGATGTCACATCAGAACACATTGGATTTTGCTACCTGAGCTGCACAAAATATGGAGTTACAGCCCCACAGCTACGGATCTATTTCATCAGTAGTCAAATGAATTCTGAAGAGTAAACAACCAGGACACTCAGAGTCAATTACTGAATCAGAGCCTGGGATGTGCTAAGTGCTGACTCTGTTCGTGAGGGAAGGGTTGACAAAATGTGGCTTCTAGACACTAATAGAACCTTCATTAAATCATACACGTTTTTTATCATTATCTTGATCACAACGACATTAAAGGACTCCCGTCCCAAAAATGCTGCTCCTCTCATGAAGCTGAAAGAAAAAACAGCGCAGTGAACTGCACCTCTTGCCCGCAGCTCTGAGCCACTCTAGGACTGCATCGGAAGAGCCCCCCATCAGTCTATGCTGGTATTTCTGCACAGTGGGAGGGTGAAAAATAAGTATCCACAGTGACAGACCGAGGCACCGCAGTCAGCGAAAGCTCAGACAAAGAGCAACTGCGTACAGCAGACAGAGTAAAGAAGTGCCCACACCCTAAAGGCAGGAAACAAGTCTCTCTTCACCTCGTGGACATTGTTCCCACACTAAAGGAACAGGACTGTGTAAGCCGTGAACAGCTTTCTACAATCAGAGTTGCACAACCTCAAGTGGGTCCGTGACCACTGATCAGTACAAACCCATTACCTTGATTTTTCAAAGTGTCCACGAGAGTCTGGGTGACGTCTCTAAGGCAGGAAAACGGTAACCGTTCACTTCCCAGAATGCTTTCCAAAGCCTAGAAGAAAGATATTGAGCAGTTCCAGTAACGTGAAGGCAAAGATTTTGCTTACAATTTGACATTTATGTCTACACTTTCCTTACACCAGAAGGGATGCTCCATTTTTAAGATGGTTTAGTATACATACCGGTGACTGAACGTTGCATCATGAGTAATATGTAATCAATCTTGTGGCATGCCAAATATGGTATAATGACAAAAAGTTAATGATTCCTTAATTACTGCACATAGGATGAATCTTCAGGCCAGGCCACAAATATTTATTCCCCACGGCACCCCACCTGCCCGCCCTTCCCCCTGCAGAAATTTAAGAGTGAGTTCCAAAACACCTCTTCGTGCGTAAGGAAACGACCATCAGGATCGCCAGTGGGTTAGAAGCAGCAGCTAAGGTTCATGCCTGAGAATGTAGCATGAGACAACCATCAGACCAAACCCACACCTGTGTGTTTGTGGGGCAGCAACGGGCTGAGCGGGTGTCTCCAGAGACTGCTCAGGCCCCAGATGACGCGACTCCCAAGGGGATGCAAAGAATGCGACTGGGAGAGACAAACAGCCCAGAGAATGTCAGCCGTATCTGTTCTGTCCCTGATGCCACAAGCCTGATCTTCTTCCCTACTATTCAGTCTTCTGATGTCAAAAGAGGCTTCTTTTCTCCCTCTAATGTCGAAAACAATGCATGACTTTCACTATTAGGTTTTCTAACGTTTTTTATAGAATTCACAGCTTCACACACAATTCAGTAGTACAGTAAAAAAAAAAATCATGTTCTGGCCAAGATAGAAGCGTAGGTGGAAACACTGCGCCTCCTCACACAACCAAGTTTAAAGACAACAAAGTTTTAATAACTAAAACACAGAAAATTGAACTGCCCGAGGAACAGGGTAGCCACTCAGCACTGTCCATGCAACAGACAGCTCGACTCAAAGTCTCAGGGACCTGCCTATTCTACAATAAAACGCACCAAGGGCTTAAAAAGTAAAATGAAAGGCACAAAAAGGAATCAGTATACACCGAATTCTCCCACGAACCTATTTACTCCAGGTAAGTTACTTTAGGTATTGTGCAGCATAAAAATGGCACATTCGGAGAGGTCCCCACTTGGAGGAGCTTAGAGAGGAAGACGAAAAAGTTGGGGAGCTGCGGCGAACAGCCAGGAACATTCCAGAAACGAAGCAGTCATCAGCTGCCTGGTTCTGGGGAGAAGCAGTGGAGGAGTTCGCCGCACCCATGGGAACTGCAGTGTCCTGCAAGGCTGGATGGCGCAGCCTCACCAACATGCGTGGGAGTGGAAGGGATCACAAGTCACCGCATCACAACCGTGGAGCCAAGGCCGGGGAGCAGCAGGGCCCCTCACACAGCTCGAGGGGGAACACGAGTGGGGACAAGACACTCAGGGCAATTCACCATCCATCGCCTGGTGCAGCTGAGGACGCTCAGAGACCCCACTCAGGTATAAATGCAAGAGAAATTCTTATTTCTTTTTTAGAGAACTGCCAGAAGAGCTTATTAAAGCCCAGCAGACGGCACGTGCTGAGGAGTGAAACTTCCAGTGCTCTGATGAACTCCTGTGCGCAGGCCCCAGGAGACACGCAGACCATGACCTACACGTCCTTGACGGGAGAGGGACTCCAGTGCCGTCAGAGAGGAATCGGCCACCGGCCACCAATCGCTGCAGACGCTAGCATCAGCGGGGCAAGGCCCAGACCCCAGGGGCAGGAGTGACGTCACAGAAGACGTGCAGCATGACTCCCTTTATGGACAGTTGAAATGGCAGAAAACGAACCAATATGCTTTAAAGTCATCTCATGACAATGACACAATGCTGAAGAAGAGCAACAGAGAAGCCAAAATCTGAACACGGCGCACCTTCGCCACAGCAGGGGGGCTGCAACTGGGGAGGGACACACAGGGCTCCTGAGAACCCCCGGAAACCTTCCACTTCCTTGGGTGGTGGTCATCACACAGGTTTACTCTATTATCCTTTAATCTGAACATGTGTTCTGTGTGGCGACGTGTACAAAAGTCATGCACTTGCATGAATGGTAATATTATTTACTTTAAAAAGAAAAAGAAAAGAAAAAAGGGACAGCGGAAGTTCCACATGGAATGTTAGAAAGGACGAACACGAATAGGAACAGGAAGAGAAGACCACCTGTCACGTGGGGAGAGTAAACAGGACAGTAAAGATGTCCTCTGGAAGGGCACGTGGCAGCCACGCCGCAGGGAAGTCACAGGCGCACTCACCTGCTTTTTGGTTGCAGGGTACTTAATATCGAGAATTACTTCCTTTATTTCTCTTTCCACCAAATCTAGAAAGAGAAAATTCGGCAAAGTAAGACTTTCATTTTCATTAGAGGTCAACTTTATTCTGAAAGGAAAGTGCGTGTGTTTGCACTACCCGTCAGTTAAGGGTCCCTGGGCTCTGTCACGTGACCGGTGCAGCCGTCAGTGCGTCCGGACAGAGCGGGTCGTGGCAGAGCACTGCCCGCAGCTCACAAAGGCACCCCAGCACCGTGACCGCGCCACCTGGAACGCACTGCTAGGTTTGAAAACGGCGCGGTGGCTTGCTTATTCTCACGAAAGGGCACCTACCAAGGCTGGCAGACTTTGTCTTCAGCAGGTCCGCCAGTTTCTTCACCAAGTGCATGTCCTTGGCACGCTCGCTCTTCTTGTCACTAAAACAATAAACACAACAAGTTCTTAAAGAACATGAAACTGTTTTCCTTCTACTTGTGACACTCCAGCTGTTTGCTGTCCTGTGTAGTCTTCCTACTTCATTTTAAAGGTATCAGTCTAATAAGAACAGCAAAACAAAACAAGAAAACAGCAAGTACAACACAAAAACGAAACACGGGCCCTGGAAAAGTGAGCGGAGGGAGGTCAGCGAGCAGACACACGACGGTCTCACCTCAGTGCCAGGTGGAAAGGGACAGTCACTGTTTTCACACTCGCGGACACGGGGTCGACAAGGCAGATCTGGTATGTCTGTGGCTGCCAACTCTGACTGGTGACATTATTTAAGCCCATGATTTTGTAGCCAGGATACAGAAGCCTAAGAAATCACAGAGCAGCAAGTGAAAACATCAGAGAATGGACAAATGCCAAAAGGCGCTTCTGTTGGAGCTGGGGGCCCCAGTGTTACTGGCAATTCGGGAGCACTCCTAGGGCAAATAAACAGAAACCAATACTAAAGCCAGGGGTAAAGCAGGACTGGACCGGCAGCGCTCTGCCCGTTAAAACGTGCGTGGAGACGGCAGGAGCCTGGGCCTGTGCTGCCGTGGCAAACAGCAATCGCCACATCCACCGTCTGAAGGCACCTTCCCCTCGGAGCCTCCACCACGTAAAGGACGGGGACAAGTGGCAGCAGCAAAGTTAACTGTCACTCAAGAGCACATCATGGCCTTTTCAAAACTTTCTTTGTTACCAGAAATGTGCGGGAAAAGACATAATAAAGAACATTTCACATCTCCAACGGCGTGGGAACCAGTAAGCAGACTGAATGAAAGCTTTCCTTAGAGACCGGGCAGCTCACCGACAGTGCTTCCCCACGTTGAAGGCCCCCACTCGGGGCCCCTGCTGCGTGCTCCACACCTCCAGAATGCCCCTCCTCGGGGCGTAGATCACAAGGAACTGAGCTACTCGGCTGGGGCCCTGAGCATTTCCGAAGGGGGAAGAATCCACCTTTTCAGGGACCCTTTCGTGGAGGTCCTCTACAATCTGGATCCAGCCAGTCTGGGCGTCCCGATACCCTTAGAGACAGAAGAAAGGGATGCCAATTGCTTATTCAACTGAAGTTTAATAGTAGCCTTCTGAAGCCCTCTGGGATTTGTTTGTTTTTAAAATATGAAACACCATAAACACAAAATCTTAATAATTATAATAAATATAGGATCAACCATGAAATTTTATGATCTCTTACTATTTTGCTCCCTTTGCTTTACATCACTTTTCTTTAAGAAAACAGGTGTCCTCGCAGCCCCGTGAGTACCCTCCCCTGACCCCACTCCCGTGCCTCCCTCTCTTTAAAAACCTCTCTCCCTCTAAAGCATTCTGGGGAGGTGATCAGGTTTGGATTTAAAGTAACAGTCCAAGTAACATTAAGGAAGAGATCAAGCTGACTGATTTCCTGCTACTCAGGAAAGTCCCCGTGATGGTGGCAGATAGGGCTGAGGGACTGAGGTACCGCTGGCATTTTTCCTTCCTGGGGCGCCCTGCTCACAGCAACCGATAACTCCCTTCCCAGCACAGGGAGGGAAACCGGCTACACCAGCGGCTGAGAGGTGAGCAAGAAGGCCGGCAATCGGAGCGCCGCCATGGCTCGGGACTGGCTGCTGCACCTACACCTTCTACGTTCTGGGGAAGTCCCGCTGAGAACACACGGCTGATGCAGCTTCAGAAGACAAACGTGAGGAGAAATGGTGCATCTCAGCACCGAAACCTATTTCCACAGACGCTCAAAAATGTGACAGGTGAGCCCTGCAGTTCTTTGGCAACAAACTGAGAGTGGACTCAACTGCTCCAGAGCCATTTAATGTCCTCAAATCCATTATTCCTCAGAGTGTTAAGTACAGACCAGATTGCACCAGAATGTGTTTTCCAACCTGCGCTGACCTGTTACTATTTCATATAATTCCAAACAATGCATTCTCTAGCTCTTCCTTAGTCAAAGACATTTCATTTTGTTCAGGTTGACAATGTGGCTTCATAATTTCAAGTCTCCCTTACAGTGAGGTAAGACCATGTGACTAACCCCTGGCTAATGTTTTATAGAAAAAGAATACAGGGACTTCAGAAAATATCTTCAAAGCAGATTGACTCAACTGATAGTTCCTTCTTTCCCCTTCTTCCTTCCTGGGATAAAGGTAAGAAGGCTGGAGCTCCAGCAGCCATTTGCACCAGGAGAAAGCCTTGTGTGGGGGAGCTACACGGAAGGACAATGAGTTCCTGACGATACTGTGGTGATTTCATATCAGTCTTGTACTTGAGTCTGTTATTAGCAGCGAAATGCAACTCCCAACTGACACAGTTACCAAGAAACTAAGTAAACGGACCCAAGCATAGGATATGGAGGGCAAGTCAGCAAAGGGCTATGAGATTTTGCTCTTAAATCCGAAAAACTTGGCATTCGATGTGGGAAGAACATTTAACTGAACTTGTGGCCTTGTGAAGTGGAATGAATGTAGCAGGGGCAAAACACTGAGTTCAGGAATTGAAAAAAGAACATAAAAAAGAGGCTGGAAATGCCTACGGTTCATCAGACTTAAAGACACAGCAGCTGGTTACTGGGTTGCTGACATGAGTACATGTTAAAAAAAAGAGAGCATAAAGATAAAGGGTGACACAGTGCCATCAGCCAGGAGCGAAAGGACGACAAAGTTGCTCAACTACTGCTCGACTTCTGCAAGGAAGCACCTTTCCACATGCGCGTTGCGATTCCTCGGGCTACGTCCAGTAAAACGACTCTGCCAAAGTCGTCCGTCACGGCCGCCAGCGTGTTGCACGGGGACACACATATGCTTTCGCCGTGGCGTCGCGAGTCTGGAAGCCCGAATCTGATAGCCGAAAGAAAATAAAAAGCTCCAATCATATTCCAAGCTAGAAACAGATACCACAAGCATGAAATACGTAAATGAAATAGGCTGAATCTGTTTTTATATAAAGAAGTGTGAACCTTGCATGGACTAATGATTATTTACGCCGGACACTTTGCGCTATAACATATACAAAGAAGTGTCTTCCATTATAAAATAAAAATATGTTTCATAGGTTTTCTACACAAACACCCACGACCTTCTGTTTTTAGAGAACATCAAGTATATCATATCTTTCCTTGGTCAAGCATGATGTCACGGAAAACGATACCCTCACAACAAACTAAACTGTAGAAAACTCTGCTCTTATGCAGGCCCCTTTGTCTATTTAAGTTCTTATTCCTAATCCGTTCTCTTTGGATAGATTTCCTATCTTCCTGATACTGGTGCCGTGAGACCAAAGCCAGAACTTTCCTTCTTCTAAATAGTTCTCCAAGCTGCTCTTGGTCTATAATCAGTCTTATTAGAACCGTGAGTAAAATTCAAGTAAGGAGGTGCTGAGAAAGGACCAGGAGAGCTCACGATGACCAAACTCCCTGAGACTAAGTGCTCAATTTTGCTACATCTATTTGGGATACATAGGGCCATGTGGTTTATTTCTTCATTCTTGGGTGAATTTAAAAATTCACATAAGATCTTACCTTTTAAAATAAGATGAAAAAACCTCAGAAGACAAACTTAAACTCAGTTCGATGACAGTTACATCTCTTTAGGAGAAGGACATCGACAAGGGGTAGGGGGTCCTACTTCCCTTCATGGTGGTAACTCCATATTAGGTAATGCTACGCTGTCCGCATAAGGTTCGCCTTCCTCGGGGGAATTGGAACCAAACCCAGGACTCCCAGAGGCTCGGAAGACCCGTGAGAGCTGCGCACACTGAAAGACCACCCACCTCCCAGTCCCCTCCTACCAGCCCGAACACCACAGACCCGCGAGGCTGACTTGCCTGACAGCTAACGGGGTGGCTGGTTCGACCTTCGGCTTCTGCTTCGGGATGGCCTCTTCCTCGTGCTTGCTCTTCCAGCCAAGCCAGCCACTGAACAGGGGAAACATGGAAATAAAACCGAGGCTTCCGGAGGGTCACAGGCCACCAAACCAGAGGCCCCAACCGAGCCAGACAGGCCTTTGATGCCATCGCCGTGCGGTTACCTGGCGGCGTTGAACAAGGCGGAAGTGAGTTTGCTGGCGACTGCGAGGGCCACGTGGGACAGCAGCGGCTGCGAGCTTCCCTGGGAGACAGGGCGGGGGGAGGAGGCATGAGGGCTGAGGAGCAGGGCACCCGCTCCAGAGTAAACGCACTGTGAGAAGTCCGAGACGCCCTAGCACCCGGGCCGGCAGAAACCTGCAGCTTCTTCCAGAGGCCACAGTGAAATCTGTACTGCGGGAGGGGCAGGCGCCATCAACGGTTCCGACCGCCTGGTGCAGATGTAAAAACCACGGGCGGTCTCTCATCTCCGGGAGCTCCCCCTTTAAGTGGTAGTTTAATGGAGAATTTTGAACTAGGGCATTAAGGTGGCGTTACTGAGGCAGGGCTGTGGATTTCCCATTTCCCTCTTTTTAAAACAAAATATGTTTTTACTGAAGTAAAAAGGTAGGTCAGGCAATTCTGAGAAGGCTGCTTTTCAAGCGAGAAAGAAGGGCTGCCACATCAGACACCTGACCTTCCCCAGTTCTCGGAGGCAGTTTTCAAACCCCGATGACGAGAGTCGGCAGTCTGCTCTGTGCGGACAGCTCCCGGCTGACACTCGTCCCTGGCAGCTGCCACCCACAGCCCCGCGCTGCCAACCACAGCCCCACTCTCTGAAGGCAGCCCAAGCGTCCAAAGTGTCCAAGAACTCGGGGCATCAGAAACAAAGAGTCGGTTCTACCCTGACTTTAGTACCTTTTCAGTGAATTCAAGAATTTAGAAGAGAGTGAGCTGAGATTCATTTGTGTTTAAATTGAGACTTAAAGACCTGGCTGGCATAGCTCAGTGCATTGAGAGCAGCCTGAGAACCAAAAGGCTTCAGGTTCGATTCCCAGTCACGGCACATGCCTGGGTTGCAGGCCAGGTCCCCAGTAGGGGGCATGTGAGAGGCAACCACACAATGATGTTTCTCTCCCTCTCTTTCTCTCTCCCTTCCCTTCTCTAAAATTAAATAAATAAAATCTTTTTAAAAATTGGGACTTAAAAATGTAAACTGCTTAATTTTTCTAAGGCGAAGGCACCATGCCCACTTTGCAGACCAGCTGAGAAAGCAGCCTGTGGCCTCACTCCTGATCAGGGGTGGGGCTCTCACCTCTAAAGCATAGAAGAAGCCGGTAAACGGGTTGGACCCTACAGTGATGTACTGAGACATGGCAGGTGGACTGTTTTTAATGGCTGCGTTAAATCCACCTATATTGGAGGCCGTCTTCATCTGATCAAAAGGGGACAGCGTCATGATACCTGATGATAAAGCAACAACAACACGTGATCTGAATGCGCTGAAATGACACTGCCACTATAGGTCATCGAACGTTCAATTCCTTCTAAGATACTAACTTCTCGATTTTATGTAGCAGGAAAAAGTCACTTTTAGAAGCCACAAAATTAATACTGTAACATATTCATAAGAGCGAAATCGCCGTCTATCATTCCTGTAAACTACGAGATGTTGCATCTCATCTTTGCTGCTTCCTCTGCCGAGGCCGCCCTTCCTGCCCTCTTCCAGGCTGGCCCTTGTCACACTTCGTGCGTGGTCTGAATATCGCTTCCCGCTGCCTTTCCTCACAGGTCCACCTGATGCACCCTCCTAACTCTGCTACTTTTATTGTAACTCGGCTGCTTTTTTCATGATGCTCACTAATATTCTGATATTACCATGTTTATACATCCGGTTTAATTGTCTATTGTTTGTCTCCTCACCACCAGAATGTGAACTTCAGCAGGGCAGGGGGCCTGTCTGCTTTGTACTTCTAGCACCAATGTCAGTTCCTGGGACATACCAGGTGGTTACTTGTTCATTTATTTGCTGAATGAAGTAGTCAGAACTTTACACTGCACGTGTTCATTTTGTCGGCTGGGAGATAAATGAATAGAAATGTGTCTTCCGTCATTTTCCCTAGCCTGTTTCAATGCTCCAAAGCTTAATGAACAGAACAGGGACGCTACCCTGAATTGAACTCAACACTTTGGAATTTTGTAGCATTTCTATGCTGGCAAAAAATAAGGACAAACTGAATGTCTACCAACAAGGTGTTTAATAGAGCATACCACACGATTCTATGCAACAGTAGCCAGGCGATCTGTGTGCCGGATTCACACTCCTGCCCTTTCTCCTTGCTCACTCCCAGAGCCAATGTGTGGGTCATGCGGACTTCCGGCTGGGGTCAGACAGTCGGGAAGCCCCACCAGGAGATCAAAGAGGGTAATGAAAATGAAGTCAGGGTGTCTATTTCCCCGTGACCAGTGACAAAACTCCACTTCTCTGTAAGGGCAAAATGCATTCACATCTCTCTCCACTCTCCACTCTAGCCGGTCCACTGTCTACAAGCGAGACTGCCGTCCTGTTAACTGCCCTGCGTGTTTCTGTCAACGAGACTCAGCTTCCCGAGAGCAGGGGCTGCGCCTTTCTTTCCGTCCCTGGACTCCTGACGCCCAGCACAGGGAGCCTTTAACTCCTGCTCCCAAGGAGAACCTGCTCTCCCTGCAGTCTGCTGGTGTAAAGGTCGCACTTCGAAATGACTAACCCATACGGTAATTGTAGGGCCAACACTCGTCTGCCGAAAAATTAAGTCAAATAGTGAGTGGCTTAACACAGTCCAGTACTGCTGCTGAGGGCATAATTATTAAAACTTAAAGACAGAAATCTATGATAATCTGTAAGTCAGAACGAACTTCCAAGAGCCTCACTAAAAGCAATGCATTCTCTCTTCACATAAGAATAAGCCTATGATTCTAATCAATGAGATGCTTCAATCGAAAAGTAAAGAAGTGAATTCCAAAAGAATTGAACTAGTGATGCTTACCAATACTAGCGTGATCAATAATAGTGTCAATATCTTGAAGACCCCACTTCTTATAAGCTAATGGTGGTGGCTGTATGTTCTCATTGCCTGACGCTGCAGCTGTCAAAGATAAAAATTGGACAAGCCAAACTTAACTGTGAAGGACAGAATGAAGTTTTATTTTAAAAATCGTAAAAATGAAGTAAGTTATTACTCTAACATTTCGATTTATAGTAATGATACAAAGTAACGTTAACAAGGCACAGAGTGAAAAGCACTCATGCCAAGACAATGCACGTAAAGCGTGAACAGCACAAGGGCCCACTGGCTCTCCCGAGAGACTCTGGACACTCCAGCAATTGGAGGAGACTGTTTACAACTCTAGACTATCACTAGTAGTCCCGCTGAGTCCACACCGCGACTGGAGCCAAGTATGCAATTTCTCTTCTGGGGACAGACAGCAGCCCTGGCCTGTGAGGCATGGATGCTGCTACTTTGACTGATGTTAAGGCTCTCCTTCCCCTATTTTACCACCTTTAAAACTGTGGTGTAAAACTGACGGTGTGTCTTTCACTGGCAGAAGACGAGCCCAACAGCTGCCAATCTGGTGAGAAGTCTGGTTGCTTGGCTTTAACACAGTTGCAAATCTCTCTGTTCACTGGCCAGGACGCACCGCTGACTGTTCCTGCGCAGGGCACACTCTCCAGGGGCACATGCGGCTGTTTCTGTCCCCATCTCTATCTGACCGAGCAATCCACCCAACAACGTCCACCCACTTCCAGGGCAACGGGGTTCCTCCTGTACACCTAGTTCTGGAAGGCCTTTCTAATTTAGAAGATATATTCAACTGTCTATGTCGGCTCAACTAAATATGACAAGCATCGTCAGAAGTTTGCTATTCCTTGCCAAAAAATTACCTTTTGCTACTTGATTTCGACAAGCACGAAGAGACTGAAAAAGGCTAAACCCATCGATGGTCACGATGGCAGCTGGATATAAGATACTCAGCTCTTCATTCTACCAGAGGAACAGGAGAGAAGAACATAATCATTGCCAAGTAAGAGCATCCCCTTTTCCATTAGAGCTGAATGCCGTGATTAATGTACAATAAAGAAATACTAGGACTAAACAGCTGTCAGCACCAACGCACAGGGCAGGATCAGGCAGACGAGGAGTAAAAACAACTGGGAAATTAATTTCAGAATGCTCGGTCTGGCCGAGGCCTGCGGCAAAGTGAAGCCCCAGTGCCCCGCCCACGCGCCCGCCCACTACCTGCTCGGTCACGCCGGGGTGCCGGGGGATTTCATAGGTCCTGCACTTCAGCTGCAGCACCGGGTCCTCGTTCAGCAGCTGTGCGAGCAGGAGCACGCCGTTCTAGGGGAGGCACAGAGGACAGCCTGCTCGTTCTCCCGCCGTCACACCTGAACAGGTACGGCGTTTCCCATCACGTCTTCCATGGCCACCAGGTCCCCTCCTCTCAGAAGAACTCAGCTTTTCCCAGAGCTTCCGCCGCCACCCCTGCCCTGCGCAGCCTCCATCCCCACCCAGTGCCACCCACACATCCCAGAGGCAGGGGAGGGGTCCCCGGTGAGCACAGTGGGGCTGCCGGCCTGGCTGTGCCTGTCAGCGGGAGCTTTCTGGCGGCCAGCCCCGGCTCACCTCCGTGTAGAAGCGCACAGAGCCGGAGGTGAAGCCCAGCACGGTGCAGGTCCAGTCGGGGCGCCCAGTGGAACTCCTGCCGCAGACAAAACTCGTGAGGGAACAGCCCGCAAGTCAAAGCAAAGAGAACCAACACCTCTTATTCAGCCTTACCTCTTCTGGCTTGCTAGTGGGATGCACAGAGCACTCGTCACGCACTCCCTGAAATCAGAAACAAAATCGTGTGCTCATCTGACGAGTGAAGGCACCCACTGCCCTCACTCCTCCCAAGGTGCTGTGCACGGGCAGGGGTGGAAGGTGAGCTCTGTGGGCCGGTCTGATCCAATGCCCAAGTCAACACACCGGCAAACACCACCACCCTACATCAGATGGTAAAATCCATTCCCACAAAAGGTCACGTCACATCCACTTGACGTTAAGAAAAAAAAAAGAACAGTATCTTTCACTCTGTGTTGTCGTAAAAGGCATGAAAGCAGAGAGCCAAACCTGACCGCACACACCGATTACAGACATAGAACGGAGAAAGCATCGATGGAGGCCCAGAGCAGCCGTCACCACCCACCCCCCATGTCACTACTGCAGGTCTGCGGAGCACACTGTTCTAGGGACACACTGCCCTCCCCTGGTGGGCTGCTGTGCCATCCTCTTGGGCAGAAACTGCCCAACCACTCGTTTCTAAGCTCGTGCTAGCCCGGATGCTCCCTACAGATGTCTTTTCTGACATGTGGACTTGAGAAATTTGTCAGGAGCTCAAAGACCAAGCCTCAAAATCACAATAAATCCTTGACTGTTACCGAATCAGTCATACTTCAGGACCATCACTAGCTTACTCAAGAAATGATTAAAAAACAAAACAAAACAAAGAAAGAAACAATACACACTCTTGCCCCATACATCGTGGTAGGTAATCACTGAATACAATCTTTTTTGTTTTCTTTAAAGTGATTCAACCATTATGTCCACTTTGCATTTGTGACAGAAATTAAGTGTCTTCAAAATGCTTTAGGCTAAATGACAGAGAGCAGTATGTTCACTTTTGATAAGACAGGATAATTCACTGAGCATCTACAATGTGCCAGGCATGTACTAAGGGCTTGCACCTGGGAGTCTTTTATCTGAATTCAAAGTCTGAAAAATCTTATTCATTCTCATCAGGGAGCTCTGAGTTATAAAAGTTTTTGGCTCCAGGCTCCAGGCTGGACTCCATCATGTAGCCACACTAGAGGTGTGACCTGCAAACTCCTACTGAGTCAGCAGGACACCTGGCTTTACCAACTTGCATTTCTGAAGCATTTATGAGTTTTAAGAATTACTGTAGCCTTGGGGTGGTGAACACCCAATACAACACACAGATGATGCGTTGTAGACTTGTACACCTGAAACCTATATAATTCTACTAAGCAATGTCACCCCAATAAATTCAATAAAAAGGAGAAATAAACATAAAAACAGAAAAAGAATTAATGTAGCACTGTCCTCTTTAAGTACAAGCCCAATGCTAGGAAAGCAGATAAGAATAATTACTGCCCTTGACTTTCCGGCTGAATAAAATCAGTAATGAAAAACAGGGCAATAGACGAAATACAGGAAGGATATCATAATATTTTTCTCTGAATGCTTCTTTAAATCCTCTCCAAACAGCTGCTTTTTTCTTAAAGTAACCACATGATGAGTAAAATCAAAGTGTGGAATGAACATTCACCTTCCAAAAGATGAACCTTCTCGGCAGATTCACTTACGAGGCAAACACTTCCTCGGCAAACACTTCCTCATACACATTCAACACACGCAGAGACGGAACAATTAACTGGTACCCACCCTTCTTCAACGTTTAAAGAGCCACTCCAACCAACAGCAAACTGCATTTCCTCCTTTCCTTTATCACCATATTTCCATTTTGCTGAAAAAATTAAGTTATTGTATAAAGTGACGTTAACTAAATTATAAAACAGTAATTTATAAATTTGACTCTCTGTAGAATGATGAGCACAAAATTTAATAGTTCTGTATTACAGATTTGGGTCTTAAATGTAAAATAAAGTCTTCAAATTTTGTAAGGTTTTTATAAAACTCTATCCTCAGTCTCTCCTTCCTCCAATTTAATCCATATAATAAAATCATTAATTCTTACGTACCCCCACCTATTTTATTTATAAAAGGTTAGATTTATGCCACCGGAGGCTAAATTCGCTTTATAAGACCATTTCATAGCCATTCACTGTATGATCTCCTTTTGATCAGTGAGGTTTTCATGCCCTGTGTAAACCCAAAACCTCAATTTTAGGCAATGTCCAGCACTGTCTCTGAAGTGCCACAGAGACGGCTGAAGTATCTGCAGCCAAGAAAAAAGAAGACAGAAAAGGAAGAAAAGAGAAAGAAATACAAAAAAGGAAACAAACGGTTTTATACAATAGAGAAAATAAACTGCAGAAAATAAACTATAGAATGCCACCACATAAGGCATGTAATAGAAATAAATGACACTGTTTTCCCTCTAATACATTTTCTGTTCTAGTCAATGCATTAAAATTAAGGCCACTGCAAAACAACAGATACTCACGCACTAGAAATACAGCTTTTTGCTCCCGAGCTATAACCATTAGGTCATTGGTTGGAGATAAAGATAACACGCAATCTTGAAGCCAGGAGGTTTTCTGTGTCTTGCAAGTGTTTCCTTCTTCTTCCTGCAGATGAAACTACAGTGACTGCACATGCGAAAATACCGAGAGTGTCGATTCAGCTCATCTGCCCTAAACTGCGAGGGGAAAGGAAATTTTCCCAAATCTTTTATAAAGTCTCCATAATATTCCTTATCAAAACATGTCAAACATGCCCAGCAAAGTATTCACTACAAATATCTTTGAATGCCGATGCAAAAATATTAGTGTAAACAAGTACACGCTAGAAAGACACTGAAAGAATATCACATGGGGATCACTCCAAAACGATTCAGCATTAAACGATTTCATGAAACTCCAGAGAAATGGCAGGGGGGTCTGCAGCTAGACAGCAAGGAAGCGCTGTCTGAGGATTATGGCTGTAGGGTCTGTGAACTATTTGATAAATCTGACACTGTTTTCTTTTTATTTGACCTGGAAGGTTTTTCCTTTTTCAAATGAAAATTCACTCACTGCACAGGTGAGTTCCCAGGGTCAGCAGAATCAGCAGCTCCACAGAGGTCCTCTCCAGAGAGCCTCTCACAGGCCTGCACTCCAGCTGTCCGGCTGTCCCCTCCAGAGACAGCACAGGCAGTGTGTCCCCGCGTGTGTTTCCGGGCACTTTCTGCTCATACGGGTACATACATTCACAACCCTCCCCCTTCCTAACACACACACAGCGCGCTGTATGCAGGGGTTGGCAAAAGCAGGTTTACAGCAGACGACAAATAATGCACTGATTAACAAGGAAACACTCCATGTTTCAGTTCACAACGGTAAAACCTGCTTTTGCCCGCCCCTGTACACACTTCCAGTTTTTTCCTTAACTCTTTATTTTTCTCTAATACCCGAATTTTTTGTAATGCACATGCATCATTTTAAAAAACAAATCCATTACTTATAAGAAGTTCATGTCAAATAAAATCACAACAACACTCCAAGCCTACAAACTTATGGGGAATAAAACACACCCTGAGGGTTTTACAGTTTGCTGCTGGAGTCAGCAGTAAGGGGCTGGCCTCTGGGTCAGCAGGCAGGGGCAGTGAGCTGCCCCCATCCGCGGCTCCTCTCCACACTGCCACACCCTGCTGAAACTCCCAAACACGACACCCCCCAAGCCAGGCTAGCAAAGACATGGTTACTCTCCTCTGCTGGTCATTGTAAGCACGAGCCAGCGGGAACCCGTGGCGAACCCACCCATTTTCACAGCTGCAGCACCTTGACCCTGAAGCAGGTTGAAAAGATGCAAGGAGACCTCCTTGACAGGAAATGAGGAAAACTACAGCCAGATGATAAATGGCAAGGTCTTCTCTTCCCTAACCAAGGACACTGAAGAGCAAATGGTTTACATATTCCTGACCATGCTGGGGAGGACTCCCGGGCCTGGTCGCAGGCCCTTTCAGGTGACATCTGTTGAAGGTGAAACTGACCAGAGAATGACCCTGATTCCTTTCTACACTCATTTTGATACATCGGCATACCAAGGGACACACCTAAAAAACTGATGAATATTCTGATTGAGATGTCACCTAAAATTCCTGTCTTTAGAAAACAGATAAGAACCCTTAAGACAAAGGACCCATTCAGGACACACTCTCCCTAGAGCAGGCCTGTGCCCCCCCCCATTCCTTCCTTGGATGTGAATCTTTGCTCTATTTCTCCTAAATTCTAAGTGTTCCCAGGAGACTTGCGACCAGGGGAGCGGCAGGCAGTGGCAGCTCATCCCGGGCTGACCCCTGAGCCTGTCCCCAGGGCCTCCTTTTGCCTCCGTAACCTCTTTCCTGAGTCCCCACGGTCCAGCGTGGCTCAGTTCTCCCACCCCCGCGCCTTTCTTTCCGAGGGGCCGAGGCAGCCCCGCCGAGACTCACCGCTGTTGCTATGATCTTGCCTCTTCTTTCGTTTCCCTGTCCCCAGCTTTAGTAACCTTACTCTCCAAATCACCTGAACTCACGTCGGGAAATCTTTCCTGCACAAAATCAAGAACCCACACATTCCAGACCGTGCTGGGGCAGATCCACCTCGGTCCTGGTCCCTTTCCAGTGACCACACACCCAGAAACTGACTTCGAGACATTTCACCTCTTCCAGCACTGGTCTCCCCTTGCATGTGGACAAGACCTGCCAGCGCCGCTCCCAGGGAAAGCAGACGCTGAGTTCACGGTCTGTTTCTATTCTGATTAGGTGGCTACATCTGTTACCTTGACTACAGCATGCACCTCTGCGTTTCAGGCATCTGCCAAAATTTACTCGGATTCTTGTTGTGTCTCTGGAGCTGGCTATGCCTTTGGAGTGGCTTATAACCACAGACAGCAGTGGCAAGAACAGGTGTCTACTTAGTGCTACCCAGTAAGCACAAACGTGCCCTTGACAGAGATTTTTAAATGTCAGCCTGACATGGAAATGCGTCACCATCGTTGCAAAAGGAGAATGCCGCTATCGGAGAGCAAGCACGCGTCTGTAAAGACTCACAGGTTCCTGGGGCTCTGCTTCTTCCCACGCTCCCCAGCCGTCATCTTCCCAGCTCGCTGCTTTACCTGTTTGTAAAAAGATAAAAAGTACTTACACGAAACATAGAGCTTAAAGGACATCAAAACGTTTTCTCTACACATAATAAAGCCAACCCGTCATACATAATAAACATTATATAAGTATAATGCTGACGTTAAGGAAGAAAATAATGGTAAAATATACTGTATCAGGATATTGCTTATGTAATAATAATCAAGAAACATCTGACCTGAATTTCCAAATCTAAGTCATAGTGAAACTGTGCAAGTTATTTGGATCTTAAAACACTGGACATCAAGTTTATCCACATTTAAATCAAAAGGCAAAGGTGACTTTTTAAAAAATCTCAAAATGACAAATATTTGTTAATTAAGACATTAGGCAAATTAAATATACACAGTGACAAAAACACTTAAAATTTCACATAGATGACTCAAAAAGTGAGTCGTCTTTTGATAAGACAAGGTCTCCATGAAAAGGAAAACTGAATGTTGAAAGAAGAGAGATCTGCTACTCTCTACCTTTTTCTGATATTCTGTGATTTCTTACACATGAGCATATTTCTGTGGATTAAAATGAGACGTCCAACAAACACTGTAAAACAAAGAGGTAAAAGTCCGTACACGTTTGGAGAGTATGATTCCTCACGTTGCTCATGTTGCTTGTTTTTATACCATGTTTTTGAATTTATCTCTTATGGTATCGCATCAGAAAGAAGAAAGAAAAACCATCACGTTTTTGACCATCTACTCTGAGTCAACCATTAGCTACTTTAGATATATCACCTCAAATTAAGTTAAGAAAAAAAAACATAAAGTTCAAATAAAATGTGAAAAGAGCAGGCAGTTGAATGAACTGCAAGTTTAGGCCTCAGATGCCAATGACCTAAGTTCAGAGTCTGGACCCAGCATTTACCAGCTCTGTGACCTAGAGCGAGTTACCCCATAGCTGTGAGCTATAGTTCTCCTGCCTTAAAAGCATGTAAAACAGCAGCACCTCCATCTAGTAGGGTTGGAAGAGGATTTAAATCAATACACTGAAGTCCTCAGTGCCTGACACATCAGCTTGCCATGCTAGTTATCAAGATTTAGCCATTAAAATACTACAGAATAAAAATAAAATATTATATTTAAACCAATCAGCTTTAAAATCTTGGCAAGGGGCAGTGTGACAATCAACTAAAACTGGGACTGAACCTGATATCTAGGACACCTACAGTAGAAAAGAAGGAACTAGACCTTCACACACAGAAGATTTTATAAGTTGCTAAAATCAATTAGATATAGAAGATAAAAAATGTTAGTCTACAATCTGGAACCGCTGTTCAATTAGCTCCATGGTAATACATTCTCATTTTGGTATTTAAATACCAAATAACTACTTCCTACTATGCCAAGCACAATATTAAGTCCTAAAAGAGTGCTATCATTTGATAATACTGCACAACTTACAGAAGACTTCCATACACATGTCAATCAAACCACTGAACAAGTGTTCCGCTAAACGCCACATGTGGTGGGAACAGAGAAAAACACAAGCACACTCCTTAAACAATGTGTGGTGTGGCGTAGGGGACAAACACGTAATTATGGGACCTGGTGACTGCTGTAACTGACTATGCTGTGAACTCAGATGAGGCAGTGAGAGAGATGAAAAAAGGCAGTGAGGAACCATCTCAAACTGAGACCTCAAGAAGGGGCTAGGAACCTTTCAAATATACTAAAGAAAAGGATCAACATGAGCAAAGGCAAAGAGGCAAAAAGTCGCAACATGCATAAAGGGTGGTCACATAACCATGCATATGCAGCTTCCACATCCCAAGTGCTTTGTGGACCGTCACTCACTTTCAGGCATGGCAAGGGTCCTTATCTTCCCTTTTCCACAGTGAGAACACATCACTTAGTTCACATAACGTGACCGAGGTCACAGAGGATGAGGTGGCGGAGTGGGGCTTCAGTTCAGGGGGCCCGAGTTCCAGAGCCCATGCCTGTCTGCTACGCACATTCGGCCAAGGGCTCATGGAGGGCGCGATGGGGGAGCAGTGGGCCTTGCAGGTAAAGTCAAAAGCGAGAGAGCTTATTATTTTAAAATGCAACATTTCCTTGCTACTGAGATTGGGAAATTTTTTTGTTTTTTGTAACTTGGAAAATTACAGTTTGTTCTTTGGCAATCTAATTCACTTAGGCAATCTCTTTATTCTGCTAATTTTTCCACTGCGCCACAAACAACTGCCTTATTGTGGGACTGGTGGCAAATAGGCCACCCCATTTTACAGTTTTAGAAAACACACCAGGACTCCTACGAGAAAGCCAAGTAACTAGAAAAGTTCATCGCTCTAAAAGCCACCATTCGATTTTAAAATTGCTGTCAGATTAATGTATTTATCCAATCACCACAATATCTGAAAACCATGCAGGATTTACAGCACTTCATGAAGGTTGGCTATCATTCATCCATCCATTTACTCATCCATCCATCCATTCATTCAAGAAACACTGTATCTTTTCTGGGCACTGTGCTAAGTGCTGGAGATACAAAAGCAAATAAGCCTTCAAAGAGCTTAGTTGGTGCACATAACCTCTCTTGAATGTGGTACAAAACAAAACCATGAAAAATGTGTTATTTCTTCTCCATATCGGTATAAAAAGTACCTGACTCAATTCACAAATGACTCACACAATCAAACAGAAGACAGCAGCAATTTGGACTTCCTGCCCCTGCAGGGACCCAATCTCCCTTTATGCCACAATCCCAAACAGTCAGGAAGAGGAAGACCTTGAGAAAGGCTTTCTTTTATACAAAGTATTTGTGTTGATGACAGCTGGGCCATTTCTCAATGCCCCTGACTGGGGGGTTTCTATTAAGAAGAGGGAAAGAATTCATCAGGCCTCTCCTACTACCACAGGAGTACATTTTCCAAAGAAGCCATGGTGTCATGCAAACAGAGGGTAAAGGAAGGTGAAACACAACTATTACTCGGGTAGGTCAAAGATGCTTTGAAGCTTGGTCTGGAATCCTAAATCGCTTCACAATTCTGTAAGAAAATGCATTCCAAAATCTAGTCATCTTAAAAATGGGAAATGTTTTTTAAAAAAATCTGCCAACTGCACTACCCTGTGGCTACTTCTATGCAGTGCCGATGATATAATTTCTGCAGCCTCCTGACTTCTGCTGAAAATCATTTGACGCTATTTCGCATGCTGCTGTCTGACAGCTATTTTTGGCTGTTAAAAAGTGTCAGAATGCCAGCACTTTACCAAGGTTATTTCTTTTGCCTCCAAACCACGCAACCTCTGTTTTCATGTACTCACATCCTGTATGTTATAAACTCATCGTTTTGCTTATCCACAACCTTGGCCAATGACCAAGTGAAAAATACCAATAGTGATACTGAATGAAGACCACCATCCTTCACAGAAAAGTTGCCAGAAGGAAAGACCACCTGAATAACACTCTTTACGTGAATGGCAACTTTATTAGACATTAGCTATTAGACATCAGTAGCTATTTTCCAATCTAAATCATCACTCATTTAAAGTGATTCTCAACAACCAAATTTTTTGTCGGCTAGAAAAAAAACAAAGAACGCCAAGTTCCCAAATCAACACTATGCTGTTTCAAAGGGGGTGGGGTGGGGTGGAGGACATCCATAGCATTCAATTGTGTCTGTACTCTATTATGCAAATATTCTCTTTGCCAATAGTGAATAAAATGGGTTACACAAAAAACAGCGAATACCGGCTATCAGGGGAATCTAAAAACACGGGGAGAATATAGCCTCATCGTGCGACTTCCATGCTCCTACTCACGTGCAGATGTTGCTTTAAAAGCTGGCGTTTTACAACAATATTACATCAGGACAGTGTCTGGACAGAGGCACAGCGCTTCAAAGGCTTATCTTTCAACTAGGCTTTCCCACCTCACTTCCTGTACAACCTACTGGGGAAAAAGAGGCATTTCCAGGTAATGATGTATTTCTGCTAAGAGTCTTTAATTTAGGTCGGGGACAACCCTACTTGGGGGTGAGCGTCCTCTCAAATCTGTTCTTTTCACATTCTTAGCCATCTTTCCTTAAAATTCACAGAAAATCAAGGATTGCATTGAAGGTTTGATTGGAGTTGTTCAAGAAGAACATCCACTTAAAGTTTTGTTAGTCTACCTCCCATGCAGAAATCCCCCTTATTTCTTACGTCATACCACATCTTGAATCACGCCTGCTCTCTACCTAAATAAAATTCATAGGCTGCTCTCCAACCAACTTAATGAAAAGCAACTACCTCTCCGTTGACTAATAATTTGACTTTTCAATCCTTAGCATTTTTATACCCATCACTGAAGAAGACTAGTTTGAACTGTCTAGAATATTTGGTAACATAAGCATAAACCCTTGTTCTAAGCTTTATCGTGTTAAATGTTTTGCCTCAATGAATGAAACAAATGACTTCAAAATACAAAATGTAGCTACAACTCCCTCTGGAGAGAATTTTTTCCCTGAAGAGATTAGATTGTACGAGTATTAAAAAAAAACTGTTCAGTCTCTCACTTGGTAAATGATATACTCATGGAAACCTTCAAACCACTGAGAAAACACATTTTGGTTCAACCATCAAAAAAAGTTGCAGATGTCTTTTTTAGGGTTATTCGCAAGGAATGAATTATTCTACCAACAAAAACTTAAATAAGAAATTCAACTTCTGCTTTCCATAGCTCTATTTAATTCCACAAATACATTATTCTGAATTGCTTTTGAACAGTCTGTCCTCATACACTGAGTACATATTTTTCATTTAAGAAGAACCTGAAGCTAGAAAGAAAATTGAGTTCTAGAAGTGGGCAATTAATTTGATGGTATTTGCCTTTTCCAATATGAGTATGTCAAGATCAAGAACTAAATGAGAAACTGAAATCATTAAATGTTGGGAAAAGGAAAACTTAATTTAATCTCCGTGGCTGAATAAAAGATCTTATTAGCACAGAAGCAAATTCATTTCCTTCCTTCTGAGACAAGAAAAAAACGGGATGATGT